GTTCAAGACCAAGTTGGACGAGGCCTTGGGTGATATGATTTAGCATAAGGTGTCCCTGCCCACGGCAGGGGGGGGTTGGAACTAGATGATCTTAAGGTCCTTTCCAACCCTAATGATTCTATGATTCTACTGGAGAAGACTGTGAAGGTAGTATTTTACCCTGGCTGCTCTCCTCAGCCAAAGCCACTGCAGTAAGCTGGGGTAATGTGTGGATTCACACGCTGCCAGCACCAATTCAGCCTCTGCTGCTGCAACTTTCTCTGCACACTCACCCCAGCTCTAAACTTGGCTCCCACTTACATTTGCCTAGGAGCTCTTGCGCCTCTCAACACTCCCTCATGTGGCCTAGGTCTGAGGGTGCAGTGAAGATGCTGCTCAAACACTAGAAAGACCAGATGAAGGGACAACACTTACAAGTAATGCTCTTCAAGTAATGCTTAGAAATAATGCTCTGACCACTGTTAACTTATTTGCAATGCACAAATGAGCACACTGGGGCAAGCTCTCATCATTAAATTTCAGTATGAGTAGAATCTCACAGCATTTGTCATAAGTGATTCTCTTTACCAGCAAAAAGACATAATTTCTTTTACTGTTATACAGGTATCATGCTTGTACAGGTTTACTAGATTATTTTCCATGTTAGATAAAATAACCAACTAGAACAGTCAACAATGAGTAGTAAGCTCTAGGTTTGTCACCTACATCAACTGCATCTAGTTAATATCTCTACCCTTTTCTTTACACAGCACTTGTGATTTTGACAGAATAATGTACTTTAAAATATTTAGACATTGTTTAGCCAAATGACACAACATTAGATACAATGATATATCTTCTTTTGCTAGACAAAGCTCCAGGGTCATGGATATTTTGTAATACCAGAATTAGCAGTGAAATTCAGAATACTCTTTAGCCAGGCCCCTAAATATTTAACATAAAATAAGATACAATCTCCCTTACCTTAATTTCCAGATGATAACGCAGAAAGGACTGCTTCAGGGAAGCTGACTCTTGCCGATGGATAACTGACAGCAAAAACACATCTTAAGAAAACAAGATGTTTTTTCAAACCCCTTACTCTATTTTTCTCCCCCAACCACCCTTTCTTGCTGCTTTCTGTTGCTGGGGTTCTCTTTATAGTGTGCAATGATTTATGGGAGAACTCCTGACTTTAAACCAGCTGTAGCCACTGCTGAGATCAGGGAACAAACCTGGGCTCAATTAGGAAGGGAGTAACCTGCCTAACTGAGTCCAGTGGCTAAACCTGTTCGTGATACCACCTGGTGAAAGGGGTCCTGGCCACTTGCAGAAAAGAAGGAGGACTCACGCTAAGGTGAGAGTTTTTGCCACCCTGGGACTGCACTGATTTGTACTCAGAGTTTGCAGTCAGTTTGGCTCTTCTCTGCCCCCTTCAATGCTAGCACAGGTGTTTCTGTCACATGATCTCTAATTTGCCTCAATTAGCATGTCAAAGCACAGGTTTGCAAAAAAAAAAGGCAGGAAGAGACCAACTAATGAAAGCTCACGTATTCCCATGTCCTAACTAGTAGAACTCTGTCTAGCCTGTTCCAGTAACACCTCACAGCAAAGGGTATTTTAGCTTCAGTTATCTTCAGCATTAGCAGTAACTATTTTAATCTCCAGACAGAGCATTTCCAGCTGCAGTATAAGTCACAGAATGATAGAATAGCTTGGGTTGGAAGGAACCTTCGAAAGTCATTTAGTCTACATAAACCCCCCGCCCCAAGCAACGCCACGCTCCCTCCCTGCTGTCCCCTGCAAGAACCGCATGCCTGCCCCTCCGCAACAGCACAGCCACAGCACCCCAGGAACAAAAAGGGGGCCGGCACCGCCTCTCAAAAGCCTGCAGCGCCCGGCCTTCCTCGGGGGGGGGTCTTCCATGCAGGGAAGAAGTCCAGTCCAAGGGATGTCACGCAGCAAGGACCAATGAACCCACCCCTGCACAGCTTCCGAGTCAAGATGGGATCAGGCTCATTCAGGAGGGTCTCACCGCAGGCGCCAGCGCTCTACTTATCCCGCCCCCGCCACGCTCCAGCCCAGCCCCACCGGCTCACGTCACCGGGACGACCCTGACCCACCCCGCGTCAGGCCCCCCGAGCACAGAGATCGGCACGGGCCTGGCCCCGCAGCCCCAACACAAACACCCCTCACAAGCGACACCACACTCCCTCCCTGCCACCCCCCAGTAACGTGGCACGGGGACCACCATAGACCTGCCCCTCTGCAACACCCCAGCAAGAAAAAGGGACCCGTCATAGCCCACAGGGGCCCCCATCGCAACAAAAGCCCAGCTGCCTTTAATTTCCAAATAAATTAAGGGATGAATTTGTGTCTAGTTACAAATGTAAATATGGAGGAATTATGCTAAATCAGCAAGATTGTCATTGAAATGGCTCCACATTCATGCTAGTTTAACTGAGTTAAATTTGGCCTCCAAGGTCTAAGCCTCTCACTGACCACCAACTCTGTATGTATAAGAACATGTACAAATATCTTGTGGTCTCCACATAATGTGAACTTTGTGTGTTTTAGTTGCCTTTTTAATCGTTTTCTTACATTCCTTTTACTTTGCATCTACACAGCTCTTCTTTTAGCTATTTTCTTCCTAGCTCTGTAAAGCTGTACCTTCCTTTTGTGTGAAGAGTATGAAAAGAAATGAACAATAACTAAGGTAACAAAGCCATTTTTAAAAAGTAAAAGTAGAGAGAATCCAAGCTGAATGCCCTGCAGTACAGAACTCTAAGATGCAGCAGACAACGCTTTTAGAAGCTCAGTAGAGATTTTCAAATCTTACCTTGGAAATGCTGTGGGACTGGAAGGTATTTTATGATGATCCTGAGTTTTAGAAAGGTTTCAGGAAGATTCTAAGGACCTTGTGACCTGTAAGTCTAACTTATGAACTAAGAGGAGTCTGTTTGTCAGAGTGCAAGTGTTTGTACAGTCTGGTTTAAAAGGAATCAGCACAGGGCTCTAAAAGGCTTATTGTGCTTGCAAACTTAATGAATTCCTTTGAACGAAGGCAAATTAAGTGCCATTTACTGCAGATGCTGATTTGAACTCAAGAACCCCAACTCCTCATTTAGCTGACTTGGTTTGGAATTTAGACTGTAACTGGTTTGATGAAGCATGAAGGAAGCGTGTGTATGTGTGTTTCTCTCTAATTTCCCGTCCTTTTCATCCCTGTCCTGTTCTTACTGTACCTATGCACATTAACATGATGCTTCTACTGTAGAGACGTGCCTCTTCCTGCCTGCTAATCTGCACAGTCTGTAGTTCTGTACGTTAAGGTCCTAGGCCTCAAGGAAGAAGATCCAAGAGCAGTCTAAACAGAAACTGAGCCCTATGCAAGGCAGGGGTTTACACGTGACTGATATGAAATAGAATATGCATAACACAATATCAGGAGCTGTGGCAATGTCAGGCATAGGTGTGATAGATTTCAAAGCTAAACTGTGTCCATAACGTTGCCTGGAAACAAAAAGGAAAGGCCCTATTCCTGCTAGCCATAAGACTTTGTGTTGCAAATCTTGGTGATTTACACGCTAAGCAGAATCATACCATATCAGTATTAAAATGGAAGGCCCTCTAAAGAACATCTAGGAGACTGTGCTGTTTCAAGGCTAAACAATATTGCAATGTGATCATCTGAACCATTTGTACCTGAAACTGCTCAGTTTGTTCTCCCAGATCATCCAGGTTAACGTAAAATGGTTCATTGTCCATACACAGCACTCCCTCCATCCACTGTTGTACCTCTACAGGCACAGCAGCCTCCTCTCTGTGTTGTGGTTGTTCTCTGGGAGGTGGAGACAGACCTATTGTTTTTCATGAAACATAAATTGTAAAAGTTTAACACTATTGTATTGTGTTCTGACTACTGTTAAAATATTTAACTTTGTAATTAAAAGGTTAATGTTGTTAAAAGTCTAAATAAAAGTATCTAAAGTTTTGCTTGTAATAGGATGCACCGTGTCGTTAATGAGCTGGGGAAGGGGACGCTGCACAAAGCAAACACCATCCCTGTATTATGGAGGTTACAGTTTGGCCAGCGTGGAACTGGGAAGAGAGGGGAGGTGGGGGGCATCAGCGGGAATGGGCAAACAGTGCCCTGCATGATGTGTGCTGCTGCTGAGGGGTGGGCAGGAGCAGCGCGGGGTCGCACTGACCGTGAGCACTCCTGAACCAGTGTGCCTGCACTGCATAAAGCTCTCGCCTGTGCTTGCACAGAAACGGGGCTGTAAACTAAAGCAGTCCTAACAACCGGCGCTAGAGAGGGCGCACTTCTGGAGGTGCAGTAGCACACAGAACACATCTCTGCTGCAGGTGTTTAAACTGGCAAGGTGAAAACCGAAACTACCGGTGTTCATGCAGCCACCTACAGGCTTACCTGAAGTGGCGCTGACATTTCATTAAGAACCATTCTTCTCTCTGAACACCTCAGTTAAAACCTCAGTGTGATACTGGAGGAGCTACACTCGTTTCACAGGAGATGCACAACCCAGTCATAGCAAATTACTGCCACGGGACCTAGTAGAAATTATCAATTTCAGTGTCAAAACTACCTTTTGCAAAGCAAAATCCTTCATTATTGCAGCTGAATAAACTGCTCTTCAGGTTGTAGAATGCCACTGTGCATGCTGGTCAACAGTCACCCTCATCCCTACAGAGCCAAAGGCTGTCTAGATTCATCTGCTAAAACTGTAAACTGAGAAGAATGGAACAGAAAAGAGAATGTTTTAGCATAGCAAAATCAATGGAATGAGATGCTGATGTGTTGTTATAGCCATGACTCTCATTGTTTGAATTCTTCCAGCTTGTTTTTATCACTACAATGGAAGGGGAAAAAAATGGAAGGGGAAAGAAGACCACCACATTAAGGGAAATTCACTTATACTTTACCTTCTATTTGTCATCACTGATTTTACTTACACACACACACACACACACACACCTTTTTTTATTAAATTAACAGAGTATATTTGAAAGTATTTTTCTTGTTTGAAAAACCAATACAATCAGCAGAAGGAAATGAGGGGAAACTACAAAAATGAATAGACAAAGTGCTCAAAGGCAGAAAACGAGCACTTTTCTACCTACAAATCCTATTCTAGTAACTGTATGTGCTACAGTATTAAGTAAAACAGTTCAGAAATGAGTTGATGATTAAACTGAAGCTGGCTGAAGTTTCTCAATCTAAATTCTGTCTAAAACCCACATTTGTACCATGTTCTTTCTTGTAGCTTCAGAAGAGGAGGACCCTCAAGACATGAGGGCCAGGGACCCAGGGGGAGAGATGGCTTTCCTGGACCTGAAGATTTTGGGCCAGATGACGCTTTTGACTCTCCAGATGAAAACTCAAGAGGAAGGGACCATGGTGTTCAGGGGTGAGGTCGTGGTGCTCTGAGAGGTGAGTGGAACATTCTTCCATACTGAAATGCAAGGATAAGGAAGCAAAGACACTTCCTGGGCAAATTACAGTATTGTCATGAATCCAATGACTCCTGTCCACTGCATCTCTTACTGCGCAGGAGGCCGGAAGGGTTTACTTCCTACTCCAGATGAATTTCCACGCTTTGAAGGAGGGCGGAAACCAGAATCCTGGGATGGAAACAGAGAACCAGGTAAAAACTGGAGAGGTTTGTTTCAGGTAACTGTAGACTTCTACAATATCACCAATTACCAAAATAGTTTTTAAAATCACCTCTTCTTCCTGTACCGGATATGTTTTTTATCACTGTTTTACTATAAGACAACCAAGACATAGTTCTAAGAACACCATGACTATCACTGTTCTAATTTATTGAAGTGATTGCTGACTGTATCAGCTATAAACTCCCTTAATTCCCAAGGAATTGTCTGATTGCCATCCGTCTTCTGGACTGTAATGGAGACACTAAATCTATGTAAGAAAAATGTTACAGAGGGGGGAGAAGGCATAAAATTACAGGTCTCAGCTATGCTTGGTCTGCAAATGAGTATCCCATAGTTCCTTCCGCAAAGGAACTAGCTAAATATATGGTATGGCTGAGAAGAGGCATTGCTTAGACTCGAACACCAGTAAGTGACTGTGCTTCTTTTTTAGGACGAGGAAGTTCACAGAGAGCGTCAAAATCTGGGAGATCCAGTTCTTTAGATGGAGACCATCACGATGGATTCCACAGAGATGAAGCTTTCGGTGGAAGCCCTGCAGGACGCAATAACCCTTCTCGAGGAGGGAGGAGTGGAAGTAAGTGGGGAACAGGACATAACATGAACTCTGCTCAATCAAGAAGAGGATCATCCAGCGGTGGTGGAAGGGGCCGATAGAAGAGGCTTTGACTGGGTCACACTCAGTCCTGCCTGGACAATATTTAAATGGATTGCTACTCTGGACTCATAAAGTAACCTGCAACAAACCTGGATTCTTTAACTGGGATAACTGAATGTGCATTAGCTCCTAATAAGACAGGGGTCTTTTCCTAGATCAGTCAACTTCTGCTAGCTGCAGTGCTGTAGCTGGCTTCCTGTTTTGCCCTCTCCACCCTTGTTTTCCTCACCTTCTTTTACCTGCTTGGTTTTGTGAAGAGCTGGAATTTTTTTAAGTGATATGTGGCATGGAGCACCTCCACAGACTTCAGTCTACCTCCAGATGAAACCTGTTCCTATGTGTACAGTTTGTCAGAAGAGTTACATTGGTTTTGTATGAATATAGAACATAATTTGCACAAAAAAATAACATAAAGTCAACCCAGCGTGTGATTCTTTACTCACCTATCACTATAAAGAGGGCTGTCTTTAGGCAGACTTGTGTATCAGATGGAGCAACAGAACTGCCTCCTGAAACCTCAGCTGTCTGAAATACTCATAGCTGCATGATTCCTAGGTTTTTTGTTTATGATGCACAGAGAGCTTTCATTTTCACCTTTAGCCACAGCTGTCTACTGATTACAAGTGGTGCTGACGTTAACATTCCAAACCACTGGAAACCACTGCTGCTTGCTAGTCTGCCATCCTGAAAGAGAAAAACGTGGAACACTGCTTAGAAAAAGCTGTCATAGACATAGTGTGAGTTACATCCTGGACTACCAGCAAGACAGACATCATGACAGACGTTGTCATTCTGTGCTTCAGCTGGGCAAGTCAAATATCTTTGTTCAAAACAGCATTTCGTTATAGAAACTGAGGAAAGTTTAGCAGATTGATTAATATGGACGCACATGCTTTACAATGGCTGTAGGAGGCATTGCTTAAAGATAGCTGGTTTCGGTAGGGTCTGGTATGTTCAAATGCTCGAGTGCAAACCTCAACAGCTGATCGCTTTCTGATCGCTTTTTAAGTATAGTTCAAGACCAGGTTGGACAAGGCCTTGGGTGATATGGTTTAGTGTGAGGTGTCTCTGCCCATGGCAGGGGGGTTGGAACTAGATGATCTTTCCAACCCTAACTGTTCTATGATTCTATGATTCTATGATAGTTTTCTTTAGGATATAGCTTCCCAGTTTTATGAGCAGAGGGAAATGATGATTTCACAATAAAGCTGTTTACACCCATGAATTTGTTTCCCCATAAATCATTCATATTAATCATCTCCAGTCACCAAGTTATCAAAAGGCTCCTTTAATACCTAAGGCCTCAATGAAAATTTCACCACAGAAGTACGTATTCTAAAGCCAGGAAGGTCCCACATTAAAAGCATGGGATATAATGTATAATGAACAGTACTACCAGGCATCCATCCCCCCTGCCCTGACTTTTATGTTTTAATATTCAGGATAATATGGTGGTGTACTTCTATAGCTGTCAAGGCTACTGCAACAACACAGTGAAACACGGCAGCTATTTTATCTGACGTCTCAGTCAGATTTACCAAAGACCTGATGACCTATCTTATAGGAAGAGATCAAAACACGGGTTAACACTTATCTGCTCTTCTTTTGGTTCAGTCAGTCACAGATAGCATTTTCTTTCTTAGTTTTGTAGGGTATAAAATCGCATTTGAAAGTTACAATATTTAACTGATCATTAGCCTATAAAATCCTTGTCACAGGGCTCTAGAGACAGAACGATTTTAAAGCAATTAACTGGGAAACAGCTGAGATGCACCTGACACAACAGTTTCTCCTCTAAGGACTAAAAAAGTAATTGCTTTTTACCTGTACTTGAAGAAAGGCTTTGGTCACTTTTGGTATACATTAGTGAATTAAGATCTATTCTGAAGTCTTAATGATAAATATCAGTATTTTGATAGCAAAGGGGAAAGCTTTCCCTGTCTTTTTCTCTGAAACTTACTTTTAATAGTTAGAATGTGATTTAGAGGATGAGCTTTAGTCCTTTGTTAAACCACAGTCTTATACCAAAATGAGAAAGCACGCAACAGCAAACCCAGCTGTTTCTATCTAGACAAAAGCGAATATGCTTGGTTTTCCTCTGATGTTCCATTAAACCAAAATAAGAATGCCTAATTCAATTCTTCACCCTGGTTTAAAAAATTAGTAAATAAAAATACCAAATGCTAATTTAACCTTTATGATTCTAAATGTTCACTGCAGGGCTAAAAAAATAAGACGGTTGGACAACAGGAAACAGCCAGCACAGTTTCCATCATCAGTCTGCAGCACTATCCGTAACAATGGTGAGTATTCAGCTGCCTCACAAGATGCAGATAAAGTTTGAAATCGCTGTTGGCCAGGAGCTGCCTGCCCCATTTGGGGGATCACTTTAGCACTGGTATATTGATACTGATAGTGGGAAATAAAGGGTTAACATTGTGCCTGCTTGCTTAAGCAGTCGCTGTGCTTGGTGAAGCAGAACCATAGGAGTCAAAGTTGCTAGAATGGTGAAGCGGAATTGTAAGAGTTACAGCTGCTAGGCAGAATTGTAGTAGATAAGATTCGTAACTTAACATTTAAGACATTCTTGTTTAAGTAGTATCTTTAGAAAGCAAAGGAACAAAAGATAGCCAGAATAACAAAATATGCAAGTTTCTCCTTTAAGATACATAAAACCGGCTTGTACCGAGCCTGAGGTTTGGATAGGAGCCAAAACCCTATTGAGTCTGCGTGAAAGCAAGAGGTTACTCGCAGTGATGAAGAGGAACTACAGGCCTTCATCCTCACGACCCCCTAACCACCACCACCAGGAGACACTGCACAGGCACACCAATGGGACGAATGCCAGAAAACTAATTATAATACTAGGTGGGAACAGGTTTTGCATATGTATTAGGCATGAAGCAATCTCATGTTTAGGTAATCATTATATGTAATATAAACGAACTGAGTGGCAAAGCAAAGGTATGCATGCCTTTGGAGGAACTATCCCCATGCATCTCAGCACTGAATAAAAGCATACCTACTTTATAACGCTAACGAGTTGTGGAGTCTATCCGTGTATCAATACATGTTAGAGAGCATAATACTCTCTAAGTGCTCAGGCCAAAGTTTAATGGTTGGCAAGCAGGGATTGGATAATAGAATGGTCTGGGTTGGAAGGGACCTTAAAGCTCACCCAGTTCCAACCCCCTGCTATGGGCATGGACACCTTCCACTAGAGCAGGTTGCTCCAAGCCCATCCAACCTGGCCTTGAACACTGTAAGGGATGGGGCAGCAACAGCTTCTCTGGGCACCCTGTTCCAGCGCCTCAGCACCCTCACAGGGAAGAGCTTCTGCCTAATGTCTAATCTCAGTCTCCTCTCTGGCAGGTTAAAGCCATTCCCCCTTGTCCTGTCCCTACAGGCCCTTGTCCAAAGCCCCTCTCCAGGTTTCCTGTAGCCCCTTTAGGCACTGGAGCTGCTCTAAGGTCTCCCCTTCAGGACCCTTCTCTTCTCCAGACTGAACCAGCCCAGCTCCCTCAGCCTGGCTCCAGAGCAGAGCTGCTCCAGCCCTCGCAGCATCTCCGTGGCCTCCTCTGGACTCACTCCAACAGCTCCACGTCCCTCTTGTGTTGTTGCCCACAGCTGGATCAGGACTGCAGGGGGTAGTCTCACCAGAGTGGGTACAGGGGGAGAATCCCCTCCCTCGACCGGCTGATCACGTTCTGGGGATGCAGCCCAGCACACGGATGTTTGCTGGGCTCAAGCGCACAGTACTCGCCCAGAGGACGCAGGAGATAAAGCAGCTGCCACACGCATCATGGCGGCCCCAACGCCACGCCCGCTATGACAGGGCAGAGGTGGGCGACCCTCTCGTCATGGCGGCCGGGGTAGGCCGTGAGCACTCCCATCCCGCCTGCCAGCAGCGGCAGCGCTGCCGGGCATGCCCCCACGGCACGGTGCCCACCGTGCGGAGCGGTCCCGGGGCAGCGGGGAGCCCCGGTTCGGAGGTGACCAAGCGGCTCCTCGGCCGAGCACCCAGCACAGCGCCCGCAAGATGGCGTCCGGCTGCCCCGGAAGAGCTTGGCGCGCTGGAGGCGCCCAACATGGCGTGGCGGTGCTGGGCCCACGCCTGGGGCCCGCGGCCGCACAGGTACCCCCAGGCCGGGCCGGGGAGAGGAGCAGGGCGGGCGGTCGCGGCGGTACTGACGGTCTGCGTCTTTTCCCCCGCAGGCTGACGGTGCTGCTGGAGCAGCGGCAGGGCTTCCGCCGGGCGAGGCCGCGGTCCGAGGAGCCCCCAGCCGTCACCGCCGCCGAGGCGCGGCCAGGCCCGCCGGACCGCCGCCGCAGCCTCTGCCCGCCGCCGCCGCCGTCCCGCGCCGGCCGCCCCTCGGCACGCCGCCTCGTCAAGCCGTTTCTGTTCGCGGTGGGGGTAAGTGGCTCCTCCGTGCCGGGGGTGCCGTGTCCGGGGAGCGGGATCGGCAGGGTGCCCCGTGTGTCCGCGGTGCCTTCGTTCCCGTTAACGTGCGGGTGTTGCTCGGGGCTGGCATAACCTCGGGCGAAGCCACGGGATGGTGCATTCATTCAGACTTTATCGCCCAGTTCACAGGCTCTGCCTTCGGATCCGCCGCCATTTGGCAGTATGAGTCGCTCAAGTCGCGGGTCCAGAGCTATTTTGAGGAAGCCCGAGCAGACTGGTTCGATAAAATGCGGCCGCAGAAGAGGGGGGACTTCAGGAAGCAGGTACGCGGTACCTACAGGTACCTGGCCTTGGCGCACACGGGTGGGTCCCAGCCGCAGCACAGAACACGGCCCTCCGGTGTAGGCGCATCTGCGGCACCGTTTGTACAGCACATACAGATGGGGACAGACAGGACCAGTCACTTGGAGAAATAATAGGTTCTTGGCAAATTACAGGAGATACATTTCCTTACAGGAAAAACTGATAGAATTAGTTCTACAACACTGTAACCCACAGTACCACTACAGCAAGTATCCTGGAGAAAAATGCCATCTTAACCCTGAAATGCAGGGCGGAGAGGTCGGGAGTAATAGTTCGTATGTCCAAACTAAGTAGGCCTTTTACTTTTTCACTGTATAAAAGAATTATTCTGGGTCTGTGTATTCTCAAAAGTGAACACGAGTTCCCGAAGAGGACAGAGCTAAATTCTGAACTTTAAGCATAAGATCTGTTTTGAATGCTTTGGCTTCTGAAATGCATTTGTATTTTCAGCCTTTGCTTCACAAATGTGAGGGTTTAGAGGGCTTTTTTTCCTTTATGAAAGCTGACATTTACATGCAAATACTTTGGAGTTTGGGCATTAAGAACATTGTATATGCTGTGAGACTTGTTACAAATTTAGTTGACTCCTGAAAATATCAGTCGTTTAGTTTTGAATTAAGTGTATTTAAAACTTAAAGAAAATATGCATGTGTTGTTTTTTTTTTTATGAGCATGACATTATATGTTAGGGAATATCACTTTGGTTAGTTCAGGTCATCTGCCTGGTTGTGTCCCTTCCCAGCCTATTGTGCATCCCCAGTCTATTCACTGCAGGGGCAGAATGAGAAATGGAAAAGGTTTTGATGCTGTGCAAACACTGTTAGCAAAAGGGAGAACATTAATGTGTTATCAGTACTATTTTGGTCAAAAATCTAAAACACAGCACTATGTATAAGCTGCTATAAAGAAAATGAACTTACACCCTAGCCAATCCTAGCGCAGCATGCTTTGTTGTTCCATGTATATGTATCAACTGCAGGGGAGATTATGATTGCCACTTAAAATATCAAGAATTGTAAAACCTGAAGGGGAAGATGTGATTAGCTATCCAAAAAATAAATCAAAACTGCCCTGTTGTTAATAGGCTTAAATTCCCAATCCCCATCTTCAACTGGGAAGTCCTACTTCTAAAAGTTCAGGATCTCCCAAAGCTTCTAAGGGCATATATTTCTAGTATTTTAGAAAAAACATGTCTGTTCAGTGTTTTTAAACACGAGAACTTTGTAGGAAATATGGGAATCTCTATCCCGGGTGAGAGAATCAAACATAAAAATGCAATGAAATTGCTACTTTGATATCAAATAATGAATTGTTTCATACAGCATTATTTCCCACTGCCTCCAACCTACAGATAGTTTATATGACGTCCCCATCAATATGGTTGGAAGGTCATTGAGCTATCAATATTTGTCCAACAATGATTCTGAAAGCTGAGGAAGGGAAAGGGGGGTGAAACTTGTCTGTGGGCTGACTGCGCTCAAAATAAACTTTTTCAGGGGTTTTAAACTTGGAGGAGGGCTGGGTGAGCTGGACGCAAGGGGGAATGGATTCCACATCTTGTGAGCCATCTCTGCAAAAGTGACCCTGGCACAAAAGTGGGATCTCTCAAAGGTGGGTGGTATGATGTTAGTCAGCATTAGGGTGAGGCTTAGTCAAGGCAGGGTTTATGCTAACTTTGGCTAATCTGCTAAAGTAAGCATTATGGGCTAGATCCAAGTTGAGTACAAGCAGAGGTAAACCCATGGACTTGTGTAAAAGGATATAACCTCTTTCTTTTTGAAGAAACTCTTCAGCTACGACGAGTTGTTTTATGAGGAGGAGTATAGATGAGCAAGGAAATGCCAACTTGAAAAGCTGAACCAATCAGAAATAAAGTTTGAAACTGATTTACCTAACAGATTTCAAACAAATGCTTTCCATTCTTAACAAAGTAGAACCTTAATGACTGGTTTTGAAATGGCAAGTACTTCACAGTGGCACTGATGTACAGTGGTTCCGTTTCAGGTTAACAGCTGGTGGAATAGCCTGACTGAGGGTCAGCGGACTGTGACAGGTTTGTGTTAGCTTACAGGTATTAGACATTCGCAGGAAGAGAAATGTGGCAAACAGGTACAGTATGTTAAAACAGGTGCCTTTCACACCATGTTTAGGTTGTTAGGCACAAAGCATGTGTAAACTTACACCTGCACACACACTATTTCTGCTGCACTTCCTTCACAAAACCTATTTTTTGTATGCATTAAAAAAATTCCTATGCATCAGTGTGAGAGTGTGGAGGATTATCTGGAATTCTCTGCTGGCAACATTTTTCTCAGGAAGTGTGAAAAACAGCAGATGTTTCTAAAAGGAAAAGATGTATATATTCCACTGATATGTGGAAATAAAATTCCATAATAGTTGCTTCTTTTTTGCAGCATGATACATGTAAAATAACAAAAAACCACCTTGTGAGCTTTCCTTTGGTTATGATGTAGTTTTGATTGGTTAGCCTAACAGCACTTGAAATCCCCAAGGTAAATGTCATGTGTGGTGAGAAATTGACAAGAACTTGATTCAAAGCCGAATGAAGTAGCTGAGCCGTATCCATTGTTACATATTCTGCTAAGTATTTACTGTATTTACTTGTTAGCATAAGGTTACTTAAATGCTATTTCTGTGTCATTTACTTTTCTACAGAAACATTATAGAAAAAAAAATATTCAGCAAATTTACTAACTCTTTGCAAAGTTGACGCCCAGCCTAAGAACAGATCCCGTAAGTGCTGAATGTTTTGGGCAAAAATAATCTCAGGCCCTCAATTAGTAAGTGCTGTCACAAGTTTTGTATGATGCTTTGAAATGCTTTTCAACATGCAAGCCAGGATACAGATACAAATACTTACTGGGGCAGGGCTGGTGAAGATACCATTCTGCAGTCTCTAGAGTAGTTCTAGTTGATCTAACAAGCAATACAAATTTAAGTTGGTGGACCCTAACCCATTCAGATGCTTACCCTTGATTACTCTAGCAAGATTTGGCTTGCTATACTGAAATAGTTGACAGTACTGTAACGCCTTGGTTTAGCATGCAGGGAAAACATTTTGGTTCTAGGACTTACAGTTTTTCACAGTTCCTACAGTTTGTTGCAAGCTTCAAATATAATAATTATGTGACATTTACCATTATGTAAAAGCGTCATTATTATGTTCCCCTTTAATGTTTCTAGCAGTTACAAAACATTTTAAATACCTAAACACTTGGATAGAAATAGAGAAGGCACTTTAACCAAGAAACAATGAATTTGTATCATTATATTTCTAATAATTTACATTCTTATTTAAAATAAAGATCACAATAAATATCTGTGCAGTAAAAACTATCTGCCTTAGCAATGCCAACTCAACTTTTTATGCTTGATCTCTAAATAGCATCTTTACAATTCCCTTAAAACAGAGCTTCCCAAATCGGATGGGATGTGTACTGAATGTTTCTATGGTTCCCCTAGTCTTTTCCCCTCCATGTGTGGTTAAATCTGCATCCTGCTGTGCATCAGATTAGCTGCTTATGTCCAAATGCCACCAGAGAGGCAAGAAATGGGACCTCTTAATCTGGCACTTGTTCCATGGGTTCTGTATTTGAAGTTGTAACTTGTGTGTCTTCAGTACAGATTTTCTGGACTGATGTATTCATTACACTGTATGTTTAAACAGTTGCCATTAAGTATCATATTTCTGAAAGACTTCCATTTGATAAATGTAGCTTTCAGAATTTGCCTTTGCCTTTTCTAAACTTTATAAAGTTAGAGAAGTGGATACCTCTTTAAATGGAATAGTGAAGAAAAAGTATGTTTCTTGTAAGTGTACTTTTGAATGCTTGCTTACAGTCAGCATTATGATGTATTACACTTTTATTATGCTTTTATACTTTCCCCCCCCCCCTCCTCTTAACAGGTATTATAGCTGCAAATGTCTTTGTATTCTGTTTATGGAGGCTGCCTGGTATGCGACGGTTTATGTTTACATACTTCACCTCAGATCCATCCTCCAGTAAGTGAATAGTAATTTGGGTGACTTTTCTACACTGTGATGTAATAGAACCTCCAATCATACTGCAGAAGCTTCAGCTGGTGCATGGCTTACTTGTAGCTCCACCACCCACAAGCCATCTCAGTCATTCCCAAACACATCATTCTGTTTACAGAGGACATGGTTTGAGGGGAAAAAAGAAGTAATAGATCTCATTTTTAACAACAAAGAAAACACTGGTGCTTTTCTAAATATTGTCAAAACTGTTGCCTGCTGTCTGGCCTTTTACTGCATTTAGTAGGATGCACCTCCTGCCTTTGTAAAGGTGAAGATAGGATACAGATACAGCACTTCTCCCAGTGATGTCAAGCTGTACAACAGAATGCAAATCATGCCACTCTTTGGGAAGGAGCAAAATAAATTGTACTATGCAATGCCATTCAAAAAACAGACTCAAATGTAACCCCCACACTCCTTTAATATTCTGTGGGATGCAGATAGAAGTCACCAGTCACATGCATGTGCACTTCCATCAATAGACAAGTGTTAGTCTGTACATCATGTACAGAGTCCTTGTTTCAAAGCTGTGCTTTGAATCACATAATAACGAAACCCTAACAAACGTGCAGACTTGGGTTTCACTGTATGTGAAATATTTTTAACAGGTTAAGGAAAGTAAGTTAGTGGTATTTAATGTTGAACGATTAGTTGGTAGAGAACAGAATGAAAAGGATGAGACAAGTATGCATTAGGAGAGTACTTTCTGTTTACTTGTCCTCTTAATTTCTGCTGAAAAAGTGGAAACTCAGCTAATTCCCCCCAGACATCCCAAAGCTAAAAGCTGGTATCCAGAGCTGAGCATCAGTCACTCCAAACACTCCTATTTTAAATAATGCTGACCTTCAAACCTGTTAATTGGCACTTTTTGCACTTTCAAGGCTGGTGTTTCAGTGAGGAGAGCTAGTAGCTTGTTTTCAAAAGAAAACTAGCTTTTCTTTGAGTCCCTCTCTGTAGCAAAATAGATTTAGGTAGTTGCTCATAAAAGACATTAAAAATCTTTCACTATATACATATATAAAAATCTCTTCTTTCCAAAGCATAGGAGATGTGTCATAAGGTAAATGTTTTATATGAAACGTTCCCCAGTAAGTAAGAAAGACTTTCTACAGGAGCTGTTCGTACAGTTTGTACATCTCTGGGGTACATGTTGTCCCTTTCAAAGGTATTATGTGGAGTTTGAAATATTTTACATTTCTGGGTTTATTACATAGGATGTATTTGAGAATTCAAACCATTATTAGCCTGTAGTATGTCTTGATAAATTTTTGTTCTGTATGACATGTAAGTCGAAGCATATTAAAACCCTGACTTTCTTCTTGCATTGTTTTTTCTCTTGTAGGAGCCCTGTGTTCTCCCATGCTGCTTTCTACATTTAGTCACTTTTCTCTGTTCCACATGGCAGCAAATATGTATGTTTTATGGAGCTTTTCCAGCAGCATTGTCTCTCTTCTGGGATGCGAGCAGTTCCTTGCGGTATATCTTTCTGCTGGTAACGTTAAATAGATATATATTCACACCACTTTAAATATGTATTCATGCAACTGAAGTGTGTGCATGATAATAGATGCATGATAGTTCGCTATTGTTCAGTCCCCCACATTGCTTTATATTAACTGTGCTACTTATCTGCTGTCATACAGAATTTTGATGGGTTTAGAATATTTAGCTTTAAAATACCATGAAAATGCAAGTAGCTGGTTTTAATTCATCCTTAGCTACCAAAATAAAATAGCTCAATACAGACTTATGAGAGTTTAGTGGGAAAAGATGACAGTTGATGTTTTAAAAACCAAAACAGCCACCACCACCAAACAAGGAATCCCACATCACCTACAGTAGCTTCTTTACAGAGGTGTTGGGATAATGTACTTTCTGATGCTTGTCTGTATTGCTGGCATTGTTTCCAACAGTAATTTTTCCTCTCTAGGAGTTATCTCCACTTTTGTCAGTTATGTTGCTAAAATGGCCACTGGAAGGTTTGAACCATCGCTTGGAGCTGTAAGTATCTCAGCATATGGGAGACCTTATAATGGTTTCTGAAGCCACTTTCAAAGCCTGCTGTACTCTTTAACCTGCTTAAAACCCAAGAATATATTTGGGATAATAGAAACTAGAGATGTTTACAAAAACCAAGTAACCAGGCAGTGATTCCTGTGCAAGAACATGCCAGTTCTTCAAATATGTTAACTCCTTTGCAGCAGGAGCCCAGAACTAATGCCACTTAATGCTTGTAAATGAGTACTTAACAGCAGGACCTCTTGTCACTGAACAGGTAGTCCAGTTTTATTATTTTATAAATATTGTTTCATTAATTGTGTATCAGTCTTCTCTAATTGAAAACAGAAAGAGACAACATAATCAGACAGTCAAAATCAGCGTGTGATGATAGTGGAAGCTGTTGGGCATGCCATGCAAAAAGGGCAGCACTCCTGCCAAAAGTCTCACAGAAATGAGGCAGGCTGAAGAGGTGGTGTAGTTGCCTTTTCTTTACAAGCATTAACTCAATATAAGTTTGAGGTGAACCTAGCTATTTGCCAAGCATTAAAGGCTTCTTAACTTACTTTACTAAATAATGTTGATAAAAGCCATAAGTTATAATCTTATTTTTCAATTGGAATGAAAAACAGGTGTTGAACTGTGCCAGAGTTAGAATTTTGGCAGTGCTGTCTATGTATTGTCCCTTTATCTTATGAATAAACTATATCTGGAGCAAGTTAACTTCCCATTAGTCTTACTGATCTGAACTTACTGAAATACATTGCATTACTTTACTGTATTCACAGCCTTCCCATTGAGATATTTCATGGATACAAAAAGCCCATGGTCAGTTTCATACAGACCAGGGAATTACTCATTTCATTGACAAAAGCTTTTTGTCCCTGTCCATCTGTTATTTTCCTTGTTTTGGTACAAGCTTCAGAATGATTCCCTTCATTCGAGATGTCTGTGTATGATTAATATGTGTTAAATTTCTAGGCTTTACTGGGAAAGAAGCACATTAACATAATTTGTTACCTTAAAAAATGGGCTGCATTTGAAAATAAAAGCCCAAGGGGAAACAGAAATTTTCCCTTATGTAACATCTCTGCTTACTGTCATGTATTTTAATGTATTTGCAGTCAGGAGCTATAATGACTGTCCTTGCAGCTGTATGTACAAAGATGCCAGAAGCAAAACTCGCCATCATATTTCTTCCAATGTTCACATTTACAGCAGGAAGCGTAAGTTCCTTTGAACTTTAAATCAATTCTGCTCTTAAAACCTTTTCCCTGTGTCTTCTCTATCTCCTCTGCACATGTGTCTGTCATTCGTGTTTCTAAGCTGTTAGATTGGTTTTCAAAGTGAATACAGGTCATGCAAGTCCTGGAGACTGAATTGTTGCAGCCTAGCACAATCATTGCACAAGTGTGTAGTGGATTGAGAATTGCCCTAAATTCCATCCTCCATAGGTCTGTTTCAAATCTGATACTAAGAGGTGAAAGAATTAAGGAGGGACTTGGTTCACCTGTCTGAGGAGGTGTGCATACATATACGTACGCATTTTTACAGCAGCACTTTTTACAAGCTAATCCAATACTGATATGCTCTTATTGAAGAAAAAAATATAAGGATGGGAAAAACAGAATGTCACTTCTCAAGGGAAAAAAACATTCCGATCCTGGAGGAATACCTGCCTCCTCATTTGGAAACCATCTTTTCCTAGAATGGTTTGGTACACTGTTGAGGCTTTTCTTCACGTGTAACACTAGGACTCGTTTGTTTCTTTAAGTTCTTTTAAGCACATCCACTGCCCCATTTAAGAAAAGCTGCTCATGTGTATCTTGAGCTGCTTTAATGAGTTAATCGTCTTTGATCCACTGCTTAAAGTTCTGCTGTTTTACTTAAAGCAGTTAAAGCTTTGTTGTTTCAAGATCATGCGATTTAGTGTTTTTGGGAAGTGAAGCTTACAGATTTAAACAAATGTTCTTAGATGTAGCCTTCCTGGTTTTCTTGCACTTCTGCTTGAGAGGACCTGGGATTTTTGCTGCTACCTTTTAATTGCATCTCTCCTTAAGAAGATGGCCAGGATAGAAATACTGGCAGAGCCATAGAGAACATTGCCATGAGGAAGTAATTACTGCAACAGTAAAACAAGAGCAGCATTGGCTGCTGCAGTGTAAATGTTGGAATGATTTTAGCCTTACTATATAATTGCATTTTGAAACCTTACGTACTAGGTTTAGATCCTCAGGCTACCTCACATGTACTGTAATTGGTTTTTTAAAATAAACAAGCCAGTGTAGCAATAGAGCTGCTATTCTAAGACACACACTTAAGGAAAGAAATCCTGCTTAAAGTAACATCTCATCGTAACATTATATCTGTTGGTCTTTTTGGAATGAGGCACTTAGTAAAATTTTGTATAATTACAGTTATAGTGGTTTGTGTCTCCTGAGGATGCTTCACCATTGCGTATGCTCTTTCTGGACACAGAGTTTTTCAAAATCATCCTCATTTTCTACCTGCCAAGAGATTTGTCATTAGGAAAGTGTGATGACCAATTTATATTAGATGACAGGGATTCTGCCCCATATGTTCCGTCCACTGAAGGGTTGTGTTTGGGAGATCAGATGCATATAAATCTAAGCTATGTCAGAATTGGTGAATGAGAATGTTGCTATTACTTATTTTGTGGTATCTTTTATACTGTGCACTCTTTCAAGCAACTAAGTAACTTCTGACCTCAGTTTGGAATGTATGCGTGGCTTTAGAAGTGAAGATTGGAAGAGACAGAGTATTTGAAAAGGGCACATTCCTACCCTGCACTGTTCTGTAGCCGCTCATGTCTGTATTTTGACAGGACAGTACAGCTAAGAACTGAGTCTGTTTTAAAACAATTTGGTTTAGGTTTTGTTGGGGGGGGGTGGGGGGGTGGGAAGAGGGGGAAAGTGATTTTTTACAGAAATTACTTTGATATAAAATTCATGGAATGTTTCTTGATCCCAAATTTTTGCTGTGCCAAATAGGAAACACTGTTAATCAGTGGCCATTTTATACTGTGGCTGATCTGTCCATACCTTTGCAGGCACTGAAAGCCATAATCGCATTTGACTCTGCAGGACTTGCTCTAGGCTGGAGACTTTTTGACCATGCTGCACATCTTGGGGGAGCCCTCTTTGGGATGTAAGTCTGTTTACTAACTTCTGTTTGTTTCGTATTTAAGTTCATCCTAATTTTTTCTTCTTTACTTCCTCTTTTCTCTCTTTTTTTTTGAAGATTGTCTTAAGCAGCATTGAAGACAACTCACTGTTATCCTTGAGTGTTATAAAATAGTGTAGAAAATGCTGTCAGTCAGTGCTTAGAACTGAAAGAACTGACCTGAACTGACTTCGAATGACAGATTAGATGTCATATTGTCCTGTCACTGTAACTTGGCCTGGTTGCCTGTGTCCTGCTCTCCCCAGCACATTGAAGAGAGTCACAAGGCAGAAAAGATTCTCACAAAACACAGCATGAACAAATTAAAATAACTTCAAATTAAACAGCTGAAACAAATTTTGTCCAATTTTTTTTTTTCTTTAATTGCCAATTTAGAGCTCCAGAGTTGGTATAAGCTCAGGCCAAATTCCATTGAGCAGCCTCTACTGCTGTTGCTCAGTGTTGCTGCATTGTCTTTGTGTGGAGTCTTCCAAATTGGGAAGAATTATTAGAAACCAGTTTGTAGGAAACAGTTCTGCATTGTTCCATGTTTGAACTACGTTAGCTAATGAGTTTTTCCCTTCTGCCTAATTGCAGTGTTGTGTTAATTTGCACACTTGTAGTTAAGAGCATTTCTAAACACTTATATAGGCATTTTAAAAGCCTACCTGAGGTTTAACTAGGCCAGGCAAAGAACAGGTGGGGAACACTTCATTTTAGTCTGCAAACTGTTTTGCCTTTCTTTGCTATTGAGTTGTGCTGCAGTCACCTTTTCTCCCCTTCTCTGGCATCACAACTGCATCTGATGTTGTCTTGCTGATCCATAACTACTTTCTGCCATGTGATATATCTATATCAGCTTGCAGATTCACATATTAGGATAGCAGTTGCAGTAAAAGTTGTCTTGAGTCAACTAGGTGAGGAAGACAAGATATGTTCTACCTATATGTTCTACTCTGTGATCATTTTGGTTTCTTCATCCTAAATCAGGGCTTCTATTTAGCACGTATGTTGAATAGCCAAAGTATTTTCTATACATTGCCTCGCAGACAACTGTCTGCTTTGGAAAGAAGATACATGATTGTCCTGGGTTCAGCAGTAGCAGTCATTTTTTCTCCTTCTTGGTAGCTGGTGCAGTGCAGTGTTTTGACTTTCAGCTCGGGAACAGAGCTGATAACAATGATGTTTTGGTTTGGCCAAGGACTTTGTGAGCCTCATGCTCTGCCAGGGAGGAGGGGAAGCCGGGAGGAAGCAGAGACAGGACACCTGACCCAAACTGACCAAAGAGGTATTCCATACCACAGCACGTCATGCCCAGGATGTAACTGGGAGTTAGCCGGAAGGGCTGGGAGTCTGCGGGGTTGGAGGAGGTATCAGTCAGAGCTTGGTCGGGCTTGGGGGGCGAGTTATCGGTCAGCTGGTGCTGAGGTGTTGTATTCTCTTCCCTTGTTATTTCCTTTATCATTATTATCATTGGTGGTAGCAGTAGTGATTTGTGTTATACCTTAGTTACTAAACTGTTCTTATCTCAACCTGTGGGAGTTGCATTCTTTTCCATTCTCCTCTCCGTCCCTCTGGGAGTAGGGTGAGGGAAAGAAAGGGGGGAATGAGTGAACGAGTTACCTGACTGGGTTTAAACCACGACAATGATTTATAGGAATGGCCTGTTTACCCAGTACTGGCTGTTGGAAAATTGATATTCAAGACTCAGATGTGAAGTTAGGCTTGTGGGAGAACCTTCAACCTATTTCCATGCAGTTGCTTCCCCTCCCACCTCTCTTCTCCACCATAACCTCCCTTGCTGAATTACTTATGTTGCTATTCATATATCAAGATATATAATTCTCTATGAATATCAGTCAAGCTAAAACACTTGGATAGATTAAATCCTCATTTAGGTGTTTATAGAAGAAAATGTTTTGAATGGAATGTGGCTGTTAATTACAGGGCAGTTATATTTACATGTGAAAAAAATTTACTTGGTGGTGTCAGTAAACCTTAGCACAAGCAACAGAGACTGTTTTAACAGTCTCTTAAGTAGAAATCATGAGAGCATGAAATTAAAGGCATGAAAACCAGCCATTCTCAGGACTGAGACAAGCAAGAACACAAAAGTTAATTATGAGGAGTCATGAGAACAAGTGGCTTACCTGCCACTGCCACTTTCCAAGAGTGGTATTCCTTCTGCCTTGGTTTTTCTTGTCTCCTATATTATCTAGGAGTAGAAATGCCTACAGGCATTTCAGTTACCTGATTTTAGTGATCAGCCTGTTCCTCAGATACAGAGAAAAGTTGCTGTTAGTTTTAACCAGCATTTTCTTTTTCTCAGGTGGTACGTGACTTATGGCCATGAGCTCATATGGAAGAACAGAGAACCACTGGTGAAAGCTTGGCATGAAATGAGGACAAAGAACACAGGAAAGGGAGGAGGTGGAAGATCTAACTGATTCCAATCCTAGAGATTCCTTGTGCCCAAGTGGTACATTACTTGAAGACATGGGATTTAATTGGTTTTCTGCTACTCCACATGAAGCCTCTAAGGAGCTGAAGTTTCTAATGTAAATTACAGTTACAAAAATGCATATCAATAGAAAATGAACTCTGACAAAGGCGGAACAATAAAGGTTTTTATCCTGTTGCTTTCTGAGGTAATAGTCTGTGTTACATTTTTTAAAGGAGAAATATATATTAAAAAAGGCTTTCCAATGAAGTGACCAAATGATCTGTCCACAAAGCTTCAATCTGGGGCACAACTGGTTAATACTTAGTAAAATTCACTTCCTTACCTATGAATCATGCATCCCCCTAATGTCCTCCGAACACTATGAGGTGTTTTCCTGGAAGGCATGCTTTAGGCAGCCTGGACTTAACAGAAGGGTAATGTGGTAAAGTCCAGTGGTCTTTATTATTGACAAGATTAACTGAGATAAGCCAATGGTCTCTATTAATTTTAAATGTGAAATACATGAAGCAATACTGGATTGTTTGCCAAAGCTTACATACTGGTTAATGGTACAGCTTTATTCATTCTGTGATTCTATTTATCAGCTGCAGCTTATTCAACCTGGGGTTTCCATTTCTATCTGCTTCCAAGATGATGTCAAATCTTGTTAGAATTTACTACAGTCGTATCTTTTTCATAATTACATGCAGTGGAAGAATGTCTTATACTGTGGTTTTGAATGTTTTACTGTGAGTTATACTGCTAGTGCTTTCTATATTCTTTCACTGCATTAGTTTCTGGGTTTGGTTTTGGTTTTTAGTGTTATTCTATATTGCTAATTTTAAGGGTTTTCTAAGTACTTTTAAACCTTAATATTTGGTTAAGAGTGTGCCAGGTCTATTAAATAAACAGCTACAGCAAAAATAGATCAGATGCCCTAGTAAAGGGTAGTACCATGACCAATGTTCCTCCTGTACAAATAAAAACAACAATTGATTTTTGGGTATGTTGCTACCCTGTGCTTGTCCTGCAATGATGACTACCAAACCCCTTGCAAAGGGCTGAGAAGTCTGCCCAGATCTGAGCTGGTGCATTCAAACCCTCAGCTCCTCCCTATAGGCCGAATTAGTCATTCCAGGTATACTGACTTGCCAAAGAACATGTTGCTTCTGTAAGAAGCCAAGTTTTGACTTTCTGCTTGATAACAGTACCTTGCAGAAAATAATTTCTTGTAGGGCAAAGAATACAGAATGCAAAAGGCACCAGTCCGAATAAATGATGGAGTACAAAATTGCTGTAAACTCAATTACTGCCACAGGCTAGTGTTCAAGTCTCATTTTTCTTCCTCCCTTGGAAAAATGAGGCCCTTGAGGATTTGTTCCTTAAGTGCCCGTCGACTTACACAGTTGAAAAATGAAGGAGTCTGAATTTCTAATAGACCTTTGCTCTGCTCCAGAAGCTGCCTGGCTGTTTGTAACCTGTTACCCAGCCAATCATGCCAGTTTTTAGGGCTTCAGCCAGAGTGCAGCCCTGCCTGCAGCAGAGAGAGGGCAGCCGAACCTGCAGCAAGCTGCCGCCAGCAGCAGTAACAGCAGCCACCTCAGCCGTATAAGATAGCCACTGAACAGGCTTATCATAAGGGGGTATATCATGCCAAAGAAGCTCAAAAGCCATAGCTCACAGTATCTGCATGTTGATCTCAGACCTGTTTAATGCTTGTCTATCTGTTGTCTTTGCTCACTTCTTTTATTCCCCCCCCCCCCTTGCATTACCTCTTGTCCACTCAACAGCTTACCTAGTCTGTTCAACATTTCTCTATTTGCTGAGGGTGTTTTTTAAAGAGATCCTGGTTGAAAGCAGCAGGGAGTAATAGTGCAGGAAACAGTATGTAAAGCTTGAATGACATTAGGTTTTACAGGTCTGGAAGAATAAGCCAAGGTTACAATTAAGTTCTTCACCATAGTAGCCAGTGCCTACCTTAGACGTCGAAAGTCATGCCCCTGTATTGCTTGCACAGGCTGGAGCCCCGCTTGTGGTCTGTTAGACCTGCTAAGGCAGGAAGCGTGCAGGTAAACACCACAACATTTTCAGGCCGTCCCTTCAGAGGCAATGCCTGCAGTTCTGCTGGACTTCTGATGCATAAGCTTTACCTTAACTTTAGACCTAATAGCCTTGTAAAGGCTATTTGATACCTGAATCTTCCTTATTTATAGGAACTCTAGAGGCATTTAACATATGTACGAAGGTAAACCATCTTCTCTGCTCCAAAATGACTTTCAAACTGCAATAAGAAAGCTAACAGTCAGACAGGGAATAGCCTGGAGTTATGACAGCTCACTAGAGTACAAAATACATTTCTGGCAAGCAAATACCCTTCTTGCAAAATCTGGCATCAGTACCTCAGTATTTAGTCACACCTTTGAATAACAAAGAAATTAGAAGAATTACAAAAACAAAACCAGAAAAAAAAAAAACAATAACAGAAAGAACCAGTCACCTAAAACAAAACTAACCACGTGGAAAGACTTTTCTCCCCCTCTTCAAAGAGCTATTATTGTGCATAAGAATACAATGTAGTGATTATGCAGACTTGGCAGAGACAGCAGCCAGTGTTTGCATAGGGAAACAGCACTAAGTGTAAAGTCATGGTTAATTGTGTAGAGACACAATCCTTCACCCTTTTTTGATCCCTAAGAATGTCTGCTGTGGCCTTGCCATGTTTAAGGGGTATTTTGTTTCCTTGTAGTGAACAGCTCTATTGGAATTTCATTTTATTATTAGAACAAACTGTCTGCTGGAGGTTTCAGCCCCCATTCCTAGCAGCAACAGCCGCTTTGCTGTCTGATTTGATGGCTTTCCTTAGTTTTACTGCTGCAGTATTCCTACCTCCTCCCCCAGCTTTTAATCACAATAAATCTCTTCTAAATGCAGACAAGTTTTTAATCTCACCCGGTGCCTCCTGGATCCCTTATCCAAGCTAGCCTTTGTGCCAGCTTCATCCTACCAGCTAGAATGAGCAGCAGCTCAAAAGCACTCCCTGGTGCTGTAGGTGGGCTCTGAGACACACAGCACCAGAGCTGAACTCAGTATTAGGAAGCGGCAGGCACAAGGAGTGCAGAGACATCCGATTTATTCTCCAATGTATTTTGCTAAGTCAGGCCTAGGAACAAGGATCAGAGCATCATTTGTACTGTGCCAGTGATAGCGATGATAAAGCTGATGTTCTGTTTTCTCCCATGGCTGTAAAGTCCATTTCTGAAGCGTTCTGCACTACACTCAAATCTGATTTATTTTTAAGAACTGCTACATAGAGCAGAATAGTTCCAGAAAAAACAAACAAACAACAAAACAAAACAAAAAAAAAACCAACAAACCAAAATGCAGCAGAATATTAAGAAATGTCTCCCTGAATATCCTTAAAAGCAACATTGTATTTGTGGGCTTTTCAGGCAAGAACTGAAAAGCAGCATCCAATACCCCATATGTTACTGTGTCAAGACTTCCGTGTGGGACCAGAAGCGTTACCTGGAATTTCTGACTCTCCCTGCCCTAGCCAACAGGCACAGGGAGTAGGGAGAATTAGAACCACCAGCAGCACCAGCAAGTGCCAAATCAGATACTTAGGACATCAGCATCATCTGCTAAAGGAGTTTCTTTCTATCCTTTGACAACTGTGTTTCAAAGGAGGTCAAACAGACAAGGAGAGGTTCTGTCTCAGACTAATACCTGCATTTCCAGCCCTCCTCCCCACCAGAGGTAAGTGCAATCCTAGACTGAAGCCTGAGGTGCAAATACACTACAGATACAGGCTGATCAGCTGAAATAGAGCAGTAAATCTCAGCTTTTCAAGTTCTACTACCTAATTTCATATTAGATCTCACCAGACAGCCACCTGCGACTAGATTATTCCATTCCAAAATAAAGTACCTGTGAAGTTAAACAGATAATTTTCTAATAGGTGGCATCTCAGTTTATCTGCACTCTTCACTTTTACAGCCTACAGTGACGCATTCAGATCCAACTTCTTCCGCAGTAACCCACTGAATGGTGAACTGGGGAGGATTATCACGCAAGATGCCAAGTTTCAAAAGCCAGACTTACCCCCAGTGTAATTCTGTCAGCTTTGGTGGTTTGTGCCGGGTCTGTTTGGGTATGAACCTCAGTGTACAAAAGAAAAGCTGTAATTTCCAGCCTCTGGAAAACAGTAAATAATGTGGATGATACATTAAGGTACATAACAAATGCTTGGGGTTTGGTCAACAGCTCGTATTTTAAAAGTGAAGTGGTTAAACTATTAATGCAAATGGAGGAAGAGGTGGGGTGTTACGAGAGGTGGGGGGAGTTGTAGACGGCCATTGGAAATGAAAATTGCAAAGCTGCTATTTCTCATCCAGATCGCTTATTTTATAAACATCCGCTTTCACATACAAATGATTTCACTAATCAGAGATGGTGATGGATAACTTGAAATTATAATTATTGGCATTTTACAAGGGTCTGTAGTGACAGGACAAGGGGGAATGAATGGTTTTAAACTGACGGCAGGGAGATTGAGATGAGACATTAGGAAGAAATTCTTCCCTGTGAGGATGCTGAGGCGCTGGCACAGGGTGCCCAGAGAAGCTGTGGCTGCCCCATCCCTGGCAGTGTTCAAGGCCAGGTTGGATGGGGCTTGAAGAAACCTGCTCTAGTGGAAGGTGTCCCTGCCCGTGGCAGGGGTTGGAACTGAGCGAGCTTTAACGTCCTTTCAAACCCAAACCAGCCTGGGATTCTATGATAACTAAGCAGTGCCACCCAGCTAGAGCAGAGCGGTGTTCCCTGCCTGTGCCTGGATACACTGCGGAGCTCTCCGGGAGCAGAGCGGGCTCCTAGCGCACCGAAGGCAAAATCCGTACTCGGAGGCGCACGGGGAGAGGGAGCCGGCGCCTCTTGGAAGTCACCGCAGGCAGCAGCCGGGGCCGCACTGGGGCTTCCCCCCGGAGCCGCCTGCCGCCGGGTCCGGTCTCGGCGGCCGCTCCCGCACCGCCGGCAGCCCGGGTCACGTGCGCGGTCCGTAATCCCGGCGAGGGGGTGTCGTTACCGGGAAGGGGGGCGGCGGGAGGAGGGGCTGCCGCTCATGAGGGCTGAAGCCGGGTGCGCGGCCGGCTGCGGGCGCCGCTGCGGCCATGGCCTGGCCCTGCATCAGCCGCGTGTGCTGCCTAGCCCGCTTTTGGAGCCAGCTGGACAAGTCCGACCTCTCCGTGCCGCTCACCATCCACAACTACTCGGACATCGAGGAGCAGGAGGACGGGCCCCACCACCAGCGCGGCGGAGCGCCTCCGCGGGGCAGCGCTCGCCCGCCCGCCCCGACCCCCCGCCCGCGGGACCCCGCCGCCGCCATCGGGAAGCCGGGCGGGCGCAGAAAGAGCCGTGAGTCCGCCGGCGGAGAGCCCTTCGCAGCGGAGACCCAGTACCGGCGGGACTTCCGAGCGTGGCCGCTGCCGCGGCGAGGGGACGCCTTCCCCTGGGTCAGCGCCAGCAGCGGCGGGAGGGACGGGGCCGCCCCCCAGCCCGCCCCGGGCCGCGCCGCCTGCGCCCTGCCCGGCAGCGGCGGCCCCGAACAGCTCCGGCCGCGGCCACAGGCGGACGGCGGACACACCACCTCCTACAGGTAAGCGGGGCCCGCTCCCCGCCCCGAACCAGGGATGCTCCTCCGCAGCACAGAGAAGGGGGGCTGTGAGCAAGGGAACGGGGGAGGACAGGGACTGCCGCCTCAGCCTGTGCCAAAGCCGCGTTTGCTTTCGGAGGTGCGGTCCCGCAAAGCGTCGTTTGGTCCCCGGGTGCTTTTGCACCAGAGGCGGCTCGGCTGGGCGGCCCTGCGCTCCCTACCCCCTGCCGCGGATAAGGAGTAAAAGCCGGGTAGGATCCATGATGCCGTCCCCAGTCAGCAGCTCTGCACCTAACCGCTACTGGGAGACACGGGGCTGGGGATAGCTGGAGCTGCACAGGACACGGCTGTACTCAACAGTCGCACTCCCCGAACTTGACAGGGCTATCATCATCTTCCCTGCAGAACTCCTGTTCAAGGCAAGCCAAATGATTGCCTCAAAGATTAGTCAGACGCAGACACCAGGGATATATCCCCCCAGACATGCCATCTAACGGGTGATGGGAAAAACCATCATAAACCACCTTTCCCAAACAGCCTGTAAAATTATTACGTGACTTTTATGTTATCGATGCCTTCCTTTCCCAGTGATCAGGACAACTGATTACAAACGCTTATTTCCTGGAACAAGTAGTCAGGCTGGATGCACATAAATCCAGCCCTTGTTCTCACTGACATCCACCATGGGAGGAGAGGGGATTTCAGCCCCTACAAAGGCTGCTGTTGAATATGGTACCAGTTTCGCATTGTTACCACACACTTCCTCAGAATGATATTTGGCAGGCTTTAATATTCCTATGAGGTACACCTAGAGTAACTGTTTTTACTCCAGTAGAATCCCAAGCATTTAGATACTTGTTATCTATTATGTACCTAGGAGACATTTCTCTTTTTAAGTGCAATTCATTACGTTTTTATCACAGCACTTTTAAGACAAACACACTGGGGCCCTGAAAAGATTACAGGCCAGCAGAGGAAAGTGCATTGCTTATCCCACTCCTCCTCATGCAGACAGCTGCCCTGGTACTAGCGCAATTGCCATATGGATTCTGGAAGGATAACTGCAGTGCTTGAATTTATGCACTGTTCTATCCTTTTCCACTTCTCACAGGACAGTCACAGGGTGATGATTGGTTTTGAGGGAAAGCACTTTCAAATTTCAAAGCAGCACAAGAATTACTTTAGAGAAACCTCCCTAGAACAAGACCAGCAAGGGGCATCTTTCAGAAACACAACCCTCTCCACACTGCTGTTGAAGCCTCCTCTGGTTCTCCAGCCTGACCTCAAAGGAAGGGTGCATCAGCCTACATGAGAACTTTCCTACAGCCATTCTAATGCTCAGACTTCTCACACCTTTCTTCCTTCTGACTTGTCTGTTCTTACATAGGGCTCTCAACTACTTTCATGGAGGAGCAAGAAGTTTACAGATAACACAACAAAGTACTGGCTGGAGTGACACACTAACATGCAAATCAAACCAAACTTTGCAACATGTAATACTTCACGGTAGCTTCAGGAAAAGCAGGGCAGGGTGAGGATGGAGGCACACGGCTAGGCAAAGTTCTCACATAAAACTTTTAAGCTGTTTGGAGGCTATGCAGTACAACTAATACAGGTAGGAATACACATGCCAAACCACTTTTATCTTATTCCAGTAATTCCTACAGTTTCTTTGAATGATCACTCAGTACAACATTGCAAATATAAGAAATCCCCAGACCACTGAGCACACAAGTCTAAACAAGCAGTAGGAAAAAAAGCCCACAATAGCTTCACAATCTGCAAAAATCTATTTTAATTTAGATCTGTTGCCTTCTTCTGCAAGCTGAGCACTTAACCGCATTTCCACTAATGTCACTATACTTATGTCTCTTTTCCTCTTACCTTAGTATTTCCAAAAGTAGCACTGCAGTCTACAGACATTAATCTTTCCTCAGGGGTTGTTGCTCTCTGGCTTCCTCTCTGGCAAAGGCCTGTGGACTAGGCTGTCCCTTGGTAACCACACACAACTCCACTATCCTCTAGTAGCAGGGATCTGCCCCAGCTCTTCCTGTAGGCTGCATTCACCCAGAGGCACGGAGGCAACTAAGGAAGGAGAAAACACAGGTCACCTTTGGGAGAGGCAGAGCAGGGGGGTTCTGTTACGGGCAGCAGCTGGGGGGTGCTGGGCCTGAGCAGAACGTTGGTGAACCATGTAATGCCTTTAGAGCGTGCCTTGAGGAAGCAAAGATGTGCTTCATTTTGAAAGACAAATTCTGTATAAATGGTGGAAGAACAGCTTAGCTGCCTGACCTCCAAACTATTGTCCCATGTTCCCAGATCTATGGGGCAGCTCCTGTTTCCAGTCCCTGGATTTGGGCTGGAGTTCTGCAGGGCCTGAATTAGTCAAACCTCAGCTGGGCTACAGGGGGGGAGCTCAGGCACACAGGCTGAAGCAGATACATATAAGCTGCACTTGAAATGCTAGAATGGGATGTGCTCCTACTGTGAAAAGACCCTGGGGACTGCAGAGAGTTGAGGTGGATTATTCCTTACTGATGCTGGAGGAGGTGGAAGGAAGTGCTGAGCACCCACTGCTGCACCTTCCCAAAGGTTTGTCCTTTGGGGTCATGGAAGTACCTTCTCCCTTTCAGCAGTAAGTTGCAGGTGCTGTGTACTTCTGGCTTTGCACACAATTAGTCATAGCATGCTGGAAACAGATGAGTGCTTTACTTACCTCACTTCTGCAGTGAATGTGAGAAGCTTTTGGCAGGTATCTCCAGCTGGCTCTGTTCTCTGGATAGCATCACCTCACCTTGCTAAAAGGCAGCGTGGACCCAGGCACAACCTCTCTGCCAGGGCTGGTATTGCTGGGAGGAGAACCCTGTGCAAGGCTCAGCTGTACTTTAAGTCACTTCAGACTTCAGTTTCCCCTTCAGTAACATGCCAGCTTTAGGAAAGCACTTCAGATGTGCTTTCACATCTACACAGAGCTGTGAGCAATTGTTCTGCCTCTTCTTCCCCCACCCATCACCTTTACTCGTATTAGCACTTGGGGAACAGGGGAATGGCTATTTCTGTACACATCCACAGCTCCAGCCCCAAGCAGAGCTTCATCTTTGCAGCTGGTGTTTTCACACCATAGGTGTTTTGAGCAGGAGTGAGAGTCATAACACCCAACTTGTTTGCAGGTGGGAGGCACAGCTGTAAAGCAGACCAAACTTGAGATCAGCAGGGTTTCCTGTGCACCCAGGAGGAGCAGTCCTGTTCTGATGAAAAGGTTTGAAAAGCTGAGGTCATTACAGAGATGTAGCATTGACAATGATTTTGGGAATAGCAGGGTGAAAGATCCCTCAGCAAACTGCATTTCCACCTTCTTGTGTGAGTATTCAGCACATGATGTCCATTGCATTTGTGCCTGTGGAGCTGACATAGAATCATAGAATAGTTAGGGTTGGAAAGGACCTTAAGATCATCCAGTTCCAACCCCCCTGCCATGGGCAGGGACACCTCACACTAAACCATGCTACCCAAGGCTCTGTCTAACCTAGCCTTGAACACCGCCGGGGTGGAGCATCCTCCACACCAAGGCTGATACCACAGAATGGAGGGGAAGACACTTTTCGCATAAGTATGGATGCAATCGCAGAGCATCCTGTCCATACTGGCTGTCCATACTATCCACCCCCCTTTAGACAGTGTGCAGAAAGGCAACATGAACTGTGGTGACTGCTTCATGTTGAAAAGCACCTTATTTCAGCTGTGCAGAAAAAAACAGAAAATGCCTACACTTGTGTTCAGAAATGTGTGGGATCATTACACACACCTGAGCTGGCAGGGTTAACAGTACTGTGTATGAGGAGCTCCATCCTTGATCCAGCAAGATATTTAAATGCGTACTTATCCTTAATAATAGGAGTAAAGCTTTTATAATCAAGGCTTACAGTTATCTTTACATTCTTAAGTATCTTGCTGCTTGGGGAAATTAATACTGAAGCCCCTGATTTTTATACAATTTAAGAAGTAAGCTTGCTTGGTGTAGGCATTGGGATGGATCCAAAGGGACCCACTGTGCACTCCATAGCCTGGCTGGGGGAAGGGAGGGCTTGAACAGGGACAGAGTCATGGGAGGAGAGAGGGAGAGGGGTGGAAATAGTGGCTCAAGAGAGGATGTCTGATACGCAAAGTACACTGCAGAACTGAAATGGGAAAGATTCAAAGCTGCTGCATAAAGGTTGGAAGAATTTCTTCCGCTCAAAGTACACCCAAACTTACGTTAGAGAAAAAGAGGAAAGAAAGGGAAGTGGGCTAATAACAAAAGACAAGCTCCTAAGACCTATCCACACCCCTCATTCAGACAGCTGCCTGTCCTATCACACCACTGTAAGTACTCCATCAAGGATCTCTGTGAGGAGGGCAAGCCCCTAAAACTCACCCTAAGACAACATTTTGAGGCTTACAGATTTTTCCTGACCTTTCAGTCCAGTCTTTTGCTGTTGTTTCCTTCCTGTGAGTTATGAGCAGCTCAAAGTACCGCATTACCTTGCTGCTGGCAAGAGCTGAGACGCGAAGCAGCCAAGTGTCTTCTGCTTTCCTGCTCTCTAATTCCCGTGTGCTGGTCTCTCTACCCTCATAGGTTTTTTCTTCCATCAGCTTTTCCTTTCCCCCATTTCTGTCCTTGTGCTGTGCTCTTTGGCCAGGCAGGAGAATGGGCACAACCTGCTCGTGTCCAAGACCTGGAAGGGGCTCCAGCACATGTCAGATCTATCTCAGAGGAAAAACAGTTCAATGGGTCCATTATCCAGGAGGGCTCATGCCATAGGAGATCAGTCATCTCTGTTCTGCCCAGCCCTTCCCTGCAGCTCAGAGTCCTGGATTCACCCAGGGAAAATGGTGACTGCAAGAAAGAAATGCTGCTGTTGTGGGTCTAAGTCATGGCTGTATCTGCCCTCACACTTTCGTTTCTATGGGTGAAGGCAGAACCTTTCCTCTGTTGTTTGTAGGTGCCTTGAAAATAGCCTTGGCTATCTCGGCTGAGAGGGGAACAGTTTGACTTCCAGCCAAAATGAGGGTCCTGTGATCCAAAAGGGCTGTGTTTGGGGGCCTGCCAAATCAGCAAATGATCTGTACAAAGCAGCCAGACAGAGCTGGCTGCAGAGACAGGCAGCACAGTCATTCATGGAAAGCTGGGTATGCACTATTGCAGTGTGATGCAGCAGGGAGACCAGCCAGCACAAGGATGAATGGTTAGGAATCAATGGCACCAGCATCCTTGAGGCTATCCGGCTTTATGTGGAGCAGCAGGTTCCAGTTCCTGGAAACTGCTGGGATGTAATTGATGGCTTTGTACCATTTTGCTGGTATTTTGCCCAGTAGCTGTGTGTCCCACCTCTGACTGCACAGCACTGCAAACCTCCGATTGTAACTCTGCATTCACATGTGGCTGGGATTCCCTGCTGAAAGGTTGCCTTCTTGGGGCACTGCTTGGCCAAAATTGCCTTTCTGCAAAGGTGCTTCCTTATCCTCCGGTGCTAAAGCAGCAGGAACCTCATCATCAGCACCCTGAGAACTGCACAGGCTGAACAGCAAGATGCAGAGAAGGCAGGAAGTGAAGGCTCAAACAGCAAGAGCAAACTACTCAAGAGACAAGATTTACAGTGCACATAGACAGGCCTGACAGGGGCCTGGGTTTGCTTTCTGGCAGCAGGAAGCTCTTCCAAAGAGCAATATTTGTTACTGACTGACTGGATTTAAGAACTCACTTCCACCTTCACTCAAGCTGACAAACTGCTGTCAGACCCAGCTGCAGGCTCCTGCCCATTTCCTTGTGCCTGCACATGAACTCATCCATCTTGATAGGAGGCCAGTGCCAGCAGCTTACTCAGTCAAGAAACAGTTATTTAACTGTTTGGAATTAATTTTGGTAGCATTCTGGTTTCTCATTGGCTTAAATACAGCCCAGAGTCGTATCCTGTGCCTAGAAATCAACCAAGAAAAGGGGCAGCACTTTAAGGCTGAATCTATGTTTAGAAATTGAGCATAAACCAGGCAGTAGGTATTTTGATAATATACTAAAAGGATTCACAGAATCATAGATTGAGACCAGGCTACACATTCTCAAGTAATACTCCACACCTATACACTTTAAATGAGATTTTAAAAAGAGGAACTGCAGCTACTACCAAAATAGTAAACAGCATTCTTGGGAAAGTCATAAGCATAGTATTATAGAATGGTTTGGGTTGGAAGGCACCATAAAGCTCATCCCATTCCAACCTACTGCCACAGGCAGGGACACCTTCCACTAGAGCAGGTTGCTCCAACCTAGCCTTGAACACTGCCAGGGATGGGGCAGCCACAGCTTCTCTGGGCAACCTGTGCCAGGGCCTCAGCACCCTCACAGGGAAGATTTTCTTCCTAGTATCTAAATCTGCATCTACCCTTTTTAACTTAAAGACATTCCCTCTTGTACTGTCACTACATGGCCTTACCAAAAGTCCCTCTCTAGATTTCTTATTGGCCCCTTTAGGTATTGGAATGTCTCCCTGGCATCTTCTGTTCTCCAGGCTGAACAACATGAAAATCAGAAAGGCTATGATCAAAGCTAAGCTCGGCACATTAAAACACTGCCTATTTTCCTAGCCTGGACATGGCTCAGGACATAGTCTTACCCCTTGATCCTGTGTATAAGCAGCTAGTAAAAGCCTTTGCAGCTACTCTGAGCAGATGTACCTTGTGAATATGTTGTGTTTTACTGGTTCTTAATCTCATTTCAGGCAAGAGTATCGCCCATGGACTGGAGCAAAACCATCCAAGCCTATAAAGACAAAGCAAGGCTTCATTATCCCAGAAGACCATTTTGTTAAAGAGACAAGCTACAAGGCAGACTTTAAGGTAACTGACATTTGTTAAAATCCCACAGTTGATATGAGTAAAGCCCAAAGTGCACATAAGGAACTCCTCATTTTTTACCAGTGTGCTTCATGTAGAATAAAACCATGCCCTCATTGACCACTCTTTCGTCACAGTCCCTTAGGTAATGTGGCCATCCGTTCCTTGGGATTTTCCTGTGAGTTTCTACAACTCTCTATATACCAGCTTATTTTCTTGGTGAAATACATCTAAGTACTACTAAAAATCCTACAAGAAAACGTGTCTTTGTACTCAACATTTTCTTTGGCAGGGTTCCCCACACTCCCCATCCCCATGAAGGAGGAAAATGTGCCCCAGCAAGGCTCTGGTTTAGCTGCTTATTGCAGCAGACCACCAAAAAGAATGGCACTTCACAACCAACCCTAAAAGCCATTCACTGGCAACACTGAGAGACTGGGAAAGCAGAAAAAGGCTGGGGCTGAATTCCCTGGCCACAGCGTGCCATGGGGTTAGAGGTAATAGCAGCTGCCCCAGGGCCACATGTAAGAAAGTAAATCTTAGCCTTGCAAAAGAGGAGGAGGAAGTGTTTAATTAGCAGACAGTCAAGTGTCCCCTCCACAGAGGATTGCTGGCACACTGCTGTGACATGGCACAGGAGGCACAGGATGGGTAAGCTCCACTAAAAGTGGGACAGTAACCTCAGGCAAAACAAAATCTTCAAACCTCACCAAAACTACTTCCTTTCTCTGAATAGTCTGGGCTGATTACTGAGGTGCAGCAATGAGAACAGAGGTTATTTAACCCTTATCCCCTACATTTTGACCCTGAAAGGGCAAAATACAGTGTCTTCCTATTTGGCAGATAGGATACAAAGGAGTGGGGTCTAGATGAACCCCTCAGAGTCACTATCCCAGTTCTCAAGGAAGGGAAATCTCAGACACAAACACATGCCACTGAGGACACTGCACTCTGGACTGTCCAAACAGAGGTCCCATCTCCCGGAGCCCCAGGGCATCACCACAGCCTCTCCTCCAGACAGTATGGGAAAGGTGTAGTGTGCCGAGGAGTCACCAGTTCAAAGAGAAGTTGGACTCTCCGTGGTTCACACTTGGCCAGTTAGACTTTCCCTCTTGCCTGAAGCCTGTGCTTTTGCTCCCATGGGGGAATCAGGGTTATGTTGTGTCCCAACTGCCTGCTTTGCTACTGAGCTGTGCACAGGCTGTTTGCGACACTCCTCTTGTTCCTTAGTGTGTCAGACGCATCCCCAGAGGAATGGAAAAATCAGAACAATGAAACAACCACCAGATCGATAGCTTTCCCTGTACTCTCTTTGCCTGTGGTCTTGCTCTGTTTTCTCTGCTCCGACGGTGCCATCAGAACACTCAGCACCCAGCAAAGCTTTCCATCCTTTCATGTTTTACAGCCAGATTTCACCCAGAATCCTGGGCTGGAATCACAACTATGGCCAGTCCTATTTCAAATCCTTTAAGCATTAGGGAAGACACAAGCATCCAGGTGTCCCTCATGCCTCAGTAAAACCACAACAGCCACATACTGCATGAAATTCTGACTCCACAGACATGAGAAAGAGCAACCTCTGTTATCTCTACCTTTTCCTCCAGGCCTGAGGAGCTAAAATCCTTATCAAAGCCCTTGCAGTTTCACAGCCTGGCTCAGCCAGTAACTGTTTTTTCTCCTTCAGGTGCTCCAGGTCTGTCTTGTAGAGGCTGGCTCAAGGCCTGCCCAGCTGTGGTTGTCCCCCATCAAACCACACACCTCAAGGTGCAAGGGCTGGGCTACAACAAAGCTCCATGCCTTGTACACCAAGGCCAGTTCCATCGAGTTTACAAAGACTGCAGAAAGGCTCAGTACACTCAGTGTACCAAGGAAAAGCTGAGAGAGTTGGTGTTGTTCAGCCTGGAGAAGAGAAGACTCTGGGGAGACCTCATTCCAGCCTTTCAGTACTTAAAAGGGGTCTGTAAGAGAGATAGGGAGAGACTTTGTACCAGGGCCTGCTGAGATAGGACAAGGGTGATGGTTTTAAACTAAAAGAGCGGAGACTCAGGCTGGACATGAGGAAGAAACACTTTTACAATGAGGGTGGTAAAATCCTGGCACAGGTTGCCCAGAGGTGGTGGATGCACCATCCCTGGAGACATCCAAGGCCAGGCTGGATGTGGTTCTGAGCAACCTGATCTAGTTGAAGGTGTCCCTGCTCATTGCAGGGGGTTGGAACTGGATGCGCTTTGAAGGTCCCTTCCAACCCAAACTCCTCTATGCTTCTAGGATTCTATGACTGATGCCCAGACAAGAACTACTGCTTGCATGTTACAGGGGAGAGCAGACTGCCACAACACCCCAGAGCCCTCAGACTCTCTAGGCAATCCAGTTGCACCCTGTGTCACACTAATGTTTCTCTCCCCCCTCACCCCACTAGATCCCAGAGGTGAAGACCAGGTTCTCCCCCAACCCTTCTGCTGTTTTCCAGGCGCCGTCACGGATCCTCAACGTGTGAACCCAGACCCTCCTCACACCCAGGCAGCTCAGACATGGAGTTAGATGTATCTATGCAATTTTCATGAGGAGCGTTAAGATCAAAGAGCCAGCGTTACCAACAGCAGCCCCAGTGATTGATGACATGCACACAAACTTTATGTTAACACAACAAACCGCAAAGCACTTGGTTCAGAGCTGGCAAACCATGCTGTGAGGAGTGACCTAGTTTTACATGGGAGCACGTTCATTACTCTGCCAGCTGGCCTCACATTAGGAGATTGACTTCAGGCAGCAAAGGCAGCAAGTATAGCAGGCAACATCCCTGTGCTCAGATACACAGGGTGGGAGGGGAAAATAGTCACAAATGGGATGGATAATTAAAACCAAAAAGAGTTTCATCTAGCAGGATCCTCTTCAGTAAACAAGTGAAAGACAGGGAGCATCTGGATGACTTCGGAGCTTCTTGAGGGGTTTTGGAAACAGGACCTGAAATGGCTGCACCAGAAAACATAGCACCAAAAAGGCTGGTGTGAACTTCCAGGGTTGTTTCAGAAGCTGGAGGAAGCCAGCATCATTGAACTCCAAAATGCATCTGGCATATGCAGTGTCTTGGGGCTTCAAGGCTAGAAAGCTGGACGTTTCCATGGCTGGTGGGCTCACACAGAGGGGACTGAACTTCAGCGGACAGCCCTGAGAGCAATGCACCAGCCTGGTTTGGAGAGGATTACATGGACAGTCAGGCACCTGCCAGGCTCCAAAGGAGCTGAGATACGTATTTAATTTGTATAGCTGTTAGGGGGAGTGTAAATACTGTATATGGATTTTACCTAAACCAATTTGTGATCCTTTAATGAAAAGGACATGCTTATACTTTTATTAAATGTTAAATCTTTGCATATGCAAGGTGGGAAATACTGCCTTGAAATTCCTAAATTATTGCCTGTGTATTGGTAATGCTAATGCTAGGAACAACCAGAAGTGAATGTTACTTAGAAACTCTTCTTAACACAGAATGTCAGACATCCTTGATTTTGAAGATAGGCCATTTTAAGTGTCATTGTTCTAAAGCTGATTCTTTTCAGACTGGTCTACATTTTGCTGAGGTCCATGTGTTATACGACACTATTTTTTAGCCTTTGTTCATCAGGACTGTAGTGGGTTTACAGTTTCTGTCTCAGTAACTTATGCAACTGGAATAGTCTACTGCGCATTTCATGGTTTTCCTAATTTATTTTTGGGAAAAAAATTGAAAAACTTATAGTTCATCTATATATATATATAGCTTGCAACACACAAATGTGTTGACCAGAATCAAAGGAAACTATCCTCAGACTTGAACAGTGATCAGATATTCATTCATCCGTAATGAATATTAATGAAATCATAATCATAGAATCACAGACTGGTTTGGGTTGGAAGGGACCTTAAAACTTACCCAGTTCCAACCGCCTGCCATAGGCAGGGACACCTTCCAATAACTGAGGTTGCTCCAAGCCCCCTCCAACCTGGCCTTGGGATGGAACTTCCCACACTCATCCCCAAACGCAGAGGAACCTACAGTAATACCAGTGCTTGCCAAATTAATTTTTCAGGAGACCCATTTTTTCAGGAAATCCATTGGAAACATTCAAATTGTACAAAGGGTTTGCATGTTAGATGTTTCTAAGAATTCAATCTGCTTGTTTAATCTCTTTATAACGTTTCTTACAGTTTTGTTCAAACAGTTTGTTTCAATTCTGGACTTTAATAACAGCAAAAAGAAAAGATGATAAATTGTCTATTCAGTCTTACTTCCTAATTCATTGTATTTCTTAAAAGAAAAAGAAATCAATGCAGTTGTAAACAAACTCATAATACAATAAGCTTGTATTTTATCAAAATGACTGGATTTAATTTAATAAATTAAAATGTATTTTGGCTATTGGTTCTTTCCCCAAACATTTTTTTTGGGGAATAACCCTTGGGTATTGAACCTTGCAGATCCCTGCATTTCTCTTACCTAGCAGCATGTGAAGGACAGCAAGGCACACAAGACACCAATTAAGGTGTGAGGAGATGCCCGACTGCAGTCACAGCCATCAGCAATCAATTCCTTACTCCTCAAGCTTATCTGCAGGCACAGACTCTGCAGCAAGAAAGGCTCCCAAGTCACATTTCAAGCTGTGGTTCAACTGCTGATTTGAAAACACAAGTGTCTTCCAAAGGAAAGCTGTTGCTCTGCAGAATTCATAATCACTTGTGGGATTTTCCCTGAACATTTTCAAAGGGAAAGCAAACTCTTCAGCAAGCAGTCTATCAACACAAACAGGAAAAGAGGATGAACCAATGATACCAATTTCCTGCATTCACTATTGAACACATAGGAGCTAAATCTGCTCTGGCGCAGGTGCCATGCTCTCAAGATCCCCTTTCAGCGATGCCCACAGTGTGCCCTGCTAACACAAAGGGACAAGCAACTTGCATTTCACAGAATCCCAGACAGGTTTGTGCTGGAAGGGACCTTAAAGCTCATCCAGTTTCAACTCCTGCCACAGGCAGGGACACCTTCCACTAGAGCAGGTTGCCCCAAGCCCCGTCCAATCTGACCTTGAACACTGCCAGGGATGGGGCAGCCACAGCTTCTCTGGGCACCCTGTGCCAGCGCCTCAGCACCCTCACAGGGAAGAATTTCACCTTGGTTTCATTCTGCAATCCCACACAGATCACAGGGAAACGGTGCTAGCTTTGAACCTTAAGAGAGACCATCACTTTACAGTTGTTCCCAAGAATGTTTCAGTGAGTAAAAGGTACTGAAGGTACAACAAGCTTCCCTAGACAGTGTGATACCAGCTCTTTTAACTATGCCTCAGAATACTTCCAGGACAAAGCCAAAGGCTCACAAACTATTGAGTGGCTCTAACTACAGGAGGGATGAATGGAGGGAAGATCAACCAGGTACTTACCATTACAAGGGACAGGGTGATGCAACTGGCTGCTGCTGTCTGCAACACAGCTGATTTTGCACCTGCCTCAGCCAAACTGAAAGGTTCCTCTGAAGGGGGCAAATCTACACAGGTTTTGCAGGCTCCAGGGAGTCAGAACACCAGGACTGCTTTTAATGCTGCTCTCTCACTAGCATTTCTTCACAGTTGCTCTGGGTTCACATCCAGCTCCATCAAGGCTTTCCAACTGTGAATCACACTACAAACAAGGGTGTTATTTGACACAGAAAGAAACATCACTTAAAAGAGGGAAGGTTTTACACTGGAAACATTATAATTTACTATCTTCAGGGGCATGCTGAACCTGCTTGTTTCATTCCAACTTGCCGACACAGGCTTGTTGGGATGCTGACAGTGAGTTTTGTGCCTCTTGCATGCACTATGCCCGAGAGCTGTGAACACCTGCACCTCCACATGCTGTTTTGTCTGTGACAGTAACTGGTAGGTGTCCTTGTTTTTATCCTGACCCTCAAGCCTTATTTTCTACCCCTGCTCTGCTGAAGGGGAGCAAGAGCAGCAGGGTGGGTGTCCAGCAGCCAGCCAATGTCAATGCACCATGCTTTTCAATCTTCCACACCAACCAATACTCACTGTTGTGGAGGAGTTAAGCTTGTTGAGCTCTGTGCTCCCCTTCCCCCAGCCTCCAAACCCAAGAGCTTTTTATAGGAACCAGAAAAGGGAAAAACTACCTTTTCCTTCATCTCGATTCCACAACTGCCCATTTCAATCCACAACTAGGACATTCAGAATATACACAGCACACAAAAATCTGTGGATTTGGAGAAATTTGAGTGACAGCTGACAGTCAAGACAACCTTAGCACAGCTAATAAAGAATTTATTGTAAACATATGTATCTTACACAATTATACAGTATAATACAGATAACATGAAGGATTTAAACACTCAGCATTACAAACAGGGGCAATATTTGTAAAGAGATTTTTAACTTGCATCAAGACTCTTCAGAAAGCCAGAGAAATATACTATAACATCTCAACACATTGGACCATCCGTAGGGTTCCACACATACACCTGAGCGGGTGCATGAAATTCCACAACCTCTAAACTCATCTCCAAGCAATTCCCACAGGAACTTCAAGGACAAATTTTTCTCCCACCCCTTTTCAAAATTCAAAGAACTTGTTGCAAACATTTCCTATATCTGAAGGACTACACAAATATGTTATTTTCTAGCTGCTTTTAACAGTTTATTTTTCTTCAGCAAACTTTTTATATTATTAATATAGCATCCCCTAGAAGAATAACCTGTGGTTGCTCAGAAACGTAGCAACAGATCTGCACTGCAAGAACCCCATTAAGAAGAAGGGGTATTTACTTGCCTGCTTCAGGGCCAGGTTCAGGACTCACTCTGCAACTCCATTCCTCACAGTAAAGCAGGACACAGGCAAAGGAAGCCACGATTTGCAAACAGATGCTGGAAGACAAACTCCTGCATCCTCAAAAGCTGCTCTGGGCATATCAAAATCCACAGGAGACAGGGGCTGGAAATGCATGTGTCATTGCACAAGATCCTAGCATGACTGAGTCTGCCTAAAGGGCTGTTCCCACACAACCTGCAGGCTGCCATAGTGATAGTGACAGGTATCTTGAAAATGCCCTTCTCTCTTGTGAAAGCTGTGTACAGGGATGCCCAACAGCACTATGGACTTGGAATTCAGTACAGCCTACAAGCAAAGTGTGGGGCCTGCAGTTCCACAGCTACCTGGATTCCTCCCAACTCCCAACACTGAGCTCAACTATAATCACCACTGCTCTACTCCTTCACACTGACCTCAGCTGAAAAACCAGTGTCAGGGCTAAACTGGGTACTTTACTTGTGCAGGCAATCCTGCACTCAGCTCACCCAAATAAGCCAGGATTATCTTCTGAATCCAGAGCGTATGAAGTGCCCTATGCAGGGGGCATTTAAGTCCATCTCTGAATGCTGTTTGGATTTCATCCACAGGTCCCATTTCCTAGATTCACAGGTCAGGTTCTGCCACTCATATATTCAAGTGAACTGTAACTGTCTGATAATTCTAATGAACCAACAGGAGCCCTCCTGCAGACCCTAGTTTTACTTATGGTGCTAAAGACAGGCAGTATCTCATCTGCAGTTTAAGAAGTGCATCAAATCTATGCTACTATCCTCAGACACCTGAAACCATCCTCTTCCACAGTTCCTGCACACTGAAGTTACCATCTGTACTGCATGTTACCATCACCTGTCTTCTAGCCCAAAAAAAAGCACCAAAAAATAGCATTTTGAAGACCTCTGTTCCTGTCCCAGATGAGGAAAGATAACTGTGGTTTAATGTTTATAAAAGGCTTTGTATTGTCAAAGCACGGCACCAACAAGAGCGAGGCCTCAGTACACCCCTTTGAGGTAGGTATCCTGCTCCCCATGCTCAGAGATGGGGAAACTGAGGCACAGAGTGATTATATCAAAGGCCATGCAGCAGATCACAGACCCAGCTGAGATCAGCGCATTGGAGTCCTGGCTGCTTGACCCATGCTCCACCACGTGAAAGCACTGCCTCACAAAACAAGCACCCTGAAAGCATGACAATCAAACAGTTATCCCACCAACTTCACAATGGCTTATTCATACTACTAGCAAGCACCCATGGGGAAGGACAAAGGGGTGGTGGATGTGGGGTGGTCAGGATGTTGTCAGCGAAGACTTCTTCAGTGAAGTGTTCACAGCCAGGCTGCAGACATGTCTCCTACATCAGAGATGTTCCTAGACAGTTAAGTGCCGAGGTTAGTAGCAGAACTTCCTGCAGTCAAGACAGAGGAGATCTCTACAAGCAGCAAACCTTTGATGTTTTGATCCTATCAGGCCTCTCTGTGTTGAGCAGAACTTCAGCCAAAGCGCTGCTGCTCCCCTAGCACTTCACAATCCAAGCTGATCATCAATCAATGCTGTCCAGACATTATGACCTTACAACACAGCTTGTTACCTGTCCCCCAGAACATTCCAAACCTTCAAGCAGCATGGGGAGGCACTCACTGGGTAAGGAAAGGGTTTCAGCCAGTCAAAACCTACAAATACTGTCCCCACTCCCCTCCTTTCCTATGCAGGACAAGTGGTCAGTCAAGTTTTACCAAGCCTGACCATGGTTTGCTCATGGTGACTGAGCATGTGCCAGTCTACCCTTCTGAGATGACTAAGAAAGGTGGCACCTGGCACCTCTTTAGAGGCAAGGAATTTGGTTATTCACTTTGCTGAAAAAGCTGATAATAAGCCTACCCAGCTTACTGATGTGTGCTTAGTCACATACATTGTATGCTGGAGCAGGACTGCCAGAATTTGTTGCAGCCATCAGCCTCCTGCTCACCCACACCTAAACCTACCTGACCAACTCACCCATCTACTCAAGTAACTACCTTTAAAAGTTGTCTTTGACTTCTCTCATATTCAGAGTGCCAAAGCAACTGTTCTGCCCACTGCATGGGAAGAACAACTCCTATGCAGACTGCATCAAAAAGTGTAATTTCTTTCCTAAGAAAAAATGTTCAATCTCATCAAAACAGCTGTCTCAGAGGGACCAGGCCGGTGGAGTCTCTCACAGCTAGCAACTCGATGCAAACTGACAATGTTTGTTCAGCCACTGAACATACACTTACCAAGTAAACACTGACATTTAACAACTTGATTTGGAACAGAGCATCATTTTGTTGCATTAAGGTGCATCTTTAATTGGAGGTAACAATCTAGTAGCCCAATGTTATAAACGTGTATGTGTCCTACAGAAATACTGGATTTGTCAAACCAACTTCAGTCATAAATCCACCTTTCCTGTAGCACCTTCTTTGCTCTATTTCATTGTTCCTCATTTAGTATCTTCATGTGTTTGTTTGTGAGGAAGTCAAGAAAGGGAATATTACAGATGGCTTTGTGAATATTCATCACTGTGATCTCTCTTGGAGTCCTGCAGGGAATGCAGAGATGGTATTATAATACATAAAAAGACACGTGTCCAGAAAATAGCAAGTTTAGAAAACTACTAGGGAAAAATAAATTAAAGAAAGAAGACCCATTAAAAAAAACCAAACCAAACCAAAAGATCAAGTGTTACAGCACAAGCATTAAAATGTCACAGCACAAAAAACCCACTTGAATGACTAAGGGAAACATCTTGGGCACCAGGACAGGAAAATCCAGTGCTTAAGTATTAATCCTTGAACTTCTGTAGCACAGACTGTGTATATTTTCCTCTATATAACATAAATACATATGTTTAATATATATGATATAAATATTTATATGCTGCATGAGTAAATATTTAATCTAAGCATTTTCTTGTAGTGTTACTTTTTTTTCCTCCCAATTCCAAGCTATCTCAAATCATGTTGCTGAACAAAAGTCAAAACGTGGCCTAATCATTACCATAAAAATCACTCAGTATCTGAGCTAGAAAAGAGAAAATAAAGAAGACTTTAGGTTGTTTTAAGTTCTGGTGGGCCATGGATAACTTGTCTACATGGTAACATGAGATGGACAGGAGTTAGAAGGTCCTTCCAGCATGGCTCTGGTCATCCTTTGAGCATGGCAACAGCAGAGACTCCTGCCTCAGTTTTTAATATTGTTTATGTACCCATTCTTTGCCACTATGGAGCTAGGAAATGACAAACCCCCTCACAAGCCTTGGATCTTCTCACAGAATATAGTTCATAAATTCCCTCCATCATGTGGTCTGATCACACAAAATCTGACTAAATTTCTCAAGCAACTCAGCCCTTTGCGCTGGCATAAGTGGCCCAAGAGGAAACAAGGTACTGTACCTGTTGTGAGGTGCTGTCTGGTATGCCACAGCAAGTGCTTGCCGTAGGATATCACTCATAAGCTGTTCAGTGGCCTGTGCCAAAAGACATTAGGAGACAGCATTACAAAATGAGGAAAGCAACATGCTTCAGCATCAGTGCAAGAGCAGCTGAAATTCTGGGTCACCTCAATCCTGTATTCCACCAGCAGGGAAAGTTCCGGATGCCCAAGTGAGTTTTATTAACACAGTAATAACAACTGAGTATATTTAACAAAAAGAAATAGACCTATAGATGCACAGAGCTGACTGGAACTGTCCAGTCTGGTTTCTCTCCAGACCTGCAGAGCAGTATGTGCACAGCAGGGTGGATCTGATGTTTCAGAGCCTGCGCTTCGAAGAGCAATTTAGGGCCCATCGCCTCACAGACCAGAGCTTGTTTTGTACATAGCAAATGCCGGGTATTCTCCTGGGAGCTGGTATATCCTTGTTAGCACATACCACTCCCTGTGGTCACCAGCTTATGTCAAGACACTTTCACAAACACCTCCCAGCCTGGACAAGCAGCAGATGGCAGCCGTATGCCCTACACACTTGGCTTAATCAAAGTTCACTCAAAAGCTAATTAAGGCTGTTGGCTTTCTGTGCCTGTATTAAGACTACAGCAGAGGTTTTTGGGACGTTCCCCCAGGAAAGCTGGCATAACTCTACAGTTATAATGGTGCAATCTGATAGTAACAATTTACTATCTGAGTTCATCTATGGTAAGTAACAGAGAGCCCAGCAGATGTGTGCATGTGAGTACGCGTGCAACCTGAAATCAACCAGCTTTTGTAAAACCCATCTTCTGATAAGCAGCAGCCTGTATAAACAACCCCAGAAATTGTCTTTGGCTTCAAATCCAGCAGAGCACTGTTAAAAACAATCTGTGTTAGCCCCCAGCTCCATGCTGTTCAAAGCTTTGATAAGAAACCATCTCTGTTCTTCCAAAAGTGATTCAGATAAAAAAGTGGTTTCTCAAATAAGGCAGAATTGCTACCGTCTGCAGGAGGCCATCGATTTCCTGCCACAGACAACCCAGGCAAAAAGGAAGTGAACCTTATTCAGGAAAAAAAATATCTGAACTTGTATATAATAATCAAGCCTTACAGAACTCTGGCAGATTCCTCACCCCCTTCCCCCCCCCCCCCCCCCAGTTTGGAAAGGTAGGACAAAGGAAGGGGGATTTTCAAAGTTACAGAATTAGTCAGTATCTTACTGGTAGGAAGAATCTGAAAATCTCTATTCTGTGTCCAAGCCAACAAATCAGGTAGAAAGCAGGAAACACACACAGAAGCATACAACTCTCTGGCCAGCTACACATCTTCTGATACATGCACAAAGAGAATTATCAGACTGTGCATCTCATGATTTGATAAATGTATATCAGCAAGTACAGTCTGTTTTGTTTTTTTTTTCTCCTACATTGCTGGGTTAACACACTTACAGAAATGTTTTTATTGTTATTTCTTACCTTTAAAATCATATCTTCTATTACTGATGCATAAACATTCTTTTGTACCTCAGCAGGCTGAAAAGAAATCCCTATCTATAAAATGGGAGAGAGGAAATAAAGACAGTATATCAAATATTACATTTGTAATATTACATTTGTTGTACTGGGTTTAGATTAGATGAGAATGTTACTAGATTAGATGAGAATGAGATTAACAAAAAAAGTCTATTATAAATGGTAGTTAAATAAGCAAGCAAACAGTTCAGGACTTTTCAAGCAGTGTAAACTCAGGCTTCATATTTAAAAGAGCCTGCAGAAATGCCTTTAAAACACAGAAGAAACAAAAGCAAGTTTCAACTTTTGTTTCAGAAAGTCAACACAAAAAACAGGCTGCATTGGGCACCTCTGAATTGAGAATGGAAACTCTATACTGTACATATATTCAACCCATCTGTTCATCATCTTCCCTGCACCCATGGCAACTGAAACCACTTTAAACAGTACTCCTGGCACTAAAGTTCCACACTGAAAGATTGTTTCATCCCCTAGTCTCACTCTCATAATGCGTGTGCCCTTGTCACCTATGATTCTAATAGACCAGATACAAAGCAGAACCAAAATGCTGTCCCTTAATGTCAGCATTTCAGGTGGAGAGGGAGATCCTTTCTCTCCCTCAGAACTGCTGCACGCTAACTCCTTCTGCTCCTCCTGTCTCCTTCCCACAAGCTGAGTCAGTCTCCTCCCTGTCCTTCCTGCTGCTGTGACAGAAGACCCCCCTCTCCTTTTCTTTTACTCCAACTTGAACAGGGGGAAGAAATCCAAGCAGTAGAGAAGTTTGCTGTGGCCTAAGCTTTACCGTGAGTCCTTTTTCAGAAGCTGCTATTAAACAGCACTGGTCAAAGAAACAAGTCCCAGTCTTTCATGTGGTGAGACAGAATAATTTGGTACCAGTCCTCCTCCTTCCCTCATTTCCCCTTGTTTCTAGCCTGACAGGATGACTTTTCTGATACTAAGCCCTGTAACACATGTACTCTAAAAAGACCTCCCAGCTGGCATGCTTCGCTTCCTCCTCCCAGCAGTGGCCAGCTGAGTGTCATGAATCAGAAGGTCCAGTATTTCCAGGGCATTTACAAAGATTTCCATAAAGCATCCAGAGGCCCATATAGATGAAGGAAAGGCAACTAAATAAATGTAAGACTACAACTAGTTTAACAACAGCTCTTACTAGATTAATGATTCACTTCTTACCTTCTCTGCAGCATCCCTCACAAACTCTGATGCAGGCAAGGATCCCAAGTAGAACTTCATCTCCTCTTGTTTCTCCTCTTGTTCTTTCTTAATGTTTATTTTTAAAGGCTCGCTGAAGTTGAGAACATCTACTTCCTCTTCATGTTCTGGTTCTCGTTTCAGAAACTGCTGTAGTTCCTCTAGTTTTCGGCACAGCTCCTCACCACTGCTGTAAGATGAAGGGCATTCTGAAATAGAAGCAATCAATTAAACACATGATAGGTGTTTATAAACAGATGCACTCTCAAAATATGGCAAGAAATTAACGTAATTGGAAGTTATTTTTGTAGTTCCGACCAAACATAAGGATAAGCAGAAATGCAAACAGGCATTGACTGACAGATCTGCAGTGGAATTAAGAAAGAGTAACCTCTTCTCTGCATGCTCAACATGAGCCACTAAAACCTACAGTGGAAAACTATGCAATAAGCAAATTCTTTTTTTCAAAGACAAACACAAACCTAGTTGGGTAGATAAAAATATTAAAAAGTGGATGTAGGCTTCCTTTCCACCTTTAGCGACTGCACTGCACCACCAGACTTTGCAAAGAATAAGCAAATACGTACACTTCTGTGAAATACCTTAAATCATAAAATCACAGAATGGTTTGGATTGGAAAGGACCTTAAGATCATCCAGTTCCAACCCCCTGCCATGGGCAGGGATGCCTCACCCTAGACCATGTCACCCAAATCCCTGTATGATCAGAACAGAAAAACATTCAGCTTTGGGAAAGGGATTATCTGAAGGTGAAACAAGGGAGCTTAACTGCGAAAAACAGATTATATATGTATGTTTAATACACACTAAAATGGACTGTGGAAATTCCTGAGTTATGCCTAGAAGAATAATGTAGCAGCTGTAATAATAAAATGTGAAGCTTCACACAGGCCAGTTCTCCTCATGTTTGGAGGTAAATTAACCCCCACAGAGCTCCACACCACTGCTGCCAGTTTTGTTGGGTTTTTCTTTCCCTTTCGTTTTTTGCACCTGAACTTACACTGTTTGCATGTTAAATCTTAACTGAGGCTATCCTTACCCAAGGACAGATATGTTATTACTCCTATGCTTAGTTTGTGTGCCCACTTAGAAATTATTACACTGTGGGACAAGAATCATCTCTCTCAAGGTTTATATATGCTTGGCCTCCAACGGCCCCAAAGCTCAATAAAACCCAAAAGAGGCTGCAGAAAACATCAGGACTGATAAGAACAAGGCACAGCCTCACTTGTAGGCTTGCCCTTATCATCTCCAAATTTTGTCATTTCAGAGTGAGCTAAGTTAAAAGCAAAGAAAGAATCCCCAAATCCCCTTCTCTTGAAGAAGCAACACATGTGTGAGCATGCAGAGCCTTGAGCCATTTAATAAACAGCATCTTTGGTAGCAAGGAGCTTTCTGGCCTTCCATACTCACCTGGCTCACTGTCTATCTGCGTCAGCACGTCTTCAATCGAGTCCTCGTCATTCTGCAAGGTCTCAGGGTCAGGTGGAGTGTAGCCATGGCATCGACACCAGTGCACCACGTGCTTTGTTTTCAGGGGTGTAATGCTGTGAAACCTGGGGTGCTTCTCTATGATTTCTTGTAGGATCTTCTTCACTGTCATTGCTCGTTGCCACTGTGACAAAGCAAAGGGAAAGGTTAGCACACTGGCTAAAATGCTTAAGGCTGGACTGTTGCCCTGAACAATAATCCGGGTTGCAAGAAAAACAAAAGGAAATGATTTTCTCAGAAGTCAGAAAGGCAAGGAAAAACAAATGTGGAAGATGGTCTAAATCCTGATATTAGGCAGCTGTAGGCAGGTCATTTAAACTCTGCTTTGTCATCTAAAGAAAACCTCAAGAAAGAGACGCACACATTTACTGAAGTCCAGACACATCTTGCCTTGAAATGCCACATCTCCGAAGTAACACCTACAATGGTATACTGCAAGAAATCCACTAGGCTTCTCAAAATTTTGATTAAACTCTTTAACCATTTAAGCTGGCAAGAGCAGAGAGTCTCACTAGTTTCAGCATCTTACCCATAAAACTCCACAGCAAGATGACAAAATCAGGAAGATATGCGGAGAAACATAACAACCACAATACAAAAAGTTCTAGATTAACTGAAATATTCATCTTGGGTGAACTGACAATCTATTTCAGCACCAGCAATACTTACGTCAGATCCCTCAATTCTCTTCCTGAAGGAAACAGACACAATCACATGATAAGATAGACAAAGTATGTTGGGTAAAATTCCAATGACTGTAATACGCCACAGAGGAGTGATGAGGATAAAGTGCTATTAGGACAGTTTGCAGAAATTTAGATTTTAAAAATGCTTCAAAAACATCTTGCTTTGAATCAACTGAAAAATGACCTTCAGAGACCCTTCTGCTTGAGAAAGTCTCTGAACAATAAACTGGATCACTACCTACACACAAATCAGTGCATCCTGCAGTAAGAAATGCCTCCATTTAAGACGTGACAGGAGGTTTCAGAAAACAAATCAGCCAAGAACAATGAAGGTTCCGTAATTCAGAAATCCTTCTTGTGTCCATAACGGCTGTTTATGAAACACAGGAGAAGAGGATTACCTCAGCTGCCCTCCTCTTTCCAATATTCCAGCTGTAATACTGTTCCACTGAACCGGCACAAAAAGAGCTTGCATCTTCACCTAGAAAACACAAAGTCAAAACCAGTATTACATTTTGAGTAAGTGAAGGAAGTTGAATTCATCTTACATTTTAAGTAAGATGAATTCTGGTTTTAATGTTACTTAGTGGAGAGAAAGAGGGCAATGCATTTCATGCTCACAGGATCAAGGACTGTAACTCTATAAACTTTCACAAATGCTATGCTCTCTCTGAGCACAACACAGGTATGTGCAGCAGACTATGTGGTTTTTGGATTCAAAATCAGCATCCCCATTGGTCACATACACAAATACCTGCAGCTAGAGGTTGCTTTAAGCCTCTTTTTCCCCCAGAAAACCTGTTATCATGTAGACCTGTAAGTGTCTGTCTTACTGGTCAAAGAGAATGAAAAAGTACATCCATTAAGGACAAACCAGGGAAAAGACAACCTTCCTGCAGCCATTGAGGAAATAAAATCTATTTCTACCAAAACCAGATGAAAGTTAATAACTGCTGGCAACATACTTGGCTTTACTGGAAGAATCTAATTCTAAGCATCTTCAGAATAACCCCTGCAGTAAGCTCTCTAGGAGAATGGCTGCATTTCATTCCAACTCTTAACAATTTTTTTTAGGCTATAGAGTATGCAAGGCTTTCTGTTGATACACCGAAAATAGAAAACAAAGCCTGCTCATTTACTGCTTACTTTTTTCAGCAATTAATGGAACCTTCTTCACTACTGCTGTTAAAAGCTGCTGGACGTTCTCCAAATATTCTATGCTGCAAGGGATAAAAAGAATCACAATGAAGAATATCGTTGCAAGCAATGAATCAGATGCAAAAGGCTTCAAAATCACTGCATGGCAGAAAGTCCCTAGCCCCAAGGCATTATAGCAATAGCAGCATGAGGATAAACTCTTATGCCTCAATCCAGAAGGTATTTCAAACAGCCCTTCCCCTTGCCAAACTGTCCACAGCTGAAGCTGCATCTTGGAAGAAAACCCTACATTATCTCACAAGCTGCAACACTACTTTGAGGGGTAAGGCATGCCTATTGGTGCAGGCTGTTCTTGTAGGAAAATGGGATACTGCAGTTTGGGTAAACTTCAGTTAGCCAGACATATGTAATTAACTGGCAAGAGCTGCATTTTTCATTAATTATTTCATAACTAAGACAATCTCCAGTGTGTAGTTACTTCAGATTTATCCCTGTCTCCCACACACACTCTCCATTAGGGTAATGTCTGCAAGGATATGTCAGGATAACAAAACTTTTCAAAACATGGAGACAGCCACTGGAGGAATCAAGAGCAGAAGAAACAGCCTACACATTACAAGAGATATGCAGAGAAAATGTTGCAAACGGAGTTCTGGTTAAAACACACTAACTAGTACTTGCAAAAGCATCACGAACAAGGCACCAGATTTCACAGCATCCAGTGAAGAAATACTCCATTTAATTCCAATTCGACTCCATTTAATTCCAATTCTGAACCAAGGCAGTCCTCATACTAAGTAATCACAGAAGTAAGAAGACTAGAGAGGCAAGCAGAGAGACGATTCTACTTATTTCAGATGCCCCTTTTTTGACCTGCATTTCACTGGGCACTTTGACCTTAGCAAGGACACACAATGCCAATGGGAATTACATAAGCGATGGATGATAACAGATTGTAGCAAAACCAAAACAACTGCAGATCTTCAATCTTTCATGAGCCCTGCATGTGAGTCCACTGACAAAGAAAATATTACAACACTGTCTGCAACAAATGCTACCCAACAGGATTAGTACTGATACAGCAGCATATGGGACAAAAGATTTTATAATTTATATCTAGGTCAAGCTTAACATTACTGCACACATCCCTGGAATCAACTCCACTCCCCCTGGCTATTCAAACATCAGAAATCCTAATAGAGAAATTAACAATTACTTGATAACGTAATTCCCAAGTTCAGAGCTCTCTTCTGTTTTTACTGCTGCTTGGCCTTCTTGGGTACCCACAGAACTGCAGTTTTGTCCTGTTGAATCAGGCTCCATCTTAACTTCAAAGAAACAGAACACATTTTAAGACAAAAAGTACCAGTCAGCTTGATAAACAGCATCTTGTGAGACTCCAATAAGACTAAGGATTTTGGATAACATTACTTCATTTGTTGTTTGCACTATTAAGCACACACAAATTTGACTTTCAGTTCTACTGAAAGCAAACCACCAGAACATGTTCCCCCTCTCCAAATCTCAACACGCTCACGTCTCATCCCGTTTAGAAAATCTGCACAATCAATTGCTGATGTTTTGTATATGACTGCCTCATCGAAACTGCTGCCTCTTTGTAAGCAAAGAGCTGACACAACATTAACAGTCTTTACAAGAAGTGACATTTCAAAGCAAGAACTTTTTTGAAGACATCACTGATTTTGACATCAGTGAACTTTCTCACATCTAGGACAGAACTCTGGTGAGACAGGAGCAGGGAGAGAGACACGTTCCAAACCTGGAATAGTGAGGCAGTCTGGTCATCCATCTAGGATGAGAGATGCATGCTGCTTCTGCAAGAACTGACTTTGAGTCTCTCAGCTCTGGACTGTGAGTTATTCTGGGAAGCACTGTATGTGCATCTTAACCCTGTGAGTATGCACACGTGCTGTCTGCATCTAGTGCTGCTGGAAAGCATTCCCCAGTACCATAGTACTATTCTGAGGACAGCAGTAACTGTGATTAAGCACGGGCTGCTCTATGCACCTTTGCAAATATGGATTGAAACAATAAATGTTTAAAGTACTCATGGGAGCTTTCTAGAACACCCTAATTTCTCCCCGTATTTGCCTATGCTTTGGGATTTGTGGAGGGGGAAGTCACTGTTAATTTCCTAGGTCCCAGGTGCCATTTTTACTCAATTTGAACCCTACTAGTAATGGAAATAAAAGAACTCACAGTCACAGGGTCTATGTTCTTAGTCAGGCCACTTGCATAAAGCAGCACCAGCTAATTTCTACTGCTTATCTTACTGAGAAATTCCTTGTTACCTTTAGTAATTGATGCTGTAGTGGGAGTAGAGACAAGTGTACTTGCTGCTGTGACAGCTGAAACTTTGCTGGTGGTAAGTGACTGTATCACTGAAGAGGAAAAACAAGGAGAAAAAAAAGAACAAAGAAGAGAAAGAAATATCAAATTTCAAAATTTCATACACTTTGACAAATAACCATGTTCAGAAGCAACACAGCGTTTTTGCAGCACAAAGTTTAGGGATGAATTTCCTTGCTACATTTTCTTCTATCTCTAACTTTGGACCATGTATGCCAACAATGACCAAGAGCTACCCTGTGCCAAAGGGGAGTTTCAAACACCATCTGTCATCCTCCTCTGCCCTTTACCTTTGTTCATAGGCATGAGTATTGTCTGAACACCTCCAGAAGCTGTGTTTACACCGAGCTGTTTAAGCTGGCTGGGAACTGTCAGAACAGCCTGCTGTGGACTAGACTGATTTGAGTGGATTTTTAGCAACCCTGCAAGAAGAACGGAAGACAAAACGTTAAATGAAACACACCTTTTAGCTTACCTCCAGCTACTTCCCTCTCTGCCTGAACCAGGGTGGCACGTAAGCTAGCACTGCCACCCTCTTAACATGCTACAGTTCAGTGAACTGTCAGACAAGGTTTTACTGACACAAATGATTGCTAAAATACTGTGTGTGTGTGTGCGCACACCACAGGGTGCACAGTATTACATGCTGCACAGTACTCTGATAATTTGTGAAGCAAGTTTCCTAATGACCTACGTAATCTTAAGCAAAACTCGGTGTAACACAAACCTTTCAACTGAAGCAGGCTCAGCACAGAGGGGAATACCCTTGTCAGAACAAGACCTTATGCTCAAGAGTCTACTAAGCCAGTGAACTACAGCGCCGCTGCACTTACGGCCACTCTTACTGAGGTATCCATATGCTGCATACATCTCTGCAGTTCAGCTCAGCAGCATCCACTGTAGCCAGCAGAGCACACCCAACCATGTTTTAAACAAGTGACAAGCCCAAGGCTCCACAGCAAGTCTGATGAAGGACACACCTGAACTGAGCATCCTGTGTCTTTCTGTAACATGCATTCATAAGGATGGCCAACCAAGCTCTGAAGCATATTAAAGCGGGGACTGAATTAAATCACTGATTTTAAGTACAGGCTAGAGAACAAGCAGGACATTCAAATACTAACAGCATTATCAATGGCAGTGCTCAGTGACTTTGGTGGGAATCAGCATGACTCCAAGCTGTGCCACACTGCCATACGCAAGTAGTACTCATCAACTGTCCACCAGCTCTCTCCTCCACAGCAATAACATCCCAAGCCACCACAGTCAACACTCTAATACAGTGATTCGGGCTTAGGTCCACCCTTTCCTACTGGTACTGCCTACTTTCAACTGTTACTGTATTCAGTCTATAGCTAACTCTTCTTCAGATTGTGGAAATTTAATAGGCTTCTATTTCAGAACATTGACAGCAGTAGACTTCTTAGTTTCACAATGGTAATTTTATACTCACGATTTGTTTTGCGATAAAGTTGCCATTCTCTTCATTTTTTATTATTAGCTGTGTTTAAGAAACACAGCTGCCTTCCAAGTATGAGACATGCCAGGTCTGCCAAAGATGTCTCTTGGGTTTGAAAGATAAATAGCACTAATCATGCAGACTTTCACCTCCAGGAAAGAAAGCTAACCCAGCATTCCCAATTCATTTGGGTGTGACGCACAGATGTGTCTGGATAGGACAGCAAGCGACCCAAACAGCAGGCAAGCAAGAAGGGACATTTTCCACACACCCTATTAGCCTGATGGGTGGGAGACATGGTTTGTTGCAAAACAAGGGAAAATACGATATTCTTTTTGAAGAGCTGCCTTTAATAATAAAGCTTCAGAAATTTAACACAGTTTTGTTGTTGTTGTCTGGGTTTTTTTGTTGTTTGATTTGTTGGGGTCTTTTTACATGGAAATAACATGTTTTACAGCCACAGTGCTTCTATCGGGATTCTTTAAGAAACTGTTTTTCATTACAAAGTCGGGTTACAAAAACCACCCCAAAATCTAGACAACATTTTTGTATCTACATGGGAGTTCTAATCCAAAAAGATACGTAGAACGGCATATTTTCCACAGACAAAACCCTTGCTGCTTTGTTTCCAAAGAGGAAAACACTCAACTCGAAACTCAAAACTAGAGTGATGAAAAAGGAGGCATTTGGAAGACTGTACACAGGAACCAAGAAGAGCCCATTTAAAAAAATACTGTCAAATAAGCTCAGTGTCACTTATTTTCTCTTCTCTGTATTTTTACTCTGTTTCCACTCAGTAAGAGGCCACTTCAAGTGAACAACACATGCCAGCAGTTAGTCAAAATTAAAATTTACCAGTTTAACCTGTAATACTCAAACCTGCTGTATTTGCTCTTCATGACACAAAAGACAGCGGAAGACAATAAAACTGAGTAAGAAAAACTCCCCTCTACATAAAGGTAATTTATCTTCATTAACTCAAAACATTGAAGATCCAGCCCACCCCTCTGTACTTACTGATTTTGACTTCAAAGCCTTCAGTTCACCCTAATCAACACCTCTCTCCTTTCCAGGCCAAAGGAGAACAGATGCAAAGCCTCAGAGCTAAATTCCGCTCACGCACCTTCTCCAACTTCAGTGGAGTTTCACTTTTACAATAATCAAGTCTGCAGCATTGCTGGTACCTTGATAGTTTCAGCATTCAGTGGCACACTGCTCTTGAACAGGCAAACTGCATCTTCTAATGAGAACTTGGCAAGAAAACTACAATCCCTCTCCAATACCAATGAGCAACTTGTGCTGTTATTTGTAACAGCTACAGTCAATGCACTGACGTGATAGGATGCCAAATTACTTAAGACATCTCTGTGGCTAAGCCAAAAGTTATGCTAATAAGATATGTTTTAGAAAGCATGACTTGACTTTAACGAATTCACAAATGCTGTAAATGGAAGAATATAGTCTCATTTGCAAATAGCATCTGAAGAACTCGCACCTGGATTTTAAATTCCTATAGGAAGAGCATGAAAGGCTTTTAATACCTGATACTGCAGCTTTTCCAGTTACAGGCGTTGGTGTAGTCATCAGAGAAGCAACACTTACAACAGTGGAAGTAGCAGTCTTATTCACTACTGATGAAGTAGACTGGCTCTGGCTTACACAGATTTGGTGCTGCTGTCCAGATGTCTTTGCTGCAGGAGTTCCAGAAGATAATGAACTGGAACCTACATTATCTATTTGCTGTATAAAAGAGGCAATAAACACAACAAAGCAATACTTAGAAGTAGCAAAACTAAATGTTTATCTATCAATCATTAAGAAGCAAGAGGCTCTCAAGCACATACCCAAAAGCCCATATACAACAAGAGCACGTATAGAATGGAGGCTGTTTTGAGCAGAAACAGCATGCTCAGGAACTACTACCACAAGACAGCATCTACAGCCACCATCCCTTAACATCAGCAAGCAGGTAGAACTCCAGATGATAAATTTGACCCAGGAATGTTTCATATTTCCCTGCTGCCTAGAAATCTGGAAGTATCAGTAGACAAACAGAAAAGAAGTTTGGGATAAGGAGGTTGGATGGAAAATTTTTCTCTCTGCGGCTTCACCAAGAGCTGTACAAACACTGAGTAGCATTTAACACAAATTTTACCATCTTCATCTATGCATGCTGCGTGTTCCAGTATTCAGCCCTCTCTGATGACAGCATGGCATCAACTCTCCTCTTGTTTAATCTTTGCCTCCCAACAGGCAAAAGCAGCGAGGCTGGGGGAACCCTCTGAGGGAACTATACACTCTACTTTTTGCTGCTTCCTCCCCATCCCGTCAACTCGAACCCGCAGAAAACCTGCATCAACGCGCACGAGCATTTGCTCTAGGAATTGAAAACATTTTGCTTCCAAGCTCACTCTCTGCTGAAGCACCTCATTCCAAAGGCTGCACTCTTAAGACTCCCTTGGGGTGGTGAGGAGTGACATCCTTTGAACACAGTCAGCACTAACGGATCAGGAACTCCAGCCACTGCCAGTGAAATCTGCTGATAGCAGATGGGGCACTAAACACTGTGGAGAGTCTGTGACCTGAGAGGAGAGATCTACAGTCTAGTTACTGCTGGCTTTCACTGGCTTGCTGGCTTCAGGCCTTCCACATTCTTCTTCAAATTTCTGTGGCAGCAGCAGATGTGGTGTTTGAAAGCTGTGTAGCCCCAAAAATCTGATCTCTATGATTGCAAAAGCTGTTTCAGATAAAGCTTTCCCTGCCAACCTGAATTTTAACATTTAACATTAAAAGCAAGAAAGTGCAAGTTTCAGTTTTGCTTCTCCCCTTGTTTCTTCACAGATAGTACTTTATGCCAAACAGCAAACAACCCAGCTGAAAACCAGTTGCATGCACTATGCTGGTACACAAATAAGAGCAGACCCAACAGCAATGCTGACTGACAAGAATACCAAGGCGGGGGGGGGAGCAGAATTCCTTTCCTGGGGATTATACTGGCTAGAGAGCAGTATCGCAGAACACCGGTGATGTTCTTTCTCACCTGGGCCACCCCATTTGTGGGAAGGGCCATGGCAGGAGCAGCAGCTGTGGTGATGACACCTCCTGATACCCTCAACACAGTGGTGCCAGGTTTGGAGAGCTGAGATGAAGCAGGCACTGTTTTTATAGACCCATCCGATATTTTCACCAGTGACGTCTGTCCACTGGCTGCAGCCTTTGGAAAAAGAATTCAGCCTAAGGAAAAAGCTGTACTTGTTTGGAATTTTTAAAAATTCCTTAAAGCTCATCAACAACAAACAGGACAAATGCTTTTTACATTACTGAAAAATATCTTCAAAGGACTTTTCAAACAGGCAAAATGCACAATAACAGCTGTAACAAATTTGTCACCTTGGGAATCAACTTTATCAAGCTGCTGACTTTGCAAAAATATGCCCATCAATCTTGAATTTTGGATAATCAATTACATGTATTCTTGGGGAGTTTGAATTTTATCAGGACCACTTGGTAGTTTTTAAAAGAAGGACCTTTGCTGGATACCAAACCCCAAAAGTTTTTAAGAGCTTTAGCAGAGGACCCATTTCTAAGACTCAAATATTTAAGCAATATTTTGGTACATGACTGTGTTCACTTCTCTAATTCCATTTCACTAAGAAATCCCAGAATACATTTACAAACTAGCAACCCAGCCTTAAACTTCACCCACTCCAAGAACAGGAATAAAGCTGAAAAACTGTGGTCCAGTATCTGTATATATAAGTAGGCCTTCATGGGCTTTCCTCATTGTAGCACAGCCAGCATCATAATTGTACAAACCCCAAACAACTACAAAAGGCAACACCCTCATAATGGGTGTCTGTGGTTCCTAGCCACAACATTAGCACATTACCTGTGTAAATAGAGCTGTTTTCTGTCCAGTTATAACTTTCAGGGCTTGTCCTTGTGTGGAAGATGTTCCAACTCCTACACTGCCCTGAACAACTGAAGCTGGAGTCAGCTGCTTCCCAGAACTCTGAGGAGAAGGTTGGCCAACCAGAAAGGTGCCCTACTCCACAAATAAGTTAAGGAGGTCAGCACTTGGAAACACAATTAAGAGTCAACAGAAATATATGCGCGTCAATACAATATAAAACCCCGTAACTATAATGCAACAGTATTTCATCTTCTAAAACAAGGCACTGCTAATTACATTGGATGCTTCTGCAGTAAGAGCTGGACACAGCCTTCTCTTATTGGTACAGAAGAACATTTCCTGATGCGAGGGAAGGGTGAAAAAGCCACAATCAGTTTCCTGTATTGTCAGAGGCATCTATCACAATTTAGCACTTTATGCTATTCAGGTTTACTCTTTGTGACAAATGCTGCTTAGCATGCAAGATCAGAGGCTGCTGCTAGGCTAGGCAAAAGGAAATAAGAGAGAAATCGAGACATTCTGTCAGCCTTTCACTTCAAAATGTATTTAGTTCCCCCACAAAAACTATATACTCAAGAGCTCAGCATGCAGAAATGACAGTGACACCTGGAGGTGTGCACTCTGTAACCTACCACCTGAGACCTTGACACCCTTCCTGCTTCACTTCACTATTCAGTTGTTACCCTTCAGAGGCTTCATTCACCCACTGTCACATATGGATCCCTTCACAATCTTCTGTCTCCTTATTTCTCTTTCTTAGCCTTGCTGTTTCACTCCAGTAACTCCTTTATTCTCTTTTTCATGCTGTCCTTCAACTCTTACAAATCTTAACTGTGTAAGATAGCTCTGTCACATCACCTCTCATTTCAGTGAACTTTGCAGCTCTGCCACCAGGCACTCTCATTGCTTCTCCCTCCACTGCTTACCCTGGCCTTATTCAGTGCTGCTTTCTCAGCCTGCAAGGGACCATGAGGGTATGACCTGCAAGGGGAGGGGCAGAGATGTGCCAATAGCAACAGCAAGTAGTAAAGCAGGTGGCCGGCAGAAGGATAAGGTGCAAAGGCTGTCAGAGAGGATCTAGATTCCATAGTCCAAGTATGTTTCACATACTACAGAACCAAAGGATATCCACCAAACACCATCGCAGCCTGAAATGTCAATCTACTTCAACTGAGATGCTTATGCCACTGACCTGGGGTGTCTGCTTCAGGATGTAGGATGTATAGGTGAGGTGCTGTGACAAGTTACTGCTTGTGCTTTGGGTTGTTGTTCCTCCTCCTCCTCCACTATTTGTGGAAGAACCAGATTGGAGACCTATAACCAGAAGAAGAGGCCTGACCCTTCGGTAACCAGACACCGTCAGCTGATAAAGCACTCCTGTATATACAAGTAATTGAAAACATTTTACAAGACATTTGCTGCCATGTTTTGCCGCTGAGTAACATTATTGCCCAGTACTGTTCAGATGTACTGCTGTGTTTTCTTATAGCTCAGTGAACACCACGAATGAAAGGAGTTATGGGTGAAATAAGGACAACTGGTGGCTAAGCAAAGCTCATTTCAGGCAGTTTTGCATTTTCTATCAAAAGAAAATGCTGTCTAACAGATGAATAGTCTTTTCATCAGTCTTTTGCAGGTAATGAATCTGCAGCAAAAGCCCTAGAAACAAAAGTCCCACTGGCTTACTAATTTTACTTTCATTGGCTGTTCCAATACGATTTTGTTAACAGAATATGAGATCGCCAATACCAAGCAGTAGTAACTTGCAGTGACACATAAGCTATTGTTCTACCACCAGAAGGAACACTGTCTTTTTTGCAGTCTCTCATTAAGAGTAAAAAAAAAGTACTTATGGCTCTGTCATAAAAATCACACGTATTCGCTCTTCCTTGACACCTGGGAGATTATTTCCTTGTCAAAGTTGGACTGACCCAGCTGCTTCTCTAAATCTCAAGCAATGGGGCTTCCATCACAAGTTCTACAGCCCCAAAATACCCTCACCATGGGCATCTACTTCTTCAGTGACATCCACTCTATTGCTATGCTGCTAATATTTACAGCCTTATATGTTAAGCTGAATACCACCTCTTCCTCACTGCCAGTATCAGGACTGGGAGCAGAAAGTTTACACCAATCCATTTCCCACCCCAACCTCCAGCCTCAAAAGGAGCATTCTGCAGAAGGCTCACAACAAAACTTCATCTACACAGTCCAAACCTGCATTATTCTTTCCCTATAGCAACAGCAAACTATAAACAAAGTATTGCCCATCAGAACTATTTTAGCAATGTTACTCTTCAGGTTATTCCCCCGCAAGTTTGATTCACAAGGCCATTGACAAAACCTAAGTGTTTCTGCTGCTCTCTACAGCCTGGGGCCAAACCTTTTATCAATATTCAGAACAATTTCTTTCCCTCATTCCAGATACAGTATCTCATCCTTTTCAAAGTCAGCTTCTTATGTTTCTGGTTTCTCCAGGGAATCACTCCATTAGCTATTAATTGCTTTTTCAACTACATTCAAATTCATCTCAGTTCTACATCACAAAGGAAGAGTTAAAGACAACCCTTCCCTGAATTTTGAGGAAAATTGCACTGTCTGCCTTCAGCACAGACAGACATTGAGAGCACTGCATGTAAAGCAGTTTAATTGAAAACAGAAGACACTTGTGAGATCTCAGTCTTAAAAAGCACCACATACTGTGTTGCTGTGATCAAAGAAACCCCACCCTATTACTGACTTCCACAATACCAGGATGCTTTACAGCAAAAATACCAAACATATTAATTATGCAGTGATTACATTATTTAACTCATTAGATTTCCCTGCAAGACTAACTAGCATTATTCGTGGCTCGCAAGATGGCTCCTTGGGGTATCAGAAGCAGTTTTCCTTTTCCAGAAGGATTCTTGCTGTTGGTGGTGAGGTACAGTTTGGTGCCTGGTGGTAAGTTTGCCAAGTTCGCCAGGTTGGTGGCTGGTAACTGCAGTGTAGCCATCACTAGAAAGAAAGAATAAGAAGAAATATAACTACTGCTTGCAGAAAGTAGTATGCATTGAAATCTGCACAGCATGACAGTACTAGGAGTGACATGCCCCTAGCCTTTGATAATCCATACTTAGCTGGCCTAACTGGAGATTAACTCCCCCAGCAATGCACAGACTCTGGAGTAGGCCTGAAAAGAGACTTCTCTGCATGTAGCACCACTTATGGCTGCGGGCTGAAGGAGCACAGCCATGGGACCTACAGGCTTACTCCACAAGGTTACAACACCTTGCAAACAGTCCAGAGCCTAAGCTAACATGCTCAGCTAAAGCTGTGTGCAGAAGCAAGCAGGATGATTCTGCTCTTACTCCTGTAACTATAAACACTCAGGAACATGTGAAGATGCAACGAAGACAGTTTGGCTCTTGTTGGTTGGATTTATGTGGGGCTCTTTGAGCATCCAAGGGACACAACGCTGAGCAAAAGAGAGAGACATGGCTCGATGAAAGTCTATTAGCACGTTCCCCAGCATATCTGTCTGATCTCCACTCTGAACACTGCATGTTTTATAATACTTGCACTTGCTCTTCCCCCTTACAGATAATGAGTTGACATTTTCTTTACTGATCTCAGCCTGAATTTCCCTACAGACTTCTCTACTTACTTTGAACTTTTTCATATCACACATAGTTATTTTGCAGTTAAAGAAATCATTATAAAGCCTCAAAGTCTACCCATCATGAACTATTAGCAAGGTGGAAAATTACCTGAACCTTGAGAGGCACTTTTCTGAGCACCTGTGGAAGAAACTTGCGCTTTTGTGATAGTCTGCACAGGCTGAGCAACAATTGTCCCTCCACCTCCGCTTACAATGGCTTTGGCTACACCTTGAGTAACAACCTGCTTCGGACCAACAGTCTTTGCTACTGAAGAGCTTGATTTTGCCACAAGTATCTGGCCACCACTTATAGCCACCGCTTGTTTCACTGTCGACTGTAAAGCAGAGCCAACTGGCACGCCAACAACCTGCAACAAATAAGTACTGGATGATGTACTGCTGGCAAGAACAACCATGTGAATTCTAGCTGGGACACTACCTCCATCTCTAGACATTTCACGATACTTCATACATGTCTAGTCATGTATAAAATCTCTTCATTCAGCAATAAAATTAAACTGGGAAGAGACTAATCCCAAGTAGAATGATCAACTGTTAAACACAACCAGGATTTCAGAGCACCCGCAAAAGATTAAGTACATTCAAATTATAGGGCACTTGCATTTTTCTCATATATAAGCAATGGCTTAATTCCAACTGAAGATAAAGCTTGCCTTGGCAGAGCACAGAGATCCAGAAACTGAGTTTCAACACATTTCTGGGAACAGACTCCCTGGGAAAGCTGTGGCCTCAAAGCAGAGCCCACAGAGTGCTTCAGTTTTAAGTGCTGACAATAACTTCAGGGAAACATGAGTTTGTATACCTGCTTGCATAGGCAAATAAGGCAGTAAAAAGGACAATGAACTGCTGCAAGTGTAAATATGTATTTACTTATGCAAAAGTGAAAGCTCCATATGTAGTTTCTTATGTTTGCCATGTGATTTCACTCTACAATGGAAACAGGCAAGAATGGAGATAATTTCTGACACATCATCTTGTCACTGCACAGTTACTGCACCTTCTCAGAAGCTGTGTCACTCCTGTCACAGCAGCACTGCATTGGCACAGACTCCTACAGTAAAACACTTGAGTGGCCACTCAAGTAGGACTGCTTTCACCTAATGCTAGTTCTGGCTCAGCCTCCACCCCACTCCCTATTTGTCCTGTCCTTCTTTGTTGTAGGCCAACAGTCCAAGGGAAGTATTTGCCTCCTCTTACAAAAAGACCTGGGTGAATTTCAGCAAGAGCTACTGATGGCAGTCAACTTTGTGGGTCAACAAGCTCCAGTTCAAAACCACCCCAACCCCACTGTTGCAATGGGTTAGACAGAAGTGGGAGATGTTCTGTGTACAGAATGCAATGCAACAGTGTCTGCTCACCCCGCTCCCTTTTGAAGGGCTACAAGTAAGCATGATATGAGCCTCTCTGTGCACATGGGGAAACCAGCTAACTACAGTGGTGCTGCCTGGGTCTAAGACAGAAGTAACCATACAACCCCTGAAAAAAAACATTAGGTGTTGCAATAAAACCACAAGACAGACAGCTTACACCACATAAAGATACCCAAGTACCTCATACCTTAGACTGCACTGTCCCCTCGCCCGTGCTCACAACTGACTTCTGCGGTGACAAGGCTAACATGTGGCTCCCTTTGACAGTGACATACTGCTGCACAGAGGACTGTGTGGTTGTCCCTGTCACTGGCAGTTGGGGTTGCTGGGGCAGCTCTCCTGGCTCCTGCTTTATTATCACCTATTAAATAGAAAGAAATAGTAAGGAAAGCAAACACCTTAAATCACTAGGGATCACTTCTGGAGCAATCTGTCCGCAAGAAAGGCATACAACAGTCAGTAAACTCAGATATGGTTCTTACCACCAGACGGACTCTAACTCAGGTCCAAGATGAGAGCTACTTCCAAAACACAAGTATGTGTGTGTGGTTGCTCTAGAAAGTATTCCAGATTTGAGACATGCTTATAAAAATTAGAGAATCAGAGATATTGCTAGTAATGTTACAACTACTAGTCATACTAACAACAGATTTGGCTACACCTGACTTCTTCAGGCCTCGCATATGGGCACAAAGCCACAACACCTTAAGGTTTCAATTTCCTAAGCACCTTCCTGCTCAGAACACGTTCTAAACCTCATTATTCTCTTCTACCCTGCCAAATTACAAGCGAGAGTATAGCTACAGATACTGTGTCTTATTATAGCCAACATTATTCTCTTGCGTATATGTTTTACGTTCCTCTGGGACACGCCCTAAATCTAATCCTTAAGAGCAGCAACTCCAGAAAGGCTAGGTTGTGGGTTTTTTTGCTTTAGGTTGCAGTAAGTACTGAAAGTGGTAGGAATCATATTTCCACCTTTTACTTGGATCACCTAATCTTGCCAGAGACAAATTTAAATTCCAGATGGTAACATTTAAGGATACATACTGAGAAGCAGCATTTGAGATTCAGAAATCACAGTATCATTTTTTCAGAAGTTCCTGACAGATCTACTGCAGTTTACTTTTACTGTATCCCACTGCCAATAGCTTTTAAAATACTACTCTCAATGCAATAATGATTCAAAGAAAAACAAGAAAGGATGAAAGAGAAGATGATAAAAAGAAAAGATCATAGGTTCAGTAGAGCCCCAGGGGAACAGCAGAACACATTGGTTCCAGTAACAGTTTTACATGCACTGGAAGTTAGATGATTTGTAGCACAAGTCAGCATGAAATGGCACTACTGGGCTCCTTGTCCAGGCACAACAGCTAAGAGAAATACCTTTGTAAAAGCTCCAAGTCCTCCCGTGACCGATTTGGGGCTTTGCACCTTGGAATGACTCCCAATAGGACAAAGGGGTGGCATAGTGGCAAACAGAGAATCCTCCTGCTGCAAATAGGAGGACATGGTGCAATAATCAGAGAAGTGTCCAATACAAGAAATAAACCAAGTGACTACTAACAAAGGGTAGCACGGACCATCTGGGCAGGCCAAACTTCCCTCAGTCAATATTGCAGTAAAAGGAGTGTAACTTACTTAATACAACCCACAAGGTAAACGTTATTTGGAAAGTTACACCTCCAACAACTGTATTTTACCATATCCTACACAGGTGAAAGAACTCATGTTACCTGACCAGCTTTTTACACAAAGCATTTCAGAGCTGTAAAGTTCAAGTAAGCTGAGGGAGGGATCTTACCAATGCATACGAATACCTGATGGGAAGGTGTAGAGAAGATCAAGCCTAACAACACACAAATGAAGATGCCCCTGATCATTGCAGGGGGTTGGAACTAGATGACCTTTGAAGGTCCCGTCCAATCTAAACCACTCCATGATTCTATAACCTCCAGAGGCCCCTGCCAACCTCAACCATTCTGTGATTCTATTCACAGTCTCAAAGAGAGAAGATAATCTAAGAAGCCAGGGAAAAAAATAAGTTCAATTTAAGTCTGCAAGCAAAAATCTTTCAGATGAATTTTTGCTCTCCTGTAACTTGGAAGATGTGATGGCACACAGCCTACCAGTCATTTTAAAGTAGCTCTAGAAACGTAGCCTGGAGTCATTGAGAAAAATGAAGAGAAAGGTAGAACATAGCAAAGACCTGAAAAGCGATGAGTTAAGCCTAATGTGCAACATCAAACTGAATTTTTAGGCACCCTGTCCTCTTTAAAGAAACCGTAAAATTACAGCTTTTCCACCAACCAGAAGACATAGATCAAAATATGTTTCTGTTTACAGAGGTATGATTTTTACACATTTTAAAGAAAATAGCCCCAGTTTTTAACATTGCCCTGGATATACAGGATTCAACCGTTACTAATGACATGTGCCTACTGTGACTCATTGAAAACCTTTCAGAAAGAGCCTTCCCAAATCAGTGACAAGTGAAGACTAATGAATGGTTTTCAGCCTAGTTAAGTGAGCTCCATCTGAGCAGACAGGCATTTAAAATATGAAAAGCCAGCTGCACACCTGACACTTAAAATGCTACTCCAAACAAATTGCTTCAAACAGCAACCTTCAACACTTTTCCCCCAACAGGCATTGGAAGCATTTCAGTTCCAAATGCAGAATGATTTGCTCTCTGCAGGCTGACTGGCAAGCCTCCCCACTCCCCCCCCCCCAATCCTACATTAATGTTCTTGTGACTTAGAGACAGGAAATGGTCCTGTTTTCAGCAGCACACCCACCAGCTGCTTCCAGAAAGAGCTTCACTGATGCCAATTTCCTGCCAGAAATATCCCTAGCACAAGATGTGGGAAATTTTATGTTAGACAGTTCAGCTCCGTACCTTTTGAGCTTTGCTGATCAGAAGCATGAACTCTATTTATCGCTGTTTGTTTACACATTTGGTTACTCCACTGTTTACACAAACATTTTTCTATATGCAGGCAGTTGTAAAACCACTTGATGAGCTATTTTCAAGCTGCTAGGAGCAGCTGCTGTATAAAAATAACAAGCAGAATGAACCAGGCACCTCTGGTTTAATCACATACCTTCACTAGCAAAGTGAAGAAGATCAAAGTCAGCTATACAAGAGCTTTTTTGAAAGATAAAACATTTTGAGAGCTATGCCCTCTATGGATTTCCTTACAGAAATATGCCTTTAACAAAGGTGTAGGCAAGCCTAATTAGAGCTGCAGGAAGTGACACTATCATCTTGTATAACCACCATGTTCTCATATAGATCCATCTGTTAAACACAGTAAACCTTCATATGAAATGACAACCAAAAGAACTTGCCCAAAATGCAGAATTTATAATACTAAAAAGCCCTATTTAATAGCAAGCTGGATTTTAAATAGGAAGTACACACCTAATGAGAACTTTACCTTGACAGCTGAGGTGACAAAACTGCTCCCATGGGTCTTTGATACAGGAGATCCAGTTCCAAGAGAGACCTGACAAGCACTGGTCAGTTTGCTGGTTGGACTTCCTGTGTGTTGGGAAATAAAGCAGGTGTGGGATGAAGGCCAAGGAGTGGTGACACCAAACACATGAAACCTCTTCTAACAAGTAACACGGCATTTCATTTTAAGTCTGTATTCTCCATGAGGTGTGTCAGTGGAACTGGCATGGGCACAAAACAAATCCACTACTGAATTTCCACCTGCAGAATCCATGCCCGAGAGAAAATGGTCTCCACCCAGAGCTCTGTGTGCTGCAAGCAAATGGCCAGGTACCTTCCTGGCTGGCCGAAAATACTGGGTAGAGATACAAATATGTGAAATTAGGACAGTAAATGAGCTGCCAGTTGCAACTTCCTGCTGCAGATGTAACATCTTCTACTGCCCTGAAGCCCTGTGAACCTACACTAACCTCAGATACTGGTATGGGAGAAGCTTTACACAAGGTTGGAGTGGGAAGGAAAAGGAAGGCCAGAAAAAGGAGGGGGACAAAGTGAGGAGTAACAAGAGGAAGGGACAGAATAAGCAGGGTAAAGGAAGAAACAGAAACAAGCACTCTACTGACCCCTGAGATGGATGGGGGTTCAGGGCTAAACTTCCCCTGCATTATCACAGTGTGTATGCAACAGTGTTGCTCAGCAACAGTTTTCTTACTGCTGTTAGGTTGGATTGTTAGATTTCATTTGTTCAAGAGAGGCCAAAGCCATGGATTACACACATGAAAACACAGGAATAGTCTCCCATACAGTTGTACTACAATCTGTACTTAGATTTAAAAGTAAATGAGGAGCAATTGAAATAATGGGGTTTGGGAAGGCTGGCTTTCAGAGAGCATAAAGATCTCAACCTTCTTTTTCAAGATGGTCTAGAGTCTTATCAAAAATATCCCAGTGACTTTGTCTGTAGCACCACATTACATTCACTTCGGCCTGGCTGCTGCTGCCAAAAAAGCAGTTCCAAATTACCTCTTGCACATAGGGTCTGGTGCTGAGGCTGCCTGGCAACAAAGCTCAGTTTGGGGAGGGTGCTCATTTTCTGCTCTGCCACTGATCTGACCTGACTCATGCAGGATATAGGTGGTGAGAGCGCAGGGGAGGGAGATGCAGCAGGCAGTGTCTTCCAGGCCAGTCTGTACTTAAATCACACTCACATGATGGGGAACTGCACCTTTAATGGTGTTAAGACCTGTATGTCCAAGCCATCTGCTACATCTTCAGATCCTACCCTCCATGTACAAATCTTTACTAGGAGATCACAAAAGTCACCCAAACAATGATAAACCACATATGCAGAGTTGACAGACAGGCTGGAGATAAAGAAGAAACAGAAAACAAAAAGGGCAGAAAACCCTCAACCAACCAACCACCACCACCACCAAAAAAAAACAAACTCCTATTGGTGAAACAGCTTCAGTGTTACCAAGAAAGGCAAGAAACATACTTAAAAAAATTCAGTTATGACTATGCTGCCCCTACCAATTCCATCTGTGATGAAGTTAAAATGAATGTAACAACTGCATTCCCTCAGATAAAACGAAGAACCATTATTAAGGAAATTTCTGCCCTTTCCAACCATGCCCAGCAAACAGTTTGTGTGTTACATAGATGCTACCCTTCACCACATAGCTCTGAGCATCCTTCCGAGATGCTGGCAAGCACACGCATACACAAACAAGTGCGTTTTTAAACAGACAGTGGTTCTTGGCCACAAATCACAACTAATCAATCACTTCTGAATGACCTTTCCTCCAGCCACAACACAAAGATTAACAACTGACTTCTATACCCATCACCTGTCTTCTGAAGTTCAGTCCTCCCCACTGACCTGAGGCTTACACCACCACTGAAGCACCGAGGGAATCTAATTAGAAGAATACAAACTGGCTGGAACTAGGCCAGGTAGAAGTCAAGAGCAGTAACAAACCCCAGCATGGCTGCTCTCCTGGCACCCTGAGTCTACGCATATCCTGCAGATCCAGAGCCCCACACACTGGGACATAAGACTGATCTGCCAGTCGCCGCGATCTCTCCATGCTTTTAGCTTACATCCGTGATACAGTTCTCACCCAGCCACCTGAGCACTGTTTCTGTCTAAATTTCTGTGCACCACAGTCTACACTACTTTCTCCCCTTCCCTTTTTGTCTGCAAAGAACAGGCTCTCTTTGAAGAGGCATCCGTGAGTTCAATCTGGCCTTACATTACGTGCTGTTTCCTGAAGGAGTTCTTAGTCTGAGATACCCTTGACCATGCTATACAGGCCAGTTGTGCAAATCAATACCTCCCTCTTTCTTTGCAGAGTACTTTTGCAACTTCTCAAGCTCATATCCTGGTGTTATACTAACCATTCTAGAGAGAGAATAAACTTGAATGGGTATGACTAAGCCACTGCCTTTTGTGATCACACTACACACCTGTGCTTGTGGTTGCAGCTCCAACCATCTGTCCAGGCTTGTCCACAATAACATACGGGTTATTAATGACTGAGCTAGCAGAGCCTTGCTTCATGGGCACCGGAGTGGAGGTTGGGGTACGAGGTAGCGGAGATGGACTAGGGGTCGATATTGGAGAACCTTAAGAAAAAAAGTCCAATGCTTCCATCTTGTAAATGTTGTAAGAACATAAAAATACAGCAGTAGTTGTACTTTGCGCAATGGCTTAGAGAAGGAACATTTTGTGAGGATGCATTTCCCAGCCTGAGTGAGATGGAGAAGGAAAGAGAAGACAGAAGGAAAAGAAAAGGTATGTAGAGCATTATGGCTCCCACCTACCCTGGACATTCTCTGCCTAACAGGACAGGGTTCAAAGGAACCTTGAGAAGACAATGTCCTGAGGGACATTACTTAAATCATTTGCACTGCCAAGACCAGTCCATTCAAGGAGATGAAGAAAGAGAGCTGAGCTCCTTACTAGGTGCTCTCTTGCCCTTGGGGAGCCCATGGTACAGGCATTCAGAGCCAGGAACTGAGCAGATCACGTAAAAAGGTTGTGTGATGCAGCAGCCATCAGACCAGCATGGACAGTCTCGTCTCTTCACTGCTCTAATTACAGCAGAAGCCAGACTGTAAAGCAGACTGTAAAATGTGCAACTTCTGGGTAATAGGACCAGGCGAGAGAAAAACTAAAGAAAAGAGCTTCATAAGGGTAAACAGGAAATGCAGAGAAAAGGACAGGCAAGGAAGTGATCGGAGAGAAGAGACAGCAGCAAGCACGCTAAGCTTCAACTGACTGTTAATCTGCTTTCTTGGCAGTGATGGACTATTAAAATGGAACATAAATGTTGAACAAATAAAATCCCCATGTCTTCTAAACTGCTTTTGAAATCTAAAAGGGGTGACACTTTTTGATAGACAGCAGAGCCTTGGAAAAATATTTAGCAGGGAAAGATTTAAATAGCAAAGATCAACAGAGAACAGTCCAAGGATTTTAAGAAAGACAGGGTGGCCCTTTGCTTTCTGGAAAGCCTTGGGAAAAGAAGATCAAGAGCAGAGCTTATTAAGAAGGAAAAAAGTACTTGGCAGAGGTTCAAATGTAAAACAGCCTGAGTACAATTTCAAGATGTCAAGGAACAACATTGAAATTTGATTAAAACCCCAACAAACCAGACACACTTGAGGAAAATTATCTGGGAGCAGATCATCAGAAACCACATATATTGATGGCTGGTGCTTTATCCTCTCTCCCCTGAACACCAGAAAATGAAGGAATGTAACAGGTCATTTTTCAGTTTCAAAACATGTGACATGGTGAGCTGCACATTAAAACTTTCTGATGTAAAACATCATACAGTGGATGGCATCATGCCCAGGCAGGGAAGTGACTGTAAGTCAAGTGAGTAAACAGCACCTTGACCCTGTCTGGTTCAGAAGCTATCAAAAGAGTATCACATTTCTCACTGTAGTCAGCTGATAATTTAATCCAACAGAGGGTGGACTTTTGGAAGAGGAAGACCAAAGCTGCTCCATCTGAAGAGATATTGCAAATACAAGAGGGACCATTTGAGTCTGCAAGGCTGAATCTAATTAATTTGCCCAATAATCAGAAAACAATTTCTTCCTGTCTGAAAGCAGGAAGAATAGCTTCTTCCCACATCAAAATACCCCACATGGAAGATGGGTCCTTGACTGGGCCTTCCTGTGGGTAGTAGTCTAGTTAAAGACTATCTTTTAAAAGCATTCAAGAACAGGATGAGAACAGCTCTTATCCTGCTTTTGATGTCATGTGAAGAATTTCACACTTGTATTTCTGTCCTTGATCAATAAGAATTGTGTTTAGCTCCTTATTCTAGAGTTTCCTACTGCCTTGTTCAAAACTTGGCAGGAAATCAGGGGAAGGACTCAGAACACGTCCAACTGGTTCACTCTCTTGTTTTCCACTGGGATAAGCAAACTAACATTCACCTGATACAATCTTGCAACTCATGGTGATAGGCTGGAAGGATTTTCCTGGTGACTCTGCAGGGCTTGGACTCTGACCTTGAGGCACTATTTTACAGCTAGCTGCAATGGGCTGAAAGGCTGAATTTCCATGAGAGCCAAAGGCAACTTTCTGTGTGGCTAACTTGGTGGGAGTCCGTTCTATTGCAGATGGCAGAGAATAAAACGTGGCATGTCTTTCAGTTTCAGCATTCCCGGGGAATCCTGATTAAAACAGGGAAAAGAAGAGAAATAGTTCTTAGGCTGAGGCATCTAATTCGTTACCCGGCTTCCCTATGCAAACAAAACCCAGGTACAACAAACACGCTCTTGAAGGAAGGAAAAGAAATTGGTGGGCAGCACTGAATGAGAAGAAAGCAGGGGTAGAGAGCTCCTCCCTTGCAAGCCTGCTGGATTTGTCTCTGAGCAGAAGATGCTGTTCACAGCCTGTTCAGCTGTGGCTGGTGACCAGCTGCTTCTCACACATTTTCTTGGAACGACCCATTGACCAAAAGCTGCTGATAGTTTCATGCGTCCTCAGGGCTCCACAGGACTAAGGCTGGATCTCCTTCCAGAGAATCTCACAGTATGTTTTTTTGAGTAAGGGCACAAGGAGACCTCCTACTGCCTTTTGACCTGGGTTAAAGAATCCACCTTATTTGATGTAGGAGGGCATCCATTAACCTGTAGTTGATGAGACAAGCCACTGCCTGTCAGCGTTAAGAAAGAGGCAGGTTTATTCCCCTCCTGTTGGCTGTAGCATTGCTCGCCTACAAGTGCTGTGTATCTTCCTGTATAAATAAAAAGCCTGTTCATTTAAAATTTGGTTGCATTTCTCCTTCTTTGACCACAAAAAACACTGCATTCACACAGTGGACATTCCTCTTGCTGAGCCAGAACACTGACAGTGGCATCACGGCACCTACCAGAAAGCGCACCATACCGGACACCAGCTTAAAGCCAATCTTTGAACACAGGATAAATCAAGAAAGGCATCAGACCATGTTGCTAGCAACCATATTTTGAAATATACAGCTGCTTTTTCCAGCCAGTTTCTCACACTAAAACGTGCAAACCTTGTTCCTCAGCCCAGTTAAGCAAGGTCTGTCATGTAAGCCTTGACACTGTATATTTCAGAAAATGAAGCCAAATTCTAACAGATGCACAGTTTTTCCTACTTCACACAAACTAAAGATCAGAACAGTGTGCCCAAGGGCCAGCACCAGCCTGTTTCACACAATTTCAATGACCTTAAGGCACCAACTGCTGCCCCACTGCAACAGGCACTGCATGTCTTGATCTTACAGGGGCAGATGAGAATGAGACCATGACTGGCCCAGATGCCATCCGTCATACAAGTATACACATCTTTTTCACTATTTTCAACACCAGAGTTATGTAGTACCTTTTGATCCCCCACAATCAATTCATGTGAGGCACCAACATATGTATCTGATCACACCACTAGACCAATTACTCAAATGTATACACAGGCCCAAAAATTTTAAGAAACCTAAAAAAACCCTCTGAAAACAGTCTGCCAAGAATAAAGCTACAAGTGCTATTCAACAACTTTTTTTACCAACTGGATCTGCTGCGTAAAGGTCCATCTTCACCATGTTTAGCAAAACAGCTTACTCAACAAACTCCATGTTAAAAACAAACAAAACCACTCCCCTCGAATCAAACAAAACCCAAATAAACCATAACTATTTCTGAAACATTTTCAGTGTACACTGAGAAAATGATCATCTAGGGTGAGCAAGGAGCAGATAGTACTGGCAACCTTTAAGGCACAAAGCAATTAAGAGGAGGTATCCAGAACAGCTGAAGTTCCAAGAACTCAAATTCCACCAACACCCAATTGCTTTACCTTTGTCCACCGAAGCATCTGGACTGGAGTCTTGCAACTGTTTAATTGGTGAAGAAGCTTTGACTGGTGCTGGGATGCTCAGTGGCAGCGGTAAAGATGTAGGAACATCAGAAAGGTCAGACTCTGAAGACTGGGAGAAGAGATACTCCTCACCAAGGGAATGCCTATGTAGCTCCACATCCACTACCTTCCACAAATAGGAGAAAGCACATTACTATTTGGTAGCTGGGTAAAGATAGAAAAAGTGATAACTATGCCTTTTCATTTTTAGTCTAGAAACTTCTCCCTCTCCTCCCCCCACCTCCATGTAACATTTCCATTCATTTCAAGGACAACTCCCAGAGGTCCAGCAGCACTTGAGCTAAGACAAAACTCTTGGCAGCATTTAACCCCCTACAGTAAAATAGCACATCCCTCAGTCTGTGGGGAAATCTGAACAGTGAACACTGGAATGAATACAGAGCCCAGCTCCAAGCATCTCACTAAGGAAAGTGCTGCATACCCCCTTAGGGACAGGCACAAAACTGCAGCTTGCCTTTTTTGATAAGGCCTTGAGAAACACACATTATCTACTCTTCAAAAGTGCTCTTTAATCACAGTAGACATCTCAAATTAATTCTCCACAGACTGAAAAGCTGAAGTAATGCAATTTCACCATAAAAATCTCCATTCACTACAGTACAACACAGAGAAAATAACACTAAAAATCCTTCAGGGATACAGCAGACTATAAGTCATTAATTATATATTTTAACTTTTAAGAGTTCATTTTCCATGATGATACTGAATCCTGACAGATGCAGAGACTTAAAAGTACTTAATTTACTGCAGAATTTCAGCAGGATAGCTAGGTGATCCCTTTAACTTAAATTCTTTATGTATGAGATCTGCAGTATATCAGAATGCAAATCAAGACATTTAATACCCGAAGCTCCACAAAGAAATGAAAATTTTAACTGCAGGACAAGTTAACTTCTTTATGAAAGAGCTAGAAATGGTCTCCCCTGAACTAGAATGGGGATAAAAATGACTGTTGTCATGAATACTGACAAGGTGTCACAATAATTTCATCTAACAGGACAGCAAAATATACATTCTAGAAATCGGGAAATCAGATGGGTCTGACTCTGTGCTTAGTCCCATGTATCTTCTTCTTTTTAAACATCCTTAAGGAATCAAAATACAACATCCATTGCACGATCTGTTGACTCACCGTTTCTGCACCGAGCGTCTGCAGGCCTGTGTACGTCCTGTCCAACTGGATAAAACAATACAATATATTTATGTTGATCTGAGAAAAGCAATATATTAGCTGGAATTTACAATACCAGTTTCAACTCCTTTCAAATTACGTAAATTGAGCAGCAGTACATCCAATTTTTTGAGGCCACAGGGTCTAAAATCTGCATTGCTCTGTTAAGTACCCTCTCTTCTGCAAAACAGCCAACCCAAAGCCCATGCTGAAGCAGAAAGGAGCAAAAAAGCTGAAGGAAATGAGAATGCTGGGGAATCATTACTGCAGTCTAAGAGGGGTCTTAGAGGAGTATCCTTTTTTACTCCTGATGTCAATATAAGGAAACAATAATGAGAAAAAACTCAGCTTTAAATTGACCAGCACAAAGGCTATGCTTCCACTGTAATTTTTGACTAATTAACTGGTCACACTGAGCATCAGTAGAAAATCCCAGAGGCATCTAATAAGATACCTCAAAGAGGCTGCCAGCCACAAAGGAGGGCTCAGCTTACTCCTATCATCTCACAGCAGCCACAGGATCAGTATGCAAACAGCAAAGATTTGCAAATTTGAGCTCTTGTGTGCCACAGGCTATCTCAGTTTTCTTCTGTAAGCCAGGTTTCCTCGGCTGCACAGAGTCCATCACACTGTTACCAATTTCTTCCCAAGTTATATCTCTCCATATATAATTTACTCATAATTTGCATGAAATGTCCCCAAGTACCAGGGGAACATTTCCAACCTTTTCTACTGTCTGTGTTCGGGGCTGCAATGAGGTATCTGCATTAGCATGAAATTCATTCATGCAGTCAGGGTTTAAGTAAAACTAATCAGGATGCTCAGAGAAACAGGATTTAATTCCACTAACATAAGGGACTACTAATTAAAAGGAAAATTAAAAGGAAAACAACAGCAATGGCCTAGTTTTGCAGGACTGCTGCATAGTGTAAAACCTATTGAGTGATGCAGGACAGGTGAATGAGTTGAAAAAGGAGGCTCTCTTCAACAGGAACAAAGAACTAACAAGAAATCTCAGCCTCTCTCTGTCCGCTCCAACAACAGAGCTAATCTCTAGGCAATACATGCAAGTGTTGAAGGAATAAAACAAATACAGCAATCACTCTACCAAGAAAGATAGCCCTGCAGTACCCTGTCAAGTTAAAGCCAGTGAGAGGATAATAAAAATCCCACACTGTCGGGAAACAACAAATGTAAATGCTTTGCTGCTCTCAGCAGAATCAGTTCCAGCTTCTGCAAAGCTAGGTTCCTGGTTACTGCAGTGACTCAAATACAGCCAAGGTAAGAGGCTTCCCTGGATCTTTCTTGATTCTCCAGCTCTCCTATTCATGTGCAAATAACAAGCAGGACACACACACAACAGAGAGGCAGAAGCACATACACAAGCAGAGCCTCTTAGAGATTATGCAGGAGAGCTCATTTAATTGCCCTTCTCTCAAACATTTTGTTCAAATACCTTCAAATTGTGTATGATATCAATCCTCTTGTTCTGGCTATCCTTGAAGTGTATCTGGACTCTCACAGGAAATTCTCCCCAGCCTCTCCTGGTCAGGTGAAACGGAGGTTCTCTGAAAACAAAATGGTGATTCACATTTTGGATGCAGAAGTGGTATAGCTTTTACCTACCTCCTTTTCAGAAAGCCAAAGACTGCTCTTCTAGATGACAACTAAAGCCATCTTCAGGCCTGTTATTTACTACAGAGAATGCAATTACAGAAATGAAAATTTTATGGCTTTGGACAGCTGAAAACACACTTTTATTTTGCACAAGGGCACAGGGAAGAAAATGATAAAGCACTGTCGGATGAGGGAACACAGGAGACAAACGTCTTTAAAGCAGAGAAGACTGGGTAATGCCAAATGAAAAAAGAAAAGAAAAAAGAAAAAAACTTGTTTAAAAAACCCCAAATCAGCTCTTTGGACACAGCTGCAAGTTGAGTTTTGATGCAGCATTCTGCCACCACTTTCTGCTATTCCCTATCTAGTGGCAAGAAGGCACATGCTTCATAGAAGGCTAAGTGAACAACATACAGGCAATAAGGAAATGCTAATTCAATCACTGTTCATTCTCTATGCTGGAAAAAATAGATGTTTTTATCTATAAAATTTACTATTACTCTGTTTGTATTTCAGGCTGTTGCTATTGTAAATCCCAAATGCAGTTTTGCAACAGAACAAAACATAAGAGGTTTAAAGGCTATTTTTACTCTAGAACAATTTATATTCACTACAATGACTGGGACTATGCAACAAGAAAACAATTAACCAGACAGGATTAAAGCAAAAGACAAAAAGCACTGAAATCAGATACTAGAAACCGAGAAAGCCACAAAAAGACAGCAGCCAAGTGTAATTTAGTATGTTATACAAGAAATGCAAAGGATTTTGCAGGGTTGCCTGCTCAGAAACATTACTGAGCAATACCTACACCTCTTATCTCAGAGAAGTCTTTCTGGAACTGCCATTCAGTGGTTCAATTTTGTCAGAATTAAGCTGCTATCCTGTACGTAGGCAGTCTCCACACCCTCCTGCAGGAGGCAGCTGAATGTCTTGTAGAGAATAATTTCTTCAGGATGACGCAAAGCAGTTCAAAGGCATCCCACTGTCTTGTCCAAAAGAGCAAGAATGAATGACTGACAGGGCATCTGCCTGCAGCAGTCAACAGAGGACTGAGCCCACTCATCTCAGAGTCACAGCTTTGAATATAGGTTTGGGAGGCACCAAAGAAGCTGCTGTTTCTGCAGCACCAGCACTATTACACTGAGGGGAAACTCCTTGAAGCATGAAGCCAATGCCACTGATCTAGCTACAATGGAGAAATATTTGGGAGACAGATACAACTTTTTGCCCAAACTCACATTTATCATGAAAACTATGGGCAAAACAGTGTTCTGAGAGTTCTCTTTCTTTTCCACACTGGAATGGATGGGAGGTAGAAAACATCTCTTCTAGCAACAGAAGTCTAACCTGAGCAAGAGACAGTGTAACACATGCAGGAGATGCACAAACTGGCATGAATAACATGAAATGCAACTAATGAATGCTCTTTCTAAGTAGGAAATTAAGAAAAAACAAACCAACCCAAACCACTGCTTGGCACATTTGCTACATAAAATTATTTTTTGGAGTAAGTCAAGCCAAGCAAGATGTTAAAGACAGACATGGAATACTAAATCAGGAAAAGAAGTTGCTAACTTTGTAAGAAACCTGGCATTGTAAGCCTGGCAAGCACAAAGACTGGAATAGCGACTGCAATTATTCCTTATTACCTCACTTCTACCAGGTCATTTGGCTTGTAACTGGGATGCAGAAAGAACCAAACTTTCTTGACAAAATGATTTATGCTGGGTTCTCTCCGAGAGCCTCGGACATACACCATCCATTTATGGGTCGACTGATCATTTTCTTCTCTCTTGTCAGGAGGAATGTACCTGACAAAGAAATTAAAAAACAAACGCAAGATAAAAATCCCAAATAAATGAATACCTTGAAAAGTATTTGGGGAAAGATAGGCAAAATAAATGGGGATGGTAAAACTCCTACATAAACCATGCCCCCTGTACAGTTCTGCTTGTTACTCCTTGACAATTCATCCAGAAACAGATAAAGGTCCCACAGTCTTCTGTGTGCTTCTAACACATTTCCTCTATTTTAGTGCACAACTGCCATAAGAAATCTAGCTCCTGATTAGGAAGACTTAACAAATATTAACAATCTACCACCGTCATATCCCTTTCCCCATCTTATTCTAAGACACTAGGAAGGAAAAAGGCATCAAAACACATCGCCAGCAACTATCAGAAATAGAAGAGTAAGAACTCTTCCTATCAATTTTTAAGAAACTCCACAGTCAGCACTTGGTTCTGGGGTTCAGTAGATTTTCAACACACAATTCTAACATCAAGAGTTTCATCAGGAAATGTTTGTTACTTCCTATGCAAGAGGAAAACTGACTTGAGTGGTATAAGCAAAACCTATACGGATTAATTTCTTCAGGTTATGCTGGACTTTCACAATTCTCATTTTGGTGGTCTGGTGTTAGGTTTTTTTGTTGTTTAAAAAAGCACATTGTCCCTGACACACTGAATTACCCACCAGGACAACTTGTTTTTCAAATTTTCACAGAAAAAAATTGGGATTTCTAACTGGTCAGAAAATGCTGTAACACTCACCTTCAGAGGAACAGATCTTTAAACCTCTATATGTATTTATACACACACTATCTATCTATATATAAAGAAAACAACTACTAAAACACCAGTTCCTGCCACAAAAAAACTTCATGCACACACTCCAGGAGGGCAGCCTTGAGCCCAGTGATTACCCAAGGGCAATAATTTATACATGACATCCTAGCAATTTTGCCTCCTAATTTTAACCTCCTTTCCCATTCAATCCTGAAATAAAGGACCATCCCTCAGACTCTGGATACTAACTTGGAAACGTTGCCAACCACAATGGTTTTCTTCACATAAAGCCGTGAAGTTTCATCATTTGACAGTCCAGCATTTCGTTGTCCTGGTTTCTGAGAGCTTGAAACACCTGAACTGTCCTGAGGGTAGGGGAAGAAAAAACAGACAAACAAAAACCAAGCATTCTTCTTAAACATCACTTTGTCTGGCACTAGAAAAGTAAGGGGGTGGTAAAACAAAAACTAAACCTGCACAGTTAAATGAGACCAATAATAAGTCATCCCTAAAAATACCTAAACTGCTATATAGGCACATTTAAGCAACTCAGGCACGCAACAATGATATACTACCTAGCCAAGTGTAAGCTGCATGGCTTAGCTGAGCATACGTCATGTGACATAGCATGGATCTGAGCCATGATTTCAGCTTGGGTTTCAAAAGCACTGACGCTGCCTTACCTGAAAAAAATCAAGCACTGCTAGAATGGCAGCTAGAGTGGCATCACATTGGCGGTCATTAATCAGAAATAAAGCTGCATCTCCCCTCAGTAGCTTCTGAAAATCTGTATCTTTCTCATTCCCAGCCTCTGCTGCTTTGAGGGACTCCAGCATTGCTTTACAGTGAAGAATCAAGGCTGGGCTTGAGGCAAGAGCTCAGCTCCAACTTAAGAGGGAGAGCAATCAGCCACAGCATGCCGCTGACATCTAGATAATCCTCTGCAATACTTGGTCATAACAAATCCAGCAAACTTTGAACACAAACTCAGCTATCAAGCAGTGGCCAAGACTCCCCATAAAATTATGACATGATCATTCACAGTGCCAATGCAGGCTGCACTGGCATTTGCACAGGAATGAGAGGCTTTGCTATGACTGCTGGATGAAGCCACTGTCCAGAGAATAAGGGGCTTCCATCATTTCATTATCAACAGAGTTGGTGCTGCAGCTTCCTAAAGTGTAATCCACTGAGCACTCGTCAGATATGGGTCAGTGTGGGGAGCAGTGGATTCTCAAGGAACCACTGCGCCTCCTCTGTTAAATCAGTGATGCCCTCAACTGGAGCAAGCAGCCGTACAAGGCTGAGATGACTTCTGCTCCTCTTCACTCTCTTAGCCACCTCCGGGCCAAGGGCTGCATTAGTTGAAGATGTACCAACATGCTACACCCAAGCAATACAACTGCTCCATCAACGTCCCCAGTGCAGAAACAAGTTATATTGGTCTGGTGGCTTACAACACAGGTGGGTCCACATTACATATTGTTTATTTGCCTTCTGCTACAGACCGCAGGCAGGGTTTCATCAAACTGCAGCTCCTTTTGTGAAAAGTGTCATGCTGTTCAAGAGAGGTAGAATCACTGATCTTTCTGCCATGTATTATTGCAACTTGTCCAGTTGCAGAATGCAGTCACAGGCAATGAGATATACCAGTTCCTGGTCTGGGTTGAAAGCTGTACTCCTCTAGCAGGCTTGACAGCTTAAAGGAACTGAAAGGAAACTGAAGAATTTAATCTCACCTACAAAGGCACATTTTACCTTCAGCCAGTGAGAGAGCCTCCTCAGTGCAGCTAACTGCAGCCAACAGGGAAAGAAAGCATTTCTGTAGCTGCACAGCATGCCATAAAGGGAATGGATCCAAACCAGAAATAACCCAGAAAAAAAGTATAGGGGCACAATGAAAGAAGATACTTTTAACCTGAGTCTGGTTCAGTTCAAGCAAATGGTGAAATTAGCACAACAGCAAGCAGCACCACCAAGAGAAAAACAACTCAACACATCTAAGCTCTACCAGCTCATGCTCCCAAGAGCTAATCCACTGCTGTCTCTGTGTTTTCACCACAGGCTGCTGAGGAAGACAAACCCCAAACTCCTGTGGTTCAACCACTCTAGGCAATGCAGTCCCCATGGGCACCCACAGCCAGGCAGAAGCATTACTTCTTAACAACACTGCTGGGAATGACACATCTTGCTCTTCTCTCCCTTCCTGACCTGACTTCCATCTGCACAGCAAACCCCTTTGCTCAAGCAATGAAACACCTTCTCCAGAGGCTACCAACAAAGACAGCAGCACACAGCTGTGCTAACACAAACACTATCACTGCTGCCTAGCTAGCCCCTCTGTTGGGCAAAACTGAGTTAGAGTTAACCAAGTTCCATAGACTTCAGTTAGCCTTACAGCAAAGCCAGGCTGAGACACTGGGAGCAAGCAGTTGGAGAGGGTAAGAAACAGATCTTCAGCAAGGTAGGTGAAAACATGAAGAACTCCTGGTGCCAGCACTGAGTCCAGACAGAGCACCAACAACTTGACCATCACTCGAGTTTTACTTTACCCGGCCAGTATTTCTGCTCTGTCTCTGGTCCAGGCTGTTTGTCAGCCGCTCATCTGCATCCAAGTTGCCATTGTCTTTGTCCAGGAGAAAGTCATTGTGCTGAGAGAGCGAGTCACTCTCGGAGTGGTTGGCAGATGGAGTGTCTGAGCCCTGGTTAGCTGGAGACGATGATCTAGAGGGTGATTCCAAGAATTTCTTGATTGAAGGGTGATTAAGAATTGTTGCATCACATGGCCTGGTCCCCTGCAACAAAGAGGTCAGGCAAATCCAGTCACTATTTACCTGCAGCCCAGATAAAAGCTGTGCAAGAAAAGTCAATGTATGAAGAAAGAGCAAATATTTAATCAGCTGCCCCAGGGGAAAAACACATGCTGCAGAAGATGAAAGCTTAAGTTGGTTCTACAAAAACATCACCGCTAATTGAATCTGTTTCTTTACACCTTTTGATCTCAGAAACCCACCTGGCTTTGGAAAGGAGGACTGCAGCCTACTCAAATACCTATTCAAAGTCCCTTTGAAAATAACATCTTCTTTCCTGTGCACATATCCAAGGTCTTTTGCTATACACAGAAAGGCCACAAATGCATCAACCTCTTCAGCTTTGATACTCACTGGCAGCCCTGTCAATGCCTATGAGGCAAGCTACTCATTAGCTCCCTGTCTGCTCCCAAAGCTTAACAGAGGATAAAGAATAATGTGCACAGGCATGCTTGCAAATTTTCCTCAAAATGGACATCTTGGAGCTAATCTTAGATTCTCCTAAACCTGCAAAAGGAAGAATAGGGTGGAGAAGTGTTTAAATTTCTTTGGGATTTTTTTTTTTTCCCATTACTGAGACAAATCCCTCACCTCATCTTTTTTTTTTTTTTCCTCCTGCATTTGCCTTTAACCTCAGAAGTAGGAAGGAAAACACCAATCACTCAAAGCAAGTGTTCTTTGTCCACTTCTCCTCCCAGACACCTTGGTTTGATGATGAATCAAGTCAGCAGAAACACCTCTCTGTCAGCAGCAGAGTTCCGACAGACAGGCTCACTCCAGCTCCCAAAGCCACAGACTCCCACTGGAGTCAGACTGACAGTTTTTCCTGCATGGAGTACCAGCTGAAAGAGGCTTTCTTCTTCCCTGCCCAAAGCAACCCGGGTCAGCCAGGCTGGCACAATGATTCATAGGGACAGGGCACATCACAAAGAAAAACAAATGAAGAAATTGATTTGGGATATTTTTGTTTGCTTGCTTGCTTTTTTTCCTTCCCAGGGTTATCTTTAATCTGTGTAAATTCCCTGATCTAAAAATCTGCCAACATGATAGAGGGGGTGGCACAGGGACAGACACCAGCACCATTACTGGAACAGCAGAACCGCTCTTGAGAAGTGGTAGCAGGAGTGGAGTTAAACACTGTCCAACTTGGACTACGGAAGTTCATTTGAGAGCTCTCTTTACAGTTGTCCATTAGGTACATGAGCAAAGCAACTGCCAACTCTCAATTACACACTTAAAGTTAAATCCATATGTCCTACAGCAGGGACACACATGCAACATCACAAAAAAAAAAAAACAACAAACAAAAAACCACCCCTAAATCACCAAAAACCTTTTTCTTTTACCTGTAGTCAAGCAAAATGACCAACCCCTTGTCCACTAATTTGTGGAAAAACATAATAAACTGTAATCATACGGAATCATAAGCCTCAAAACCCAGCAGCACTGGGTTGAAGAACTATTTATGTTTATGAGAACAGGTTAGGTATCTGCAAATCGTCTTCCCAGAAGTTCTGAACTGGACTAAAAAGACTCCCCATTAACCACACATTAAAAATAGACAACAAAGAAAATTGAAACCAGTAACGATTTCAATAGAGAGAACTGATTTAGCCCACATGCAAATTAGAGAAAATTAAAAATGCAATCAAAGATAAGCTACACTAACTGTAAGCTCATAAAAACTACAGAAAAACTAAACAAAGCAAGGATGCACCAGGAAGTTTTGTGAATACTTTGAAAGAATAACAAAAGTTGTTATTTCTGGCAAGTGTGAAAAGCAGCAAGGACAAAACCAAACAGCCTGCATGGCAGAACAAGTAAAGAACAGGGACAGCACAGCTCCTCCTGATACAGGATGACATTGAAAAAACCCCACTTTCCAAGATCGCAACCTAGATGACATTCTTCAGTGGCCTACACAAAAATTAAGGAGGAAGAAAGATCTCCAAGCCTCCCAGTACTACCATAACCTTTTTCAACTCCAGTTGCTCAACTCAAGTTTGGTTAGGGTAAAACAAGCTGGACCTTTATGGTCCTATGGCATTCCAAGTCTTCTGGAAATCACAACAGGAAAACCAGGAGTAGCGGTGCAAGCCACTGCTTGGAAGAGAAATTCCCATGGGACTAGAGTAAAACTCAGGTTTGCAGCACCCATCGCCAGTTTCCAGAAATCAGCTCAGGTCTTTACTGGAAATAAGATCAACCCCCTAAAGTGAGATGATAACTGAATACTGACCCTGGTAGTGAACTACATGTCAATGGGGAGTCTGCGTGAGTTATGAACACCCTGTAACTAACAGCCCATTAGGGGCAGAGCGCTCAGAACTGGGGTTTAACAAATAGGGTTTGTTTTGTTTTTTTTTTAAAAGCAGGGTATTTCAGAAACCAGAACCAAGGGCTGTTCAAGGACTTCTCAACTGCTCTTTGAAGACCCTTCTTTGCCAAGTACCCAAGGCCCAGCTAGTGATGCACAGGTCTCCTTTCCCACTGCCACCCCACCTGCAGTTTGTATTCCACCACTTCAGAAATTAACGTCTCAAAAATCACACATCAGCTGAATGGCCAGTGAACTACAACTACTCCATTGCAAATACACCCTAAAGTCTTATTATTTCCAAAGCAATTTTTACCTCTCCAGCTTTAAGGAGACCAGCAGATGCGTAATAGTTAGCCACAATACAGGCACGCAGCTTATCCATCATCCTCCTTGCTTCAACCAGGCGCTACAAAAAGAGGTAACAACAAATGGTAACAGATAACCAGTGCAGCAAGCCCCCCCCCCCGCCAAACCCTGTTACACAAGGATTATATGGATTTTTAAGAACAAAACCTTTATACCTGATCTATAACTTCAATTTCGTGTTCTTTACTCTTCATTTCGACAGCAAACTGTTCTTTTATAATTGTCTCAATCTTCTGCACAGCAACATCTCTAGCTGTACACAAGGCCACACATGTTAAAAAAAAAGAAAAAGGAAGTATTTAAAGTCCTATTTTTGAGGCTATATTTGAAAACATAAAGATCAAAAATTGTTTTGGAGTGAGAAGTGAAGGGATAATAACACACACACAAAAAAGGGAAGGATCATTTTTCTGCAGAAGTTATTTGTCTTAACAAAAACCACATGTATCTTTAAAAGCTGGCTTATGTGGAAAGTTATTTTTTCCTTTTTAGAGCTGAGATGACAAATAACAGAAGATGGGAAGCAAAGGACCAGTCTGTTTACTTCTGTCTCAGAAAAGCTGTAAACAGCAAAAGGAAAACTCAAGTGCAGTTACCACTGCGGTTGTGCAGGAGTATGCTGGAACACCATGCACATTCTTCTGCTCTCTCTTGCCCAATTCACATCCAGGAAATCAACACCACATACTGCAGCAATAATAGGGCCAACTAATACTTCATATATTCAACACAGCCTGAACGTGGTGTAGCCTTCTCTGGAGTGCCTACAAGCCTCTTATTACCCACAACGGAAACTACATTATCAAAAGTTGGTGTATGTCTTACAAAATCCAGCACCGCAGTCAAAAATTGTTAGCCTTTTAGCAGGAGATTATTGACTTTGGTGGACAGCATGTAGTTTAGTATTTCAAACTGCATGAATACCTTATGGCAAACCAGCTGCTAAGAAGGAAACTGGCATCTTTTTGTGTTTTCCTAGGACATGTATAAATATAAGAACAATTCTTTTTGCTCTACACCTACAGCAGACTTTAATATTGCCCTTCCTTTAAGTCACCTCCATTATATCAAGCAGGTTCAAACAACATCTGTTTTTATCAAGTTCTAAGCAAGAACTTGGAAAAGCAGTAACTGCACTTCTAAAAGAAAGCCTGGAAAAGGTTCTCCAGTCTGTGGCAGAAGTAGAGTGACCCCACTGCAAAGCAGATCAGAGAAACAGCCTGACTTCCTCTGAAAAAATGTCACGCTGTTTCTACATGGAACAGAAGGCAACAGCTCCTAGATTCTGTTTTGAGCTTCAGAGGAAGCATTTGTTTTACTAAAGGGTACACATATGTTTGAAGAGGTTTCTAATATTCCAAAAGAAAGAATAAAGAAATCAAAAGCAAGTCAAAACTTTGCTGCTGCATTCCAGCTAGCATACATAATTTTACTGTCTAATCAGGTACCTACAACAACAGTAAAGCAACTGATGCTTCTATATGCAAGAAAGGTCTCCTAAATATTTTTACTTATTTCCAGATACCTGTATATAGATATTCTAGGGCCAGAAGTAGCTCTAAGCCTACGTTAAAACAGCATTGTGTTTGAATTTGTACGAGTTATGCAAAATTAAAACACAGAGGGATATAATTTTCCTCCAGTCATGAACACCTTGCCTAGGAAATTCACATCTAAGGTATACTTTAAATAACCCTAAACAGATTAAGGCATGAGATGCATAGTTCAGACAAGGCCAACTACATCTCTTCCCAAGACTGATGCCATGCAACACCAATATTATGACAATTAAAGCACTTTAGTGTTTGTGGTTATATTACTGAGGCTTTTAAGAACACTTTATTTTTGTATTTTTCCCATCTTAGCATCAACCACATACCCTAATTAAGATCACATTAGTGAAATTTGTATACTTAAGGAATTCCTGTATTGGAGACCCTCCAGAAGAGGGAGAAAGAAGCCAATTCAGAGGAATCACCTGAACAGAAAGCTTGCTCTGGGAACGACAGTTTTCCAAGGCACTGAGACTTTGCCTGCTACTTATTAAGACTTTCTGAAAAGTTGCTTCACAAAAAGTGGATTAAAAACCCGTCTGCAGTCCCTGGGACACTCCACCACAGAGGGTGGTGACTTCTGGCAGCCAGGCACGGCAGGCAGCTGGGAGTGGTGACGCTCTTCTGCCACAGCCAGCTCCAGCAGAGCTCCACTGTCAGGGTCCCTACACAATCCAGCAGACAGGATCTGCCCGGCAACACATTCAACCCAGGGTTCAGCCTCCTCAGACTTGTCCAGCTGTACTCCGCACTCCAAGACATCACCCACGAAGCCATCATCTATCCCTCTCCAATCAGCAGCTCTGGCATCCTGCTCTGTTCCTGGATCATCTTCAGATCCCACAGCCAGCTTCAGTTTTCTCACCTCCCTGTTTGTCAGCTCTTCCCATCACGATCCTTTCACATAGCTATGCTATGCCAAAAATCACTACCCTACTCCCTGTCCCAAGGGTAAGAAGCTCTACTCCCATTTACCCAGAGATGACTGCAACCTGTCTCAGGCACCCTGCCAACAGGCTGGTTCCCAAAGCAAGCATATCAGGGCGTGCCAAATGCAAACCTACTCATCCAACTACTCTCTCCACTACACTTCTTTATCCACCTTCCTTTCAGTCAAGTAGCTGCTGCTCTTCCACCTCCTCCCTTGCAACTTTCAAAACCCCTTTCTTCTCCCTAACTTACCCCCTTCTACACTGCTCCATTTCATTTTATCTGCCTATTCCTGCAAACATTTGCCATCCTTAGGAGACAGTCTATCTACTGCAGGGTCATGGATACCCCCTCCACCATGCTGTACTTGCAATCCGTATCCCCCAAAATGTAAACTGCCAGTCTTTCTGGAAGCCGATTTCAATTGCAAAACATATAAAACAAATGCACAGAATGGAGCACACCTCGGCATGGATACCTGCTGAGAAGATGCACTGACAAATACTTTGGCAAACAAGAACGAAAGTACAGGTGGGGCCCTGGAGAGCTCGTGCTCTGGCTGCTATCATGCACCAAAGCCTGCATCCTCATGCCTTACTTACGGCTCAACTAGCAGGTAGGAATGGCTCCGTGTATAACAATCGCATTTTCCGTTGGCCATACAGAGGCATCACCAGCTCCCTTGCTCAGTGTCTGCCCTTTGACCCCTTAGCTCCCACCCCAGTCCTTCCCTGACCTGTCCTCAACAGCATGCACATCCACAACATTCCTAATTCCACCCGGAAGGCCCCTTCAGCTAGGAGAGCTCCTACCTGACTGTTCAGCTGCCTTGTGGCGCTTGCTGGGATGTGTGATGGTGATGTCCTCATAGTCGGGGTCCTTCTCCACGATCACCCTCTTCATCCCAGACATGTTCTCTCCACTGAGAGGAAAAATAAAAACATTAACTTCACTCACAGTGACCTTCTGGACAAGCTTCAACCTCTCACCACAGGGAGACACCTCCTTCCCCTGGCACTACAGGTTAACCCCGTATCTCAGCACTGGTCCAGGAGCTTCAACTCCCTCACGAGCAACGGAAGCCTACCCCAGCCCGCGTGTTGCAATGGCAAACTGCTGCCTACTGCAGCAAAGGGCCCCCTGAGCCCCACTGCCAGCGCGCTCTGCACTGGGACCCTATGGGTGAACTGGGGAGAGCCGGGTTTACCTCAGCACCCAGCACCGCCGAGGAGGGTTTACCTCAGCACCGGGTTTACTTCAGCACAGGCACCGCCGAGCCGGGAGCCCACCCGCACGGGGAGACGCGGGCTTCAGAGCCGTGGGGGCACAGGCGCCCCGGCACTACCCCTTCGCCAACGGCACACGTCGGTTCAACCGCGGAGCTGCGCGGGAAGGAGCAGCTCGTCCCGCAGCCCCCCCTGAGGCGGGAGTCGCGGCCTCGCACCGCGGGGTGAGGCGGAGGCCGCGGGGCTACGGGTGCCCGGTACCGGGGGTCGCTGTGGGCGGGGCAGAGCCCGCGCGGCCAGGCCCACGTGCCGCTCCCCTCCCCCCGCCCGCGCACACAAAGCCGCCGCGGCCGCACGCTCCTCCCTCTCCCCGCTCCCACCGCCGCCGCTCCTCACGCTCGCGTCGCCACCTGGCCCCGCCGCCGCCGCCGCCTGCACCGGCCGCTCCCGCCCCGCTGCCCTGCGGCCGCTCAACGCCGGCCCCCGCCGCCGCGTCCCGCCGCCAGCACCGCCGCCGCCGCCATGAGCTCAGGGCCGTGCGCCGGGCTGGCCGTCACGGGTGGGGCGGGGCCCGCGCAGGCGGACAGCGGCGGAGGGGCGGGGTGAGCCCGCAGACCGCCCCGGGGCGTGGAGTGGGGGACTCGAAGGAGGCGGCGCCCGCCTGAGGGGAGTCCGAGCGAGAGGCGCGGGAAGGGGCCTCGGTGGAGGCCGCCCGCGTTGCTTCGCTCCGCCGGAGTGCCGCTGAGGTAGCGAAGGGTTTGTGGGCAGCAATTTGCTCTCAGCCCGAGGTCAGCGGCCCTGTGGTGTTTCCGTTCAGATACGTTGATGTATTGGTCTAATACTGACTCGCTGGGTGAAACAATTCTGTTTGAATAAGTAATAAAAGCTGAGGACATTTTAGTTCAGTGGAAGGATGGTGATTATCCATTAAAACTCACAAAATCCCCCTAAGAAATGATGTGTGGGCTGACTGAGGTGCAGATACCAACAGCCTGCAAGTGTCACCTCGGGCCTGGGATGGTGGCTCCAGCCTGCTCCTGCCCTGCGCACACCAAGTCCATGCAAGGGAGGTTTTGCACTGATCCCACTAAAGATAGGCCTCTACAAGAATCTTATAGCAGCTTCTTACTCACCGTATTTCATAGTGTCTCAAGTCGGAGCTGCAATTGTCCATTTCGGCATATATATACTGCAGTTTATGTTTGGTTTTGGTCAGGCTGTAACACCTCTCTGAGGTGTGGCTAATGGCAAATAGTGCTTTGGTCTTTGGTAGTCCCATGGTTCATACAGTGAGCTGCTAACTAGTATAAATTAAAGTCTAGCTCTCACATACATTTGCAAACTTACTACGAGGCCACTAATTAGCAAGTGTATGCTGAATGTTCAGGGCTTAGCCCTTAGTCTTCTTTTTGTTCCAATATCAGGACCAATACTACAACAGGCTTTTGACTTCTTACCAGGCAACAAACGTAACTATGGAAAATTGATGGAGGCTCTTCCTGTATTCATATTTGTATCATGCTCATCAGAAAAAGTAGGTATACAATATAGTTCAATTTTATTTTCTTCCCTTTTCCTGTCTAATGCAAAGAGGCTGTTCATTGTTAAAATATACTGCCAGTTGAGTATGTTTAAAACTTAAAATATCTTAAGGTGGGCTTCCAGCCCTCAAAATATTTCCATTGCTTTGCAGTCTGTGAATTCCCTTTCAGGCAATATTACTTCTTTCAGGAAAATGAACTTCTGTAAGCATTGAACTTGGTCATAACATACTTGTGGCACTGCAGCAAGAGCTGCTTGGTTGCTGTAAATGAGCCTGGCCACACTGTAGAACTGCAGCAGACACTTGGCTTGCAAAGTTTTATTTCATGTTAGAAGGTATTTGAAAAACACCACATTCTCAGAAGTACAGCATACGGACTCTCATCTCAGATGTACAGCGTATAGACTCTCATCTCTCTGAGGGTAGGTTTCAAACTGTTGAAACTAGTGAAGCTGCATCTCAAAGCTGCAGAACATGGAAGATGATGTGGTATCATGACGTCCATTTAAGTTGTATTAAAATGCAGAATGCCTGGTACCATTTCTATTAAGAGCTGCTCTTTCCTTGTACTCATTTCTCTGTGTCAGAGAGAAAAGCACTATATTGAATATCAGGGTCTTCAGTTTTATTTTGGTATATCCAGAACACCCCATGGCTGAATACCTTACACAGGCATTAGACTTTTGATACAGATCACATTTCAGGCACAGGGCAAAGCTACGGAGGCTGTATTCAACAGTATCTAAAAGAAATGTTTTTGGGAAGAAGGCAAGACTAGGATTATGTGAAGGGCTAATTCTGAGTCTGAGATCCAGAACACACATTACAGGGAAGAGGAAGCCATGAGTACAGCTAGAAAAATACGTGAAGGATGGATGTTATCTCTAAAAATGGGGTATTAAACCACATACTTTCTTTCCATCAGTTCAACTGTGGTAGTATCACTCCATCACAGTCTGAACCCTTACTCTGCCATCAGCAAGTGGGAACTCAAGATGGCCAAGTACCAAAATTTAGGGGAATAAATGCTCTATAGGATTCTTCCCAACCTGTATTGTTGCCAGTCACCTTCCTAGTTTTATGTTACCTTTTCCTGATTTCCCACACCAGTTTTGTCTTTCAAGTCCATTCACATCCTTTTCCCATTCTAATACCCAGGCCTAGCCAGTATTTCATATCCCACTTCCCTGATTTATCACTTTTCCTGTTTTCTTTCTCAGTTCACTCTTCCACCTCACAGCCTCCGGCTTGCCTTTATTCATATCAATAGTAAGTTCCATGTTGAGGACAAAAAGATGAGCAAGGAGAACACCTTGACTGCGAGACAGAAGAATGGATAGATACAGAGACTGCAATGGGGCAGAATCCAACAAGTTAAATGACCCAGAGGGAAGAAAGAGTTTCTTCCTTGCACCACCAAGCCCCACTCTAGAACTCCTCATAACCTAAAAAAACCACAGTGAACTATTCAAAAGGCAAATGTTTATTAGATACACTGAACTTTAAAAAACTCAAAGATTTATGCAAGAAATATATTTAAATATAACAGGTGTTATTGCAGTTGTGCTACATTACAAAATCACTTTCCTACTGCCAGCACAATCTGAAGACCTTAATGTTATATGTGAGATAACGTTACACTGACTCTGGCACACAGTAAGTGGTCTGCACTTTCTTTGTTCAAATGTCCTTTGTGCTGCACCAGGTTGTTCTTGAAGACAATATCAGCTCTTTGCAGAACTATGTCTTTTATGTTTCATTAAATAAAGGAACTGGCAAGAAATAACGAAATGCTGTTTTCCTCAGCAAAAAGGAAAATCAAAACATGATTGCAGGTGAAGATATCATAGGAGTAACAGTTCAGGAGGTAAAATCTCTTTCCATGTCCAAGTAGCTCTTATTAATCCAACTCCAAATTGCTACAGGTGCACCATGAGGAGAATGACTCACAGGTCCAGCATTTACACAAATGAAATTGGTAATAATACATTACATTCAAGTCTCTTGATTTCCTCATTGTCATGCTGCACCATATTATTGCTTCATAGTACGTATACTGAACAAGAGGTTCATGACTGACAAATCAGAGTGTTCAGAAAGAGCACAGAGGCTGCTGACTAAAACAAGAAACTGTACATGTTAAGGACAGGAAGTCAAAGACTAAACTCCAATCCTCTGCGACTGAGGAGCGCTGAAAACAAAGAACAGGAAGAGACAAACACTGATTTCCCTAGTTTAAATCTGGCACAGCCTGTAATAATGGAAGCATTCTAGGTATATTCTAAACAAGAGGTTTAACTATTATGGTTAGCGAATGGTAAGATTTATTTCTCTTAGAAGGACATCAAGAGTCTGGACAGTAAGACTGATCCTAATAATGACAACAAATTGGGAGAAGTAATCCAAGCTCTTTTTCACAATAGATAAAAATAGAAGGTGAATTCAAGGCACAGGTCTTTTCAAAATTAACACACAGTATTTTCTTTGGAACTAATAATACAAAGTAAGCCATAATTACATTATCAACATGCTGTACAGAGGAGCATTTATGTGCATTACTTATAACAGCACTATCAGAAAAGGATTTCAGAATTATTCACATGCACAGACAGGCACACATAAACATATGAGCATGGACTGGAGCATTACAGTAGAAAAAAAGAAATGTCCCTGTAAATACAAGTTCTTAAGTAATGTTATCAGGGCTGTATACTTTATGTGTAATGTTAGTTAGGGAAGACAGCCAGTGTGCAAAGAACATCCAAGTCGCACCATCTGGTTTGAGGCTGGTAGGAGTTGTTGACTGTTGTGGCAATGCTCACAGCACTGACACAGTCATAATGAACTGACAGTCAGATGCATTTTTATTAATGCCACCTGAAATAATGCAACACTGAGGAAACTTGTGTGCTAGGCATGTTAAAATAAAATCACTGCTTGGCTCCCAATCAGATAGCAAATTTCTGCTTAAAAATCTCATCTTACATTGTAGATGCCTTTTATGAGTGTATGTTGCTCAGATTTCTTTAACCAGGCACAGCAAACCATTTCATTTGTACTTTCTTGTGTGCATGAGACTACATTCAGATGAAAATAATCATTTTGCCTCACAGTGCAAAGTCTTGCGAGTTTCTTAATGCTCTTGAATTGGCTTTTGCCATCCACATATACTTCCCTAGATGGACAATTAGGAAAAATGAACCTCTGGCTTTCCTGAACATTGCCACTAGAAGACCATGAACATACATGCACCTTTATTGCTTTAACTTAGTTCAGTGTAGACAACATGAAGTATTTTTACCACCTGAGTTTCAAATTGGAATCGCAGACTTCGGAGAATCCAGAACATCTTGGTTTCAGCAAGCCCAGCCAAATGCACAAAGCCCAAACACACTGTGTCATCTCTCATCCCACCCCAGTGAGTTTCTCTCTTGCCTCTCTCTTTGGAGCTGACCTAAGTTCACAGCTCTGCCTACCCACTGAGAGCAACAGCTCCAGCTCACCACTGTGCCTTGGGCAGGAGGGAAACCTGAAGTCACAGGGAGCAGGACTGCATCTTGTTTTGTCCTTGCAGCTCAAATAAAACAAAAGCAGGATAAATGGAAATAATCTGAGATAATCTAAGATAATGTGGTGAGCTCAACTATTTTGAGGAAGAAGCTGGAGTAGTCAGCAGTGTCCTTGCTCTCAGGCACAGGTGACCATAGCTTCCTCTGAACCTCTATCAAGGTGAGCGCCTCCTCTTCCTACATCAACCTCTTTCAAAAATTTACAGTGTTAAAAATACCATTAAAAAGCTTGACTATAGTAAGGGTCCATGTCAACAATCTGCATTAAAGGTATCTCTGCTGCAGACAGTAGAAACAAAAGCAATCTTTGACAGGAACTGCATTGGTGCCAACTAAAAACAAATGCTACAGCTCTGGACCCTTGGTGCTGGAGTGGCAAGCACAGTGCCTAATCCTCAAAATGCGCACCAGGCACATAGTATAAAATTGATCATCTGATGGTACAAGTGGAAGAGATTCCACAAATTATGTCTACTGAAGCATTACCAAGAAGGGAGCCTACAGGGAAAACTAGATGATTACCAGGCAATGTTAGACGCTTGATGGCTGTAAAATGACGGAATGCGTGGTATATCTAAAAGCAGGTGGCTATACGCTGCATTGTATTATAGTCCTGAACTTATCTATTCAGAACTTTCTAGAAGCCATGCTGCAAGGAAGCATCAACTTTCAATTAACATCATACTGCTAGAAACAGAAGGATGCAATTCATGAAGTGCACATCAAAATGGAGAAGAAAAACATTTACTCTCATTTCTTTTTAAGAGTGAAATGCTTAAGAGGTAATTATCTGTTTAGTGGAGTTAACTATTAGCTCTTGAATTTACTTTTTCGGTGTCACTTTGGAGATACTTGAGCCCATGTATAGTTAGACTGCAGTTACATCTTTGTGCGGGTATCTCTACTTCATAGATACCAAACCTACTACCATTTATGATGGAAATCTTTTGATTATATTAGATGGCATTAATAAGTTTCTCTCCTAGCCAAAACAAAGAAAAAAGAAAACCCCACCCCAAAACCCACAACCAGAAACCACACAACTTGCTGCTCAAGCCCATGAACTGTAAGCAGTTAGATATGCATAAAAGTGAGAGTTTAGATCTTTGAATTAATTTATACCCAAGTGAAATGCATTAGAGAACAGGTGGCTCAGGAATGCAACTTCCAAATTAACACATCCTTCTTAGAAAAATGGTACGTTTTCATTAAACCAAAGTTGAATTGTTCTTTTCTAGTGCCTCTAAAAAATAACTTTTCTAACACAGCAGGCTGTAAGTGCAAATTATTTACAGAGTTAACAAGCAAGGAAATCATTGCATGAGTAACTGCCACTTTAGCAATGCTCCACACATGTAACTGTTCAGCACTGAATACAGGTTCTCAAGAATTCTAAGCAAAGTTTTCTTCTACAGCTACATTTCTGAATTTACTGGTTCATTAAACACTGTCGTTTTCAAAATAATAGGTAACTGTACATAAATTGTTAAGAAAAGGCAACGAAACTAACATAAATCTTCAAACCCATGGAAAGCGGTACCTTGTTACTTACAGAGTAGTGCAGTATTATAAACAAGATTAATTAAAAGATACCTATGCATAAATGACATTGTTCTACACCTACAGAATAAAGAATGTTTCAAAACAGTTTAGCATGACAATCAACATCACAAGTCTTAATACAAACAAGATGGGAATCAAAGGAGAGCATTTCTCAAATTGCACCTCTAATTAAGTGCTTCTACAATTTTTTATGTGTTCACTTACAATGATGGCACAAGTTATATACAGTGTTAGTACACAGTATCAGTTACTGGGCAATTACCATTGCTATCAACGGACCTTTTTCACAGGTAGTGAAATTACCTTTTCAAAGGAACATTTGGTGAGCAGGCACACAAGAAACTTAGAAAAAGATTAATTAATCAAATTCATTTGTCTTACATTCCCAAGAGACTTTCTTTTTAGGGCAATGTGAATGTACATGTTCAGGGACTGAATTCCTAATTACATCACTGATATGCAGAGATTTATATTTTATCAGTATTCTTAACATATACAAAGCAACATTTGGTATTCAGCCAGAAACTCAAGTTTGTGTCCTTTCCTGAGGTTACAAGTTAATGCATCACTAAGTGCAGTTCCCAGTGCTCTTTAAAAGTCATGACCATATGTTACTCAAAGTGACGACTCCCAGTTTGGCACAGCTTCACTGAGGGTCAGAATTTCCATCTCATGAAGAAATACTCTGAGCAAACAGATGAGGATAGTCCAGTGGAACAAACAACGTTCCAGAGATGGTGCTTGTTTTCACCCTCCTGAGCAAGCATGGGGACCAGAACCCTGAGGCCAGAGGCGTCTCTGCAGGGGCCTTATGTTTTCCTTCTGCCCTGGCACTGACCAACTTCCCTACTGGCTGCTGTCCTCAGAATTCCTTTGAAAGGCAGTTCCTGAGGATTTTGGTGATTAACAGGAAATTGGAACACAGAAAATCCTATGCATTTTCCAACTCTCAAGTGCTGTTTCAGTTTTTATGAACTTGTGCCTCAACTACACAACTGTGTACCAGAAATAAAGAGACCTAGTACAGAAACCTAGGGAGGACTTAAAAAGAACCAAAAACATTTACTTAAAAAAAAAAAAAAAGTGTGTGTGTGTGTATGTCAAAATACAGGCGATTCTGAAGCTTCAAAATTATCCAAAACATGTGGGAGTTTCCTCATATGGCTATGTGGACATGTCCACAGATATTTTTTCTGGTGACAGGAGGGACCTTTCCAGAACTTCTTTATCTGTGGCCAAGCAGCTTATACAGTAGTTTAACTGTGCTAGAGTAAGTGATTGTCTGAAGAAAGGCCAAGAAATAGTTGGCAGGTACTCTGCCATCTCTGCAGATGAGATAATCCGAAAGACCAATTTATAAGCTGTAGGATGCAACCCCATTCCCTACATCTATCATGAGGTGATTTACAATGTGATTCAAAAAAGCAGTAGAATCCAGAGGTCATGATCCTTTATTTCTTGAATAGTTTAGAGACACTTAGCAGTGAGCCAAGAGCAAACCCAGTAACTTTCAGACTTCAGCCACTACTATTCAGAAAGTTAAAAACTGAGATTCCAGACTTGCTCCACAGATGCATGCCTACACCCCAGTGGTCACTAGTTTTCCATGTCATGTAGCCTTGTACTTCTGGTGAATGCTTAGCAACACTACAAATAAGGCCCATAGTGCTAAGGTACATGATTGTTACTGCAGTGAGTTGCAGTGGCTCACTAAACAACCAGTTTCTCCTTCAAAAAAGACACGTTCCTCAAAGATTCTGTCCTATATTGTCTGTTTTGTTTGGTTTTGTTTAAATTCCAAACCATGTATGACCTGACATAAAATCTACTTAGTTAAGGCAAGTAATCTGCTTGTAAGAATGCTGTGCATATAAACTATAATTATGTAAGCTTTTAAATTGTAGGTACTTATCTTGGATGTTTCTTTGGAATTTACTTGCCCGTGTATTTTTCCAATTAGCAGAACCTGAAACACCTTGCAGATAATGCTTCTTAGGACACAGGCACAAATGCTTGTGAAGGCACTTTGCCCAAAAAGCTTCCAAGATTTTAATTACTAAGCACACACAGGGCAAACTTTCTGAACACCAGTACAATGTATTGTTACTGCTCTTGCATCAGAGCCCACAGTAGATGTAACTGAACTCTGGTTACTGGATAGATTTGCAGACTTGTTTTGCAAGTTAAATTAACTCTTCTCCTAAAGGCACAGGATATAATTTTCATATGACACTTAGGCAGGGAAAGGACATTCTCCCACTCCAGGAATCTTTAAAAAGCCTGTCTTGCAGCAGACCACTGGTTTCATTCGTGCCATCTTCTTTTTTTCCAAGAAAAAACTACAGTTTAAAGCCTTTTTCATTATATCTATGAATCGTCACACAGCCATGATATGATACTGGCCTGGGCATGGCTGCTACTCCTGTGATAATGCCCGTCGCAGGGTCATAACAAAGAATAGTGTCTGTGGCTTCACCATTTTCTCGTCTTCCACCAAGGATATAGATTTTTCCATTACACACAGACATGCCACAGTTCTCCTGTTTCAAAATACACAAAGAAATACATGATTATTTAAACAGCAGTACCTCAATTCCCAGTGCAGAAGGATTGCATTGTGACTACAGTTTGTAAACAGACTGGCTTATACTGTTCCCTCCTGGAAGGGGCAATGCAGAAAATCCTATTTTTCTGCAGTAATTGGGGAAATCAGAAGCACAATTCCTCAGAAAAGACTATTTCAGGTCTAGGCCTTCACTATACATAGCTCAGACAAGGGATACAACGGAACACAGCTGAACTCTGCACTTACCAGTTAAACATCTGAGAAAAGGAAATGAGAAGAGAACAAAGGTTTGCAGAAGAGGGGCCGCAGTAGGTAGTATTAATACAAAAAATGATAACAAGGAGAGGCACCTCAGAGAAGTAACAGATAATGAAGAGGGATGCAAACAGGGGAAAGGAAAAGAGTTATGACTAAGAAAAGAGTGCATAAGAAAAAGACAGCCCTACGTCTTGCTTGAAGCAAAGAGATAGGATTTTATTTCTTCCTTAAAAGCAGGCATGGAAAAATCTTCTGTTAAATACAAAACACAAACCAAACCAGAGAAATAGAGGGAAGGCCAGCAAAAAGGCCTTTCTGTTAAGGTGGACACCATAGAGCATGTGATTGATGTTTTAAAAACATCAGCAAAACTACCATGGGGACACAGCTTTAAATTCTACTCAGTGTTCCATGTGTGGAAGTGATACTGCTCTTGCTGCTCAAGTCAGACACTCTGTGCTATACAGTGGGTTTTTTCTCACCCTGTAAGAACAGCCTCAGTACTTTTTGCCTGAAAGGCTCTAATCAATTATATGGACATTACTATCGTCAGCCTAAACTGAGTCTAAACATGCAGTAGAACTTGACAGAGATGGATTTTATACAATTAAGACATCATTCATTACACTATTACACTGTTCGCCAACAGTAACAGCTCTCAAACAAGAAGCCTGGACTTGCTAAGAGTGACAGCCAGCTGAATGCTACTGGTTTAGAAGCTTCCTCTTCTGCATGAGCTTCAATTACATAGATGAAGTATAGCAAGAATGGAATCAGATGCCATTTTAACGGGGTTAAACAAGTATACTCATTTCATGCCAAGATACTTATGTCAAAAAATACCTTTCAGATGTCTGCAGGCTTTTTAGTGTTAATTACCTGTCTGCTGAATGTATTCTGTACATGCATCCAGTAGTCCTCAATTGGATCATAGCAGTATATTGCTTTGGTAAGCCCACCAGCAACATAGATCAGATTGTTTAAAGACACAGCCGTAATACATCGTTTTGCAATGGGGATAGTTGCACGGAGCAACCAAGTATTAGTATCAGGATCGTAAGACTGAACCTGAAAGCAAATACATGCATTTCAGATTAAAACCAGAACTCAAAAACTAACCTGGCACACCCACAGAGTTATACAAGGAGAGCCAAAGCAGTAATACCTGGTGGGCAATATCCCCCCATGAAAATCAAGGTAATATAAATATAGGTCTATATATCAATAATGTCTACATACGCACTATGTTCAACATTATTTTCCTAACATTCAAGTTTAAGAATTCACAGAACTTGTGCAGCCAATGAGAGTACCCATGAGGAAGACCAGCATCTGAAGTAACAGCATCTTACTGAGTTAATGTTTTCTACTCTATTCTTTTTTGTATTACTGTACTTCCATACTCCATTCAACAGAACAGTTAAAACAGATCTTTCTCTGATCTGTTTTTAAACCAGGAATACTGCTTACCATAGATAAAAGAAACAATCAAATACAATTAACTCACCTTGTCAGAACACGTGTTGTCATCAGGACCACCCCCAATCACAAAGAGTTTGCCAACACAGCTGGTGACAGCTGGAGAGCTCACAGCTTCTTTAAGGGGAGCCACCTCTGTCCATCGATTAGAAAATGAATCATAACACTCCACACTGCTGAGGCGGTTTTGTCCATCATATCCTCCAACAACATATACCTAATGCAAAGTGGTGAGAACTATCATCATTTCATTTTTAGAGTAGTTATTACATTTAAAGATGAAATTTAATTAAATTTAAAGCTGCAAGAACCATTAATGTTGCTAGGTTTGTGAAGGGACACTTTCCTCTTATTTTTAATTTATACACAGGAGGAGAAGGATGAAGGGTATTGTCTAAAAATAACAGGTAAAGACTCTCTGGAGAGTTCCATTCAGTCATGTGTGCAATAGCATTGCAAACACATGTCCAAAGTATAGTACTTTTAATACTGAGCTAGAAACTTCCTGTTTGAATGCCATTTGTTACAAAAGGCATCTCTCTGCATTTCTCTTTTTACGTATTAAATTCAGCAACAGCAAGAATCCATCTGAATTTACCTTTGCTTTTCTGAGTTTTGCCTTTTTCATACTTGCTCACAGAACTATTTCTTCCTCTCAGCCTGTAAGCTTTTCTTTCCTTTACTTTCCTGTTGCTTCTCCCATATTCAAGAAGCAGGCCTTATTATTTTTTTACCTTCTTCCCTCTGTTTGCACCAGCTGCAAGTCTCACCTTTAAGAAGTCCAAGGAATACCACAGGCTTCCCTAACCACAGATACCAAGGGATACTGCATCTTTCCTAACTTTCATTAACAGAATCCCATGGGCAGTTGATCCCAACCAGTGGTTTTATGTCAAGGCAAAGTAATATTAAGTAGTGCTGAATACTATGTATGTTTGCTCCACTGTTTTGTTACATACAAACATCCCCACTATAAAACCATTATTAACATACTTACTTTACCAAGAAGAACAGCCATTTTATGACGCCATCTGCCTTTATTTAAGGAGGCAACTCTGATCCAAATGTTAAGTTGAGAGTTATAAATCCAAACATCCCGGCTATTGATTCTTCCACCTTGGAAAACAAAAAATATGCCAATTTCAGTAAATTCACTATTGAATGAGATATTTTAACTATTAACAGACCTCTGTAGAGCAAGCAATGAAAACTTCATGGGGTTTTTAGGTAAAATAAAGATGTATCTATGTTCATACAAACTGACTGAAAAAAAATCAGTTTCAATGAATTTCAAACATGAGAACATACAACAAGTTATTTTACTCATGTGTGCCTCTCCCAGAAATATGCTAAGATCCCTTCAGATTATTTCTTGAGATTGGAATTCTTTAACTGTTTGTGTGCCTCATGGCACATACATAACCCCAGCTGTTCCTCTATTTGGTTCATGTGTACATCTTGGTTTAGCGTGAGGTGTGCCTGCCCACAGCAGGGCGGTTGGAACTCGATGATCTTAAGGTCCTTTCCCACCCTAACTATTCTATGATTCTATAATCTCCATGGTTTTACAATTTGCTCAAATGACACAGGTACTGCACATCTGAGGAGACAATTTTTTTGTTTGATACATGGGGCCTGGTGCCTAAACCATCAGCTGAACCCTATAAATTCACCCTAGCTAAAAGATGGGATGAGAGGTGTTTAAAAACCTACAGCTATTGCTCATTTCACCCTAAAAGGCTACTATAAATGGATCCCCAACTCAGGTGCTAAAAGGAATTTGTTTCCATTTTACATTCCCACCATGAGAAGAAGCTTAAACTGTTTTCATTTTGGAGTCTGGGAATCCATATGATAGAAGCAAGTCAGCAGCAAGGCACCACTGCTGTGCTGCTCTCAGACATATGGTGGTTTAACCAGAATACAGCATGTTTTGTAGCAAAGAGAATGCTGCTGGGAAAAGATTGCTTGGGATTTGTTGCTTCAGATTTTTCCAACTGTTGCTGCAAACAGGCTGTTAGTATATTTTAAAGCAGCGTATTTAAGGGGCAGAAACTTGTCTCCTTAAGTACAGTTGATATCCTGGAATCAGCTGTAAAAACCTGTCAATTAATACCAAGCAAAAGTCCTAGAAAACACAGTCTGTAGTCTATAGACAGTTTATAGTGAAATTGGTTTGGGGCTGGTGGTCACCACTGACAAAGTGACTTTCAGGCTAGCTACTGGAAGCTCACGGTACAAAGATCTGTAACACTACTTACAAAGAAAGAACAAAACAAAACACACAGCAAAGAAAAGACAAAGCCTTGAATATTTTTAGGATTATTCACCTGAAACAAGAATATCATTCCGCAGGGCACACACTGCATACTCAGACTTGGTAAACTCTGGAAGTTTAGCCAGTGACTTCCACTCTCCTGTTACAGGATCATAGCACTCAGTATATGGCAAATTAAACCCTCCAACTCGTTCACAGCCTCCAACAACAACAATCACCTCAGAATAACCAGTAGATCTAGAAAAGAGAACACAGAAAACCCAGATGTAGAGGATATTTAGTAGTACATGGAGGCCAAACACCATTGTATTCAAACTGTGTGAAAACAAGAAAGTTTATTATTTAGCATTAACTTCTACAGCAAAGAAAGAGTCATTTAGCAAAGAGAGGTTTTGACTGTTCCCAGCTGTCTCATTACACAACAGGTTACCACACAGAAAGGTGCTGTAAGTGGTGGAATTGCATTGCACAACATCCTGTGTGAAAATCAAATAATTAAATACAGAAAACCCTTACTCTAGAAATACTTTTCCTTTGACTGTGTACCTAGAGATAGCAGAAACAGAGTTCAAGTGAGGCCAGACAGTGAGGTAAACAGTCACAATGAAACCAGTCCCCATGAACCCTTCCCAATCACATAATTCATAGGACTTTACATTGCTTAATTATTCAGTTTTAAAAGGTTTAGGTTCTTTACTGGCCAAAAAAAAAAAAAAAAAGGCATTTAATCACCAAAATAAGGGAAAAGAGACCTTAGAGCCAAGAAAAAGCCAGTTAAAAAAGTGAAAAAGTGCAGTGATAGAAGAAAACATTAAGGAAGCTGAAATAAGCATTCAAGCCTAAAGCAAAACCTAAAACTCTGTATGAAAAAAATAAGCATTAGTCTACAATGTACACAAATAACCCTTTAAATTATATTCCACACACTCAGTCTCCTTCTGTTAACCCAATGCTTCTGCATTATACATACTCTGTTCACAGCAATAACAGAATTCATTATGTTAATCCACATTTGAATGTAGAGAATTAATCATCTTTGACATGCAATCAAACTACGACCAACTTTCAATCCTCCTCTCAAATTTACAGTGTCTAGCAACTGTTTGTCAAAATCCTTTCTTTTTAGGGCATTTTCAGCAGAAAGGATTTTGCACTGATACAGTTATTTCAAGGACTGCTTGAAATTAATTAGGCAAAACTGAATGCAAGATTAATCTTATTTTTGGTAAACCTTTTTGCTGTGTCCTGCTTTAACTCTGATTCCAGTATATGATCTTATTCATACTACTGCTAAGTACTGAGGTTCTCTCCCCACTCCCCTTACCCCCAAAAAAACCCAAACCAACCCCAAACCAAACCCAAATTATGACTGCATTTGTGATAGAAGTTGCACGATCCCTCCTCAAATTTCCTAATGGGAGCTTACGTACGTATTAACTTATATAACCCAATGACATTTCCCTGGTTTGAAACATGAGTAGTAAAAACAGTTAGCCCTTCTATATCTCCTGGTCATGACCATGATTTAAATATACCATATATATTTCTACTCAGAGTATTTTAAATAGGCAAAGGCTATGCTAAATGTAAGCTTACACAAACAAAGATAGGTAACTGAGGAAGCATACTCACGTACCTGGACTAGTCAGAAGAAACACTCTCTTCAGCTGCTCAGCTCTCAAGTCATGCTCCTTCCTGGTTTCTATGTATTTACTGTTACTGGTTTTTGGTTTTTTGAGGAACAACTCTGAAAAGAATCTCTCAAAGGATAAGAGAGGGGAAGTTCCTGTGCCAGAAAGCATCACTCAGGAAAAGAATTTCCTTAAAAGCAAGGTACTCATCTCAATTTGCCTTAAAAGCAAGCCCAGATACATCAGCTAACTGTATGTATGGAGGAAGACTGTTGATTACTTTCTAGATTAGAATCAAGGCCTCCATTGCTTACTGAAAATCTTACTGTACCAGATTATCAACCTGTATTTTAACACTAAATGAACCCAAAATCTTTGACTGGGGAAAGCTCTGTTCATTGCTATGACGGAGTTTTGCTCTTTAACGAAAATATTCATTTAGTACAGTACTTCAAATCCACCAAAACCCAAAACTTTTCCCCATCGTTTTAGTACCCATCTAACTGCATCCTTTCTTCAGTTAAGAAACATTCTGTCTGTTAGGTCTCCTTGAAGGAGCCTTGCACTCTACAGGGTTTAAGGTTAATTTCAAAACACTGCAAATGACAGAGGGTACATAATAAAAGTCCTCCTTGCAGCCCTCAGAAGAAATAGTGTGAACAGAATAACAGAGGTGAGCTAAAACAGGCACCAGACAGATTCCAGGAGACACCCTCCTCTCAGTAAGAGGTGCACAAAATAGAAAAGGGGGGGTGGAAGACAGCCCACAGTGCCATATAATCCCCTGCAGTCTCAAGAGCAGGTTTCCAAGGGTCCTGAGTTACATGCAGACCTACAGATGAGGTGAGAATGCCAGCCAACACAGCGTCAGCTGGACTGAAGTACTTGCAGTAGTTCAGACGCATTACATTCAAATTTAAGTCTGGCAGACAAATTTCAGAACTCTGGTAAATCACTACTATTTTTTAGTTCACTTTTGGACAGCAAATGGGATGACAGATTATAAAGTGAAACACTCATCTCCTTGGGGGGGGGGGGGGAATAAGGGACTACACTAAAGCCAAGGGGCTACATTATAACAAAAAAGGATGCATTAGAATGAATAAATGTAGTAACTTCTAATTAATTGAAGAGAACACTCACATATTGTTACCAGACAGCTTAACAGAAACTGTGTGACTGAAGAATTCACAGGTACATGAAAATCTGGAGATAATTCAAAGCACACAGTAGGAAGAGCTTGTTTTGTATACGAAAATGTGTTATTGCTTACTGCTTGATCTCAACTTGGAGATCTGCCATGCAACACAAGCAGCAGGGGACAAGACAGACTTAAAAAGTGCATGAGAGACAACCTCAAGATGTCACTAAGTTGCTGTAAGTAAATGAAAAGGTCCTTCAGACAGACATGCCTAGTGGGAAGACAGCAAGCAGGCAACCGTTAGAATGCATTTGAAACATTGATTTACTTCAGGGAATTCTTCACTGGCTTCAGAAAGGAAAAACAAAATAAAAACCAACTACAAATTGCATTCCACACTGTTATTCTGAAACAATTGGTTAGAACCCGCTTCACCTGGAGGTGTGCACATACACAAGCAATCACAATCAAAACAGTAAAACCACTGGTGTGGGAATTCCTGATCCTGCAGCCTGACTCCTTTTAGCAACAGTTTATATACAAAAAGAAATTGAGGAATGCAAGAAAGAAGGAAAAGAGCTTGAGTGTCTGCTCCTCCCCCCCCCCCCCCCCGAAAGATGGGGGAAGGGGACCTGGTAACTGTTTTAAAACATGATCTCTCTTTGCTATAGGCAACAGAAACAACCAGGCAACAGAAACAAATGACAAAGAACTATTCCATGAATGTAACATAGAAAAGGGGAAAAAATTGCTGCTGGGAGGTCAGCCAGTTTTTCTCTTTGTAAATTACTTCTCTTGTTCCTGCCTACTCGAATCACAGTGCAGTTTAATACGGTTGGCAGTAAAGCAAACAAACCCCACAAACTCTGAAAACAACTCTTCCCTTCTCCAGCTTCAGAAATCCCCTGCATTAGGCAAGTTAATTGATCTATAACCTAGAACACTACCCTGAGGCTGTTGAGATTCTCAAGTACACACACACCATGCACTCGGACAAAACTGTTAGGTCTGAGAGGATTTGCTTTCTTTATCACACCGAGTAACAGGCATAGAACAAGCACCACACGAGATGCCCACACAAGATACAGCCCCCCTCCCATTGCTCATGAAACAAGGAGGTCTTTGGTCTGAACTCGCTCCCCAAGGCCCACACTCAGGGTATGAAATGCCTTCAAAACTACCAGTGTAACAGTTTCCAAACTGCCATGAACCACAAGTTTTCAAAGACCTTGCATGGCAGCGTACAGCTTAGAGAACCTGGCAGCGGGGCTTCTCTCACAGCAGGATTGAAGACTGGAAAGCCACTAATGGGGCAAATGTTCACCAAGTAATTTTTTTCCCCCATAAACAAGCCTTTAACACATGCCAAAAACAATAAAGGTTCCGTGCACAGTGACTGTACAGCAACCACATATGACTAAGAGTGAACAAAGAGTAACTCCTAACACAATCTGTCTCAGTTCATTGCATCACCTTAATATAACACGTGATTTTATAACTACAGCTCAAATCAGCTGGAGTTAACAATAAACCAGCTATCATGTCAGCCTTCATGGGGAGGTAAGGCTGGGGAAAGACATTTTCAGAAGAAATGAATCACAACCACCATTGCTCATAAATGCCACTAATGGACTCTTCCTCGTTTCTTCTTACGACCTCAGACACCCATTTGTGTAACACGTTATTAAGTCGCAGCAATTCTGAATTATTAAAATGTCATAGAATAAGCATGAAACTGTTCTGTAATTCTGTAAAAATGCAAGATTTAGTTTCTTCAGCAAAGAACGTGTTGTTCTGCTGTCTGTTGTCTATTACAAATCCCTGTACTACTCCATCTGTAAGGTATTTGTGATGTAGCAAGTGAACACTTTGACTATATATCCCCATCCTCTATAGTATGCTGTACACTTCCATCACTTCGTTATAAAAAGAAGGTTGGGAAATGGGATGGTTTACCTGCTATAGCACAGCCAGTTCTTTTCAAGTCGCTGCTGTTGAACAAATTAACTTCAGATCTCACCTAGCAAACATGAACCTTTAGAAAGTATTTTACATGCAAGGCAATATGAGTTCACTTACCCGAACAGTCCTTTCTTTCATGGCAATAATCTGTGCAAAAAGACTCACTTACATACAGAAGTGTAACTGCAGTGGCTCCAGAATGGGACATAGAATCACTTGCAAGAGATGTTTCGTTTCTGGGCATGTGTCTATCAAACACCTGTACAGCAAACTACATCCTTCTGCTACAGAAATAAGGGGAGAGAGAGAAAATTCCTCACCTGCGTGGCCTAGTTCTGGGAGACATCATTTCATTTCCAAGGATATGGTATCGCCTGGCTTCATGCAGCAGCTGATAGCACTCTGGGGAGTTCTGAATCAGCTGGTCCACTTCCACAGTCTGAACGAAGTAGTTCGGGTGTAACAACGGGAGCCTGACGTGTGTCAGAAGTTCATGCAAAACTGGCCTTCGCAACTCGACCGCCCGGTACACCCAGCGCATGACAGCCTCAAACACCATCTCCTCCTTACTGATCACCAGTTCATCGCTGCAAATGTAATCGATAAGCTCATCCTTCCCCAGCTCGAGGAATTCTTCATGCTGGGACACATCCTCAAATGTCTGAAGAGCAAAGTTTCTGCACTTGGTGAACAGTGTCTTGAGCGAGTGTGCATCTGCAAAGCGCTGGATGCCCAGGCAATTGCAAGGATCCAGCTGTTCTTCCAGGAACTTGGCGCAGGCGTCGCGCAGAACGCTGATTTGAAAGAGACTTGATGTTTCAAAGAGATACTGCACATTCTCTGTAGTGATTTTCACTTTGCCCGTGTATACATACTGCAAAAAGCAATCCATAGCTTCAGCAAGAATGCCATTGATCTCCACCAGCATCTCCCTGCTCTCCCTGTGGTCATTGCAGAACATAGCTCTGAAGTAACTGCTGCAGGCTGAGAGAACAGCTCGGTGGCAGGGAAACTCCCTTCCCTCCACGCAGATAATAACATCTGTGAACAACCGGCTGTCTCGGAATTCATTGAAGATCTGGAGAATGCTTTCGGCATGGGATGATCCCGAGGAGAAGTCGAAAAACTCAGGGCCTGACAACGACTTTGGGTCCATTTCAAACACTTTCCGCTTGGTGGCAGGGGAATCTCGTATCCCGCTATCCTCTCTATTCAGTCTGCGTCCCAATATTAGTACCATTGTTACATCAGTTGGCTATAGAGTCATTGAGAAATATTTGCAGAGCTTCTCCTTCACAGTGCTACGGTCTGAAAAATTAAAACACTTCAGTACTCAGTCTGGTACAGTCCTAATTTCATCATGAGAATTAGACAAAACACTTGTCTGGTCACTATGAACTGTGACTATTTTTGGCCTTTACTAGAGGTGACACAGTATCACAGGGCAAATGACCTTGCACAGGACAATGTTCAGCTACACATTAATTGCAAAGGATACCCATAGAACACGTGTTCTGGATGGCAAGTTCTGAATGTCCCTGCACCACTTGATTAGTGTTCAAGACAAAAACCCAACTGGGATCTTGCCTCTGGCAGGTCATCTGACTGACAGAAGCCAAGGATTTCCTAGATAAAGATCCAGAGGTTGGGGTTTTCTCTTTCCAAATGAGAAAATTTCAGCTGGAGCCTCAAAGTACAAGTGTAACAGCACTACTCCGAAAGGGGGAAAGGAAGAGGAGACCGAAACCTCCAAAGTAAAAGTTCAGTTATAATAAAAATCACTGCTTCCAATATATATAAATATATTAGGAAGGCTTACAATGTTAAGTGTTCAGTAACATTCAGATATCTCAATGAATAACCTTGTCTGTAAGTTTTCACCTGTTCATCCCAGCATCTAAAAATGAGTTGTCCAATAGCCTAAAATTAAATTAAACATTAATGTAAACTGCTAGCACCCAAAACAGAATGAAAGCAGAACTGCATTTGTTTGTATAAAACTAGTGGAAATAAGAACAAAAGGCAACTTTTACTGAGGACAGGGAAAGTTTCTGTTTTCCACAGTACTACTAGCAAATAATTACTAGCAGAAGGTTTGCTCAAACACTTTACAGTTTCACATACAAGTGTACGACGTTCTCCCCTGCACGCAGACATGTTCACATTTATCAGAGCACTGACATTGCCAAAATCAAGTACTCAAATGTTAGCACATGCTGATATTGAAGCCCATAAGGAAATGCAGCTGACTTGGCAGAGAGCGCGTGTTAGAGGTGATGTGAGCCACCGATCTACCAGCAATAGGGCTTTTTGCCACTCCTGAGCTCTAAAATGAACGTCCACCAAAATACAGTGAGGCTGACACAGGTAACATTCCAGATGCATGTCATATTTATCTGTATGTCTTAGAAGGACATGCACAGAATTACTTTAAAGTTTATGGAAGCTTTTGTCATGATTCTGCAAGGCTGTATTCAGTTTCCCTCATTCACCACTTACACAGTCAGTAAACATCGGCTCCTCTCAGCAATGCCATTTCCTGACGTGCTAGCATCTTTAGGGCTGCAATTACCCCATCCAAGTCTGCCTACATCATTGCTTAATATAGAACACAATGAGCAGGCTTTTTTTAAACAGGCTTTTTACAGAGCAGCTTTAAAAGGCACCATCTTAACCAAGAGCAAGAGAAGAGCATGTGTGCTGTACATTTTACTCATTGAGAAAAGAGGGTTTAAAGCCATCATTTTACATATAAATTTTTTAAAGCGTATTTACAAGGTAGGTGCTCGGTATGGCTCATTTACCCTACAAAACACTTAATTTACCCTACAAAATACTTAACTGTCATTGAAACAGGATCAGTTGTCACTTGGATGCCTGGAAAACACTGCTGCAATGAGCCTATCTAATAACTGATTGCTTAAGAGAGATTTTAAAGAGGCAGAAATAGACAGTCTATCAGTAGTTGATACTCTATCCAGCGCATTTCACAACCACTCTATCCTGGAATGACACAAGCTAGATGAAAAACAAAACCAACAACAACAACCACCACCTCCTCACCAGCTTTAACACTCTAACCCTTACAGTGAACTTTATCTGCAATTAATTCCACACTACTCAGCAGAAACGAAGCACCAGCAGTAGCAGGGGGAAATATACCCACAAAAACATAAACGCTAAAGGCTTGATTCCAGTGTCACAGATTTAAATCAGAAGAATGCCATTAAAACTAATGGAGCTTTTCCAAAGCAAAGTTAGCCTGAAATCACAAGCAAGACACTGGTTTGTTGCATAAAAGAGCAAAATACAGCAACCAAGCGAAAAATAAAGGCCTTCAAGATGAAATCTCATTATGTGAGATGTTAAGACTTGAGAAGACACTACATGATGCAATCACTAATAAACAGAAATAAAGGCTCTGGGTTAAGACTGCTCACTAAAGGAAGCAATGTCTCTTTGTGTTTGGAACAGCACAAAATTAGTGGTCAGCAAATGATTTTTTTTTTTTATGTCCCAAAGGATTAAAGAAATGGGGAACTAAAAAAATCCATGGAAAAAACCAAATCAAGGGGATAAATACTGCAAATTCACAAAGCAGAGAATGGAAAGGAAAAAGAACCACACTCCACCACAGAAATTACTGCTTTTGAATAGACTATGCTTTAGTTTCTATCTACAGTAAATTACTTCTGTAGGTTTGTTCAACCAAAGTAATTTTGTAAGACTATCAGTAACACCACTGCATGTTTGGCTCTATCAGATGTGATAGGGCCTTCTTGCAAACCTTGCTCTGGCAGCCATTGCCAGCTGCCTGCCCCATGGTTCAACCTCAACTCTGGAAAGGCAGACGGCATTCTGTGCCTGAAGTCAAGCGCTTAGCGTGCAAAGGAGGGAAACACACAGAGGAAGGTGTACCTGCCTGCACCTTGTGTGTGTGCATATGAAGGTACTTACACATGCCAACAGGCTCTGCACTATGGAGCATCAATCATTTAGAGACTGTAACATTTGAGATCTTGTCAGTAAATGAAATGAAGCAAAAGAGAAACAGTCAGGTTTTCCGCCCAAACAACTAATGGGAATTATTATATCAAAACCCCACAAAGTGCACTGGATCACTTGCCTGAGCGAGGGTCAGCAAGGACAGACCTTAAGCAAACCAGAGAGTCTACCCATGGAAAAAAAAAAGCTGGAAAAAAAAAAAGCAAATCACACTTTCTATCAACAGGTTTTAACAATTACATACAAATGCAGACACGGCTCCAACGTTACCTGCACATCTCAAAACTAAGCTGTATGCACCAGAAGATCAGGTTCCTCCATGTCCATGGCTTGTCTGCTCAAGATGTTTCTCAGAAATAACCTAAGACCCCAAGTTCACAGGCCAGTAAATGAGATCTATAAAATACCTGCTCTATCACCTTCCATCAGTAAATCCTCCTATGCAATTTACGTTTATGTACCCTAAACTCCTCCTTCCTCCTCCTACAACATCCTCATGTATCTTACCCCTCTGCCGTCATCCGCAGCTCTGGACACAGTTAGCAGCTTTCTGGTAGAGCTGTTTGCCTGTCACTTGCATGCCACATGCCTGTTAGCAGAACTCTTGGAAAGCAGTAGAAGAAACACACAACCAGGGTCAGGGCAAGACCCTTGGCTATCAGGTTGTGCAGGACTCATCAGGTGCTCAGAGCTCCACTGCAAAGCTCACCCTCAGGGGGTAGTTTCACAAGTACATGCCAGGCTGCATCCTTGGAGTGTGACCAGCAGCAGGTTGAGGGAGGGGATTCTCCTCCTCTACCCATCTCTGGTGAGGCCCCCCTGCTGCAGTCCTGCATCCAGCTCTGGGGCAACAACACAAGAGGGAAGTGGGGCTGTTCAAGCGAGTCCAGAGGAGGCCACGGAGATGCTGCGAGGGCTGAAGCAGCTCTGCTCTGGAGCCGCTCTGCTGTGGAGCCAGGATGAGAGACCTGGGCTGGTTCAGCCTGGAGAAGAGAAGGGTCCTGAAGGGGAGATCTTAGAGCAGCTCCAGTGCCTAAAGGGGCTACAGGAAACCTGGAAAGGGCCTTTGGACAAGGGCAGGTGGTGATAGGAAAAGGGGGAATGGCTTTAACCTGATAGAGGGGAGACTGAGATTAGGCAGAAATTCTTCCCTGTGAGGGTGCTGAGGTGCTGGCACAGGGTGCCCAGAGAAGCTGTGGCTGCCCCATCCCTGGCAGTGTTCAAGGCCAGGCTGGACGGGGCTTGGAGCAACCTGCTCTAGTGGAAGGTGTCTCTGTCCGTGGAAGGTGTTGAAACTGGATGAGCTTTAAGGTCCCTTCTAACCCAAACCAGTCTGGGATACCTGAGGCTGAGACGGGCTTCTGTTGCTGCCAGTGGAGGTTGCTTTCACTCTGTGCCTGCTGCCGCGTCAGGTCAGCACAGGCAGTTGCGTTGTGTGGCCGCACCAGTGACCGTCTGCAAAGGGAGAAAAGAAGGCGCTAGAACAGGCAGCTGCCCCGGGAAGGGCAGGAGCCACCGGCACAGCCCAGTACCCTCATGGCACTGGGGACACTGCTGGCATAGTGGGGCCTGCAGAGCAGTCACATCTATTAGCTGTACGATGCTCATAACAGCACCCCCAATGCAGCTGAACTAACTAAATAAAGGGTATTTTCATTCTGAAGCATAGGAACTGCAGCTCAGGTTTAGCCTATTCTAGTAATTCTGGTGTGATTTCAGATAACAACAGGGTCTGCAGATGTGCTTCATTTCAGATGCCTGGGTTACCGCAAGAGTCAGAGAAAACAAACTCCCAGTTGTATCTATTGCAATGCACTGGCTGAACCACAACACGTGCTCTTGTTGTTTTCTTTTCAAGAGAGGGGAAGAGGAAAAGTCCCATAACCTTTCCCTCCACCAGACAGAAGCACAGCCTTTACTTCTCCTCCTTCTTTTGTTGCAATAGAAAAAAAAAACAACATAAAGTTGTTGGTTTTAAAGAGATGGTCCAGATTTACAACAGAAATTGCGGATTTGAATGCCTTTAAGATGAAGTCTTTAAGGACATTAAGTGGTAAACAAGAAATCAAAGTAACCAAGGTGACTGACACAGTAAGGAGTTCATTGCATTGTAGAAGCAGTGTCTAACGTTAGACACTACTTCAATTAGAACAAACAAACAAACTCTGAATGCCAAAATTCATCAGTAACCGAGTTAATGACACACAGAAAAAGCCCTCAAAAGTCACCCAGCAAAAACAGGAACTGATTCGGAAGTGAGACTCCGAATGATGTAAAACCACACAAAAACAGGCAGCAAAAAGAACAGCTCTAAACTGCACACAAACTCGTAGGTGACTTCTCTGCAAATGGAAAGGTCGTGCCCCCACCGGAGGGGAAAGCACACGAGCCTTGCGTGCTGTCCTTGTGCTGCACGGAGGGGACATCACCGTCAGCTTTACACGCACTCGGGAAAGGCAGAACACAGACCTCATAGGTCAGGCTGGCGTCCCAACCCCGGGATGCTGCCTCTCCCTAAAGGAGTGGGGTTCTGAACATGTAGCCATGTGGGATCCTCCCCAAGGGTCCTATTCCTACAGCTTTACCCCAAAGCATTCCCAACACGCTACTGCCCCTTTCTTCTATATAAGGGAACAACGCATCATCCAAACTAAATACAATCCCAAAGCACCCCCAAGCCAAACCAGAGACCCCGACCAGTTCGGGGGAGACTGCCCGCCCCCTTGCCGCTCCGCGACTGGCGGGGCTGGAAGCGGCAGCACCGGCGGGTCGCGGCTCCCAGCCGGGGGAAACACCGTGCGCGGCGAACGCGCCGACAGCACCGCAGGCACCGGCGAGGCCGGGCTGTCCGGCGGTGCCGCAGCGCGCCAGCCTCACAGCCACCGCAGGGACGAACCCGGACGCTCCGCGCCCACGGGACAGAGGCCGGAGACCGCAACAGAAAGGGACCCGGACCGGAACCCGCCTCAGCGCAACAACACCCCCTCTCCCGAGGGTGTACCCCCTCAGTTACAGAGCGCACATGCGCAGAGCCACCGACTCCAGGCCCGGTGCCGCCGCGCGCAAGCGCGCCCTCCAGCTCACCTTCACCCTGAGCCGCCCTAGCGACAGCTGCCCCTCGCCCCCACCCTGCCCAATCCCCGGGCGGTGCTGAGCCGCGGCCCCGCCTCCCCGCACCGCTCCGACCAATCCGCGCCCGCAGGGCCCCCAACGCCGCCGTGCGGGGAGGGGTGGGGGGACACCGAAGGGGCGCGGGGTAGCGCCGCGTTACGAAACCGCGGAGGGACAAGGTGCTGGGCCGGGGGGGCACGGCCACTGGTACCAGCACCCCCAACCCCGCTCGGCCGGGACCGGCCGGACGCGCCGCTCTGAGCCCCGCTGCCCGCACGCAGTGGGGGATGCACAACATCAGCCGACAGGTCCCGGGCACCGGCGCTACCAATCGCCCTTCCCCGCCGCGGCAGCGGTCGCACCGCGCTGTCCGGCATGGACGCGCCGTCCCCACCGCGGCGGGTAACGGTCCCAGCCGTCCCCGCAACAGCCGCGCCTCGGCTGAGCCCCGCGCCCCTCCCCGCGGTGCTGCTGCCCCAGCCCCGCACTCACAGCCGGGAACGGGCCCCGCCGCGCTGCGCCCGCAGCAGCCTCCGCCCGGGGGTCGGGGCAGGTCGGGTCGGTGGGAAAGGAGAGGGGAGCGGAGCGGTGCGATCCAGTGAGGTGCGCTCGGGCCTCTCCGCCGCGGCCAGTCGCGCTGCCAGCGCCGCTCAAAACAAA